CTCTCTCGTGTAGAGGGAGGGGGGGGGGGCAAGGGGGAGCATGAGGTGCCGGCCCTATGTGTTGGCTCAACAACCCAGATTGCTGGTGAAGTGAGGGCAGGCAGGAGAGTCTAGAGCAATCAGCTTCGTAATGGACGCGCCAACAGATCCATGCCCGGACTCCTCGCCCTGCCAACCTTTGAAGGATTGGTATCGTCGAAGCGAACCAGCATTCGCCCCTTGTACATGTCGGCGATGTGCTGATTGATGAGGGCCGCCTTGGCATGCCCAATGTGCAGGTAGCCCGAGGGTTCGGGCGGGAAGCGGGTGACCACCTTGCCCATCTCTGCGTTCTCCAGCCCGATGTCGAAGGACCCGGTGGCTGCGCCGGGAGGGCAGAGCGTGAAGGTGATTGAAGGGGCCGAGGCCAAGGAATGGGAGCAGGATAAGAGTGCAGGGTGTGCTTGGGAGGTCGGCCCCAGATACCAACATCCCGAGTCCCATGGAGCCGATATTCACCCAGCAACCCCCGCACCTCCGCCGCCGGCCGCCGCGCCCAGCTCCGGGTTGGTGGGCTTGGGGGTGGTGAAGCGCCGGCGTGGTCCCAGCGCCTCTGCGACGGCCGCCAGGGCGGGGGTGCTGCCCACGTGGTCGTACCAGCGTCCCAGGTGAGCCAGGGCGGGGTTGGCCTTGCGCAGCTTGTCCCACTGCAGCGTGGCCTGCAGCTGGCCCCACACAGCCACGTCGGCTAGGGACAAGGAGTGGCCCACCAGGTAGGTGCGCAGGGCCAGGAAGGCGCTGATCGCCTCGGCCAGGGGCTCCAGGGTCAGGCCGGGGACCAGAGCGGTGGAAGTGTCGATCCAGGAGTCCACCTGGGAAGCGGCGAGGGGGGAGGCGCCGTAGTAGCCATCGGGAGTTCGGGACACCCTGGCCAGGAACCGTAGGATGGTGGCCGTGCCCACCAGCTTCTCCCTGCGGGGAGACATGGGAGGCACCATGGATGAAGCATACGCTGGTGGGTACATTGGTTGGCGAGCGTCGCATCGAGGCTGGCACATCGGCAGTGCGTCAACAAGGGCCCACCATGAACCACCGGGCGGCACGCACTGCAATCCTCACCCTCCATCGAAGATCAGCTCCGGGGCTGCATCTTTGGGCAGGGAGGCATCAGTCTTGATGTTGATGGCTGCACGAAGTAGGCGTGCGGTGGCCAGCACCGCAAACGGGGTGTTGCGTTCCGTGTATACGAGGGTGGGACTTGAGCACCCGCCCATGGCTGCACTAGGGTTCAGGCCAGCCACGAGATCATGCAATTTAGAATGAATACAGGGATTTCATTAGCAAAGTGTTGCCTTGCTCCTCTGCCAGCCCTGTACTGAACAAGATATCAGAGTCTGGCGCGCTGGGCTTATACTGCCACCTGGCGGCCAAGGTGCGGTGCGAGACATCGCGGGGGGTGACCTTGTCGATATACCCAATGGCAAGCATATGCTGTCGGGATCCATCCATTGATAGGACAACATCGAATTACCCAGAGCTTCGTCCCGTGCAGTCTCCTGGATCCATGCCCCACTCGCCATGTTGATACATGGACCGCACGAGGATGCTCCAGGCAGCGACCTCATCCAGGAGGGGAGCCTGGTCGTGGTGTATGAGCGCTTCGATAGCATGAAGGCAGTGAAAGTCACCCCCAAGGGCCAGTACAGCAATCGATGGGGCAACTTTGCAATGAAGGTACCGGTGCACTAAGCTCGTATTGGGCACTCTAGCTCATGAGCGCCACGAACCTTCGTGCTGACAGACTCCAGCCCAGCCACCCTCATGCTCCACAGGAATGGATTGGGGTGCCCTACGGCAGCCGCGTGCACGCCCGGGCCCCAGACTCTGGCTGGGCCTATCTGCTGGCCCCCACGCCAGAGCTGTGGACGGCAGTGCTCAGGCACCGGACCCAGATCCTGTACGTCGCTGACATCAGCATGGTGGTTGCCATGCTGGAGCTGCGGCCTGGTTGCACAGGTAAGCCCTGGGTCAACGCGCTGTGTGGATGCCAGGCCTGCTGTCATGCAGAGCCCTTGCATTCTGAAAATCTCGCCCTCCACCCGCCCTCTGCCGTACCACGCCCTCCTCCCCCCCACTCTCCTGCAGTGCTGGAATCTGGCACGGGGAGTGGGTCCCTGACAACCTCACTCGCCAGAGCAGTGGCGCCCACGGGACACGTGTACACCTTTGAGTTCCACGAGCAGCGGGCACAGCTCGCCCGGGAAGACTTTGCTGCCAATGGTGGGCGGCGAGGTTTCTCCTTTTTCATGCTGCACATAGACACACACAGTGTGCACCATCTGGAGGGTTACCGTGTGCAAGGTTTCAGCTCCGTGCAGCGCCATGCCTTGTCTCTCTCTTTCTTCCTGACTCCTACTTATGTGCACCGCCTGCAGGGCTGAGTGATGTGATCACCGTCCAGCACCGCAACATAGAGGAGTCGGGCTTCCCTTCTGATCTACATGGCAAAGCGGACGGCCTCTTCCTGGACCTTCCCGGCCCATGGAAGGCTGTCGAATCGGCAGCAGCCTGCCTCCGACCAGATGGGGTGTTCTGTTCCTTCAGCCCCTGCATTGAGCAGGTGAGGGAGGTCAGGGGGGGTGCAGAAGGAGCATTGTGGAAGAGCCACAGCCACAATCCTTTGCAGCAAATGTTCTTTGCTGCACAGTACTCATCGTTGCAGCCAGACCTGTTTGGGGAATAGTGGATCTTATCCTTTGCCGTGAGCTGCCTCGGAGACGCCCCGATGCCTCGACTGCAATTCCTGACATCTTTCCTTTCTTCCCAGCAACCATTCAAAGTTCTCATGACCTCAATCTCCCCCGCCGCCCCCCCACCCCCCCGCTCCCGAGCCAAGGTGCATCGCACATGTGGTTCGCTGGCTCGGAGCGGGTTTCACTGCCTGCGCACCATGGAGGTCCTGCTGCGCAGCTACGAGGTCACATCCAGTGGGCTCAAGGCCGTGGAGGAGTCGGTCCTAGGAGACGATTTGCCTTCCGGTGAACCTGCCGATGTGGGCGGCGACCCAGATTCCAAGCGCGCAAAGCGAGAGGACGGAGCAGCGCCGGAGGAGGCACACACCGCAGCTTCGGCCGCCCCCACACTGCCCAGCCAAGCCCAGGTTCTGGCCCGGCCCGTGGCCTCTGGTCGGGGTCACACGGGGTACCTGACCTTTGCCCGCCTGGCAGTCACAGTGCCCGGGCCACAGCCGCAGGCTGTGCTGGTTGTGCCTGCCCCGGCAGAGGGGGGTGCTGAACAGGACACTGCTTGAATCACATGTATACCGCACCTGGCGTGATGATCGCTGCCTTTTTTGGGCCTTGGCAAGGGATCTGTTGTCCCTGGAATGCATTCCATGCATGTGCAGGTCCATGGAGAGTGAGCGGCACAGTGGCTGACGCAAGTGCACTTTGCCAGCCATCTGATCGACTGAGTGAAACAGCATCCGTCTGTCTTGTCCCACGATGACACGCTGTTCGACCAGCGGACGACAGTTTGCCAGGAATCGCGCGCCATGCACAGCACGCAGTGCAGTCCTTACAGCCCGCCAGAATCAGAGGAGGATGTTGTTGTACCCAGGGCACACTCCATGTTGCTCTGCCCACTACCACTCGTCATCCTCGTCCACCGCGTAATGCCCTCGCCACTGCGCGTCCCGGGCGGCGTCCTCCCTCGTTGCCTGCAGGGCCCTGAGCTCCTCCAGTGCCTGGGACAAGGAAGCGGGGGCATGTGTGCTGGTCAGCATCTGAATGTGGCGTGGGGGTCATCTCTACACGATATGCACCCTGGTGCTGGGTGTAAGTCGCCAGAGGCCACCATCCCCGGCCCTCCACACCTCTCCAGCACCCATTCAAGCAGCACCTGCTGCACGACGTCCTCCCGCCCCGCCTGCCGCCCCGCGGCTAGCAGCGTGGTCCAGGTCACGACATCCGGCTTGACCCCGGCGGTGAGCATGGCGTTGACGGCGGCCAGCCCGCCGTCCGGCCCCGCCACGTGGCACTCCACCTTGACCAAGGCGTTGAAGGTGGGTGCCCCCGGCGCCAGGCCCCGCTCGCGCATACGGCCCAGCAGGTCCCAGGCCAGCGCGCCCTGCCGCCCGAAGGAGCACCCCGCGATCAGGCTGGTGTAGGTGCGTGCGTCCGGCGCGACGCCCGCGCCGCGGAAGTCGGCCAGCAGCTGCGCGGCGTCCGCCACACGGCCCTCCCGCGCGCAGGCCGCCACGCCCGCGTTGAGCAGGGCCTGACTGGGCGCCACTCCCGACCCGGCCAGCAGCGTGCGCACCCGCCCCGCGGCGCCCGTAGCGCCCAGCGCGCCCACCAGCGCCGCCAGGCTGGAGGCGTCGTGCGCCACCTCGACCACCGCCTGGGCGTCCTCCATGGCGCGCACCAGGGCCGCCGCCAGGTGGCGTTGGGAGACGCGGGAGGCGTCCTGGCCGGGAGCACGCCGCGGGAGCGGCGTGCGCTGAGGCCCGCTGGCGGCGGCGGGACCCACACCAGGCGGGGCGTCCGTGGGGGGCCCAGCCCCTTCGCGCTCCCGGCCCGCCCAGCCTTCCGCATCCGCAGCGAGGGCCCCCGCGCGCGCGTCCGCCTGCGCCCTCGCCCAGGCCAGCACGCCGCCGTAGGCGCCGGCAAAGGCCTGGGCGCTGGCCACGGCCCCCTTCGCTAACCGGTCCAGGAAGAAGGAGCGCAGGGCCTGCAGATCGCCACCGGCCCCCAGGGCGGCGAAGGCTGCGGCCTGGCCGCCGGCATCCAGGGGGACGCCGGCGCCCTCCATCTCGGCCAGCACCGCCTCGGCCCTCTCCCCGTCTGCGGCCCGGGCCAGGGCAGCCAGGCGCAGCCGCCAGCCGCGCGGGGTGGGCTTGATTCCGAGCCCCTCCATCTCTCGCCAGGCATCCTGCGGACCGGATGGTGAGGAAAGGGTGGGCAGCGAGGCGGGCACGAGCAAGTTTGCAGGGGACAGGCAGGCTGGCCATTGTTGGGAGATGCATTGGATGAGGAACCTCGAGATGATGGTGGGCCAACCGGGATGGTTTCCATGCGGGGGCCTGCACGAAACTCCCCCCTCTCGCCCTCTAGCAGGAGCCCCGATTCGACCTTGAACCATCCACGCCTGCTTCCCTACCTCGATGGCGTCGGCAGCGCCCGCCCCCCTCCTCAGCGCGGCAGCCATCATGACGTCGTAAGTGGCTCCGTCCGGGGTCAAGCCACGCTGAATCATCAGCTGCCGCACCCCGTTCACGGCCGCCAGGCTGCCCACCTCTTCTGCGGCGGTCAGGGCCGCATTGCATGCCGTTCGAAGGGTTTGCACCTCGGGAGGGATGGGCGCTGTGGGCGCCCCCCCGGGCCCCACACCACCCTGAACATCCACGGGCAGGGGAAGGTGCGTGCTGTGGCGATCGAAAAGCTCCGTCAGGGCCTCCAGCATCGCGTCAAAGTCGCCCATCCTATAGCGGCAGGAGCAGGGGTGTGAGGGCTTCGGTGCATGCTGTCTACAAAGATGCACATAGTGTTCATACTCCTCGCACTCCTTGCAAAAACAAGCCCACCTTGCAAGTGCCACAGCGTGCCCGGCGCGGGCTTTGGCATGCTGAGCCGGCGGCAGCGCACACAGGGCGTCCTGGATCAGCCCGGTCACCCCTTCGTCGTCCCCGGTCGAGGCCGCGAGAGACATGCGCGCCGCCCAGGTGGCTCCATCGTGATCCAGGTGCCGCCGGCGCATCAGAGCGAGGGTAGCGTCAAAGGACGCGGTGTCTCCTGCAGCAGCACAGATTGGGTTGTGGCAACTTGGGATGAGCTGATTATAGGTTTGACAGCATGCAGGCGCAGTTTCGGTCATACAGCTGCAGGCGGGCGGGCAGCCAGCGATCGCCACAGTGAAGCAACGAAAGTATTTATGCTCCCTGCCCACATACATCGTGCACAGCAGATCATGAAATATGGCTGCCCCCGCCCCCTCCTCAGACTTCAGGGCCCCCCACCCCACAACACACCTTGGGATGCAGCAGCCTGCAGCACGATGTTGGCGAGGCGGGTGTCCACATGCCGCGTGGAGATGGAGCGCAGGTACTTGAGCGCACCATGCAGGTTGTTGTCTTTGCACAGCGCGCCCAGTGTGCTGGCATGCGCCACGTGCCCGATGGGCAGCCTGAGGCTCCACATGCGCGCGGTGAGGGCCAGGGCCCCCTCTGAGTCGCCCCGCCGAGCCGCACTGACCAGTGCCGCATCGAACGCGCCGGCCAGCGTCCGTGCCAGGGGCAGGGGCGGGCGGACTGGCAGCGCCGGCTCGCGGTGTAAGAGGAGGCGCAGGGCCTGCACGTGCTGCCCCTGCCTCACGAGGTCCCGTACGGTGCGAGACAGGGCTTTGGGATTCAATGCGGCTCGTGGAGGGACCAAGGGGGGAAGGCTGGCGGTTCGTGCTTCCTGAGCCTGGATGGCACTGTTGGACGGAGAGGTGCTGCCCACAGCGGTCGTCAGCGGGCTCCAGAGGAATTTCCGCGTTTCGTCCTGGTGTCTGAACCCCACATTCACGCCCTTCAGGGGTAAGAGAGCGCTCAGGGCCCCGCGTGCACGTAGGATGGACGTGGGTAGCGGGGCCATCGGGTGGGGCAACCCCCGGTGTCGCGGCAAGTGGACGGGCCCGAGCTTGCGCCAATGAATTGGTGCCTAGCTACTAAGATGTTAGTAATTGCATAATGATCAACCCCGTAAGCCTACTATCCTGGGTCCTGAGTCTACCGAAAGCCAGGTGGGAAGTACGCGCGCGCTGGGATATCCACTTCAGCAGTGTTGTTAAGTGCCTGCATCCTTAGCAAGCAGGCTTGGCAAATCTCAGGTTCGTGACGACTTACATTGCCGTCGTAACTCTTCTGGGTAGGTAGGCAGGCCAGTGAGGTCCTGGATCCAAGATCATGGGCGTGAAGGTCACCGAAGGAGAGGCGACTTCCGTGACGGGGGAGAAGCTCTACACGACATCATACCTCCCTGATGAGCCGCCCAGAGCCGCCTTTGTGATTCATCATGGGCTGGCGGAGCATATAGGGCGGTATACACCAAGTAAGATGGTGGAATGTCTCTGGGGAGTTTCGGACGTCCGTGACTGTTAGGGGACCGGGGCCACTGCTTGAGGTGCGCTGGCTGAACCAAACAGAGGGGGATGCCACATGAAGCATGCTTATGACTTTAAATCGCCTCGTCTCTTGCTGCAGTGGCCACTACCCTGGCGGAGAAGGGCATCGCCGTGTTCCTGCACGATGCGTACGGCCATGGCAAGAGCTCCGGGGAGCGGGCCTACATCCCCTCCTGCGACACCATGGTGGCCGACCTGAACTCCCGGCGCGCCACCGCCCTGTCCGAGATCGCGGCCATCTGGCCCGGGGAGGCCCCCGCCCTCTTCCTGGGGGGTCACTCCATGGGCGGCCTGATCGCCGCGCTGGCCGCCCAGGCGCAGCCCGCGGGCCTGGCCGGGGCGGTCATCATGTCCCCCGCCATGGGCGTCCCCGCCTCCCTGGGCCTGGTGGTGCAGGAGGCCGTCGCCGGGGTGCTGGTGCACATCGTGCCGCGGCTCAAGGCCCTCAAGGTGGTGGACCCCACCGGGCTGAACGCCGACCCCGCCCTGGTGCAGGCCTACGTGGATGACCCCCTCAATACGGTGGCGCCGCTGAGCCTGAAGACCGCGGTGTCCCTGCGCAGGGGAATGCGCGAGGTTTTCCGGGGCGCGCCGGGGCTGACGGTGCCCATCTACGCGCACCACGGCGACTCCGACCGCATCACCCACGAGCCCTTTACCCGCCGCTGGACGGAGGCGGTGGGCAGCCAGGACAAGACGTACCGCCTCGTGGCTGGGGGGTACCACGAGGTCCTGCTGGGGCCGCAGAAGGACGAGCTGATCGATGGCATCGCCGAGTGGATCCTGGCGCGCAGCGCCGTGCCTGCCAGGCTCTGAGAGGGTGGTGCAGAGCCTCGACACCGGAAAGCCCGATGCCTTTTGGAGAGTCTGGCTCGTGCTGCGACCGCAGCACAGGATTCAGCATCCAGCGGGGCGCACGGGACGCTGAGTTTTCATCGCAGTGGCAGTGACGGCCTCAGAGGCCATGGTTGCAAATGCTGGAGGGGGAAAGTTTTGATGGCGTGTCTGTGCAATGCCCCCTCCCCCTCCCCCTCGTGTACCTCCATGCATGAGTACTGTGTAGGCTGCCCTCCGTGCCGCAGCGTGTGCCTAGCCTCGGGATTGACGGGTCGAGGTGTATCGGGCGAGAATGTGTGCTGAGACACTGCACATCGCCATGCGTGTCAGCAGTGCAGGCTCGAGCAGAGCAAAGTCCATGCAAAGAACCCCCGGCACGAGAAGGACCCGCCCAGGAAAACTGTCGACGCAGCCACCCGCCGCCATCATTCTTCTCATGGCGCAGGGCAGGTCTCGTCCTGCCGGGCGGCCAGCAACGGGTGAAGCGCTCCCTCCTTGGCAGCCCCCGGCGTCTGGTCGCCTGCCTGCAGAGCGAGCTGCACGGCCGCGACGATGCCGGCCATCTCGGCCTCCCCACTCGACAGGTGACGCAGGGCGTGGGCCTGGGAGCGCGGGGGGACCATCAGCTCCAGGGAGGCCAGGCGCAGGCCGGGGTCCAGCGGCAAGGGCCCGGCTGCGCTCGCGGAGGGGAGGGCCGTGGCGTTTGCCGGGGCCGGGATCCCCTCCGCGGCGCGCAGGCGCAGGGTGGGCCGGGTGCGGGACCGCAGCAGGTCCAGCAGCTTCCCGCCAGCTGCCGCGCTGACCATGACGGCCGGCATGGTCAGCGCGCCGAGGTCTGCGGTCGGCCAGCGGGAGGGGCATGCCATGGCAGGCGCGGCACCACCAGACGCGGCGCGCACACATCTGAGTCGGTGCTCTGGCCCCGTGCCGACTGGCGATGCTCGCTGCCCCCGCCAAGCACTCTGAGGCGACACCTGGGTGCACGAGTACATCAGCCCCATACCCACCATCCCCGCCCCACCTGGCGCGCCATCGCCGCTCATCGGCCAGACAGCCCGCTCGTCCTCGCCGGAGTTGATGACGATCAGGGCGGCGGCCTGGGAGGCGGCGGCCGCCCTGGCCTTGTCTGCAAAGGGGCACCGGCCCCTCCCCGCCAGGAGCACACTCCCGCGGGCGGGCGGGGCTGGATCGCCTGGCCCAGCCTCGCCGCCGCACAGGAAGAGGGACTGGGCGAGGAGCAGCGGCCCCTTCACCTCTGTCAGAACATCCTGTCCCGCAGCTCCCGTACCGGGGCAACCCAGGAGCAGGTCTTGCAGTCGAGGCTCGGGACATGTGCAGGGTGCCTGGCCAGGATCACGGTATTCAACGGGGCCACCACCTGATGTAGGTCGAGAGGCTGATGGACCACTCCCCAGCTCTGCCTCGTCCTCTGCAGCAGGTCCAGCAGAGGAGCCCAGCTGGCAAGGCGGGGCAAAGGCAGGCCCAAACTCTGCTAGGATGCCTTGGATGGAGTCGAATGCCCCATCCTCTGGGTCGTCGATGGACACAAGCTGCACATCTTGCACTGGGAAAAGAGGGGGGGAAGGGTGCAAGGGTCGGGTCCAAGATAGGCTCTGTGTCAGTGGACACCTGAGGGTCCTCGTACCAAGACAATCCAGCTCACTATGTTTGGCCCTCAGTGCAGATCCCGTGTTGCCATTCAACATGCTGCCGCTCTTTGGCTCCCAACCTCCCGAGTACCACCACATCAGCGCCGCACCGTCGTCCCCGTCCTGATGATAGCTGGCCTCCAGGATGACTGCTGTGGGCCTGAGTGCCTGCGCCACCAGCAGGTCACGGGAGTGGCTGAGCACAGTATACTTCCCTTGATCAAGGGACCAAGGGGCATGTCGTTGCAGTGTTGAGCACAGGGAGGTGCACCAGCGTAGTGAGCTATGGCCCATTTCGAGCTCGCTGCAGCCCACCCTGAGCATCGCTGCCTGCTCTGCTTCCAACCCCCCACCAAAGCTTTCCACCCTCCCTTCCATAACGCACCATGAGGTCCTCCAGTTCCATGCCGGCATGCAGCACCTTCAGCGCGCCGCAGCCCAGCACCCCCCCGGTCCTGCGCAGGTCGCACAGGAAGTACGCGGGCGGCGTCCAGCCCCGCCGCGCCGCCTCTGCGGCCTTGCGTGCCGTGGCGCTGGCCAGCTGGCGCGCGAAGGCGGCGGTCGCGCTGACGTGGCGTCTCGCGACCCTCGCGCGGCGCGCCGCCTCGCCGGCGCGCGTGAAGGCCTGGCACGCCGTGCAGCGCCGACGCCGGACGAGCGACGGCTGCAGCGGCTGGGAGTCGGGCAGCGCAGGCAGGGCGGCGCGCAGGGCGGCCGCGCGCCTGGCAACCTGGTCGGGGTCCTGCGCCTCGCACAGGTGCCGGCAGCGAGCCGCTACGGTTTCTACTTCCATGGACACCACCTCTTGCGTAGGGGCGACGGTGGTCTCTTCATGGCTCAGGAAGGTTCCGGCCAGCATCAGGGCTGCTGCATCATGGGACGCATTCCCGGGAGGTGCCTCCGTCACATAGCCGCCTGGCCTGGCCCCGCTACCCTTGCCAGTGCTGGCCGGGACAGGTGCTCCCACAGGGCCACCACTCGTTGCATTCGCACCGATGGGGCCCTCCGCGCCCGCAGCCCCGAGCATGACTGTCCCATGCTCTGCCTCCCACTGCTCCTCCGTATCAGCCCAGGCGTCCAAGAAGTGGCCCTCCGTGGTCAGCACCCACCGGTCCAGGGCCGCTGAAGCGTTGGCGAAGAGGAGGTACAGGTACTTGACAGTCTCGGACAGGAAGAAGGACTCCATGCTGTCCGATAGCTTTCCTGTGCTGACGTCGTGCACAGCGGCGTACCCGCAGGCCACCTGGTTGCGGGAGCGCAGCGTGCCCAGCATGGCCTCCCCTGCCCGCAGGTATGAGGTGTCGGGTGCGTCGGCGGCCAGCATGAAGGTGGACTCCATGAGCTCGGGGCGGAGCGGGTACCCTGGCACAGAGGTGGAGGGGAAGGTTGGACTGGTTTGTAGAGCAGCAATGTATGTGCGTCAGCAGAGTCACAGTGTGCAACATGCTAGCTTCCACGCTGCCCACATTGCCCGGGGCTGAGGAGTCGCCCACCAGGAACAGTCTCCCCAACCCACCGCTGAGCGTCGGGTGCCGTGTCTGTTTCTGGACGTCAAACATCTCCGGCAGCCAGCCAAACTTGTTCCAGACGGCCAGCCACTGCCGGTGCTGGGCGGCCGCCTCCTCAAGCTGCCCTGCAAGTGCATGCAGGATGGCAGGTCGTGGTTGGCCTATACATGACTGATGCATGAGCCCTGGGAGGTACTCAAACTCTGGGGGAGAGGCAAGTTTGAGACCCAACAGCCTGGCCGCATGCCCTCTCTGAAGTCTTTCCGCTGAGTCAGGGCTCCCCGCCCCTTTGCGCACCCCCACCCTTGCACCTCGCCCTCCCTCCACGGCGCACCTGCAAGGGCCTGGAAGCCCGGCCAGTACGCCGACAGCGACCAGACTCCTGTGTGCAGCAGCAGGGCCGTGGACATGTGGACGTCCAGCAGCCAGGGCGAAACAGACAGCGGGGCGCCCACGGCGCTGTGCGTCAGGAGGGCGGCATAAGACTCGCTGGCCCACTGCAGGTGGGTCCTGTTGCCAAACATCAGGTAGGCCTGTGGGGATTCGGGGTTCAGAGTGAGGGGGTGATAGGATGCGGGAGCCGGCCTCCGCGCCAACGCGCAACACCTGACCCTTTGGGGAGCTGTGCTAGGAGAGTCGCACCCGACCCCTTGCACCCCCGCCTGAGCAGCACGTGAGCGCAGCATCCAGCACTCCAAGCAGCCAGCCCTGCCCAGCGCCGACCGGGGCCTGTTTCGCTGGTTCCAACCACGAATTGCGCCCTCCTGTTACCTTGAGGAGATACTCATAGTACGAGTCCACTCCAGCCCCGATCCCAGAGTCGTGCCGTTCCCAGCCCCTGGTGTCGCAGCTGATGGTGTTCCCCACAAGGCCAATGAGGCTGCGTGCACCTGTGCTCAGGGTGGGTGGGTGAGGGGTGGGGAGCTTACCGGGCAGAATGCAGTTCAAAGGGCTTCTTCGCTGTGCCATTTCCGATGCCTCAGTGTACGACGCAAGACTCTGTTAGCACCGTTCGTATCCCGGAGGGAATGCAACCCCACCTCACAACTCACCATGCAGAGCTTCCAGGGCCCTTCGGGCCGCAGCGTCGTACTTCATCTCCCCTGTCATCCTCGACAGCGTCCCGAACTCCAGCAGCAGCGTCCCCGCACAGGCGGTGCAGGTGATGCGGGTCTCATAAAGAATCTAGGATGGCGAGTAGATTAATTGACGCTGTGGAGACTCAGCTTCAGGGTACGCACGATCAAACGCAGATGCCTGGGGGTTCCAATGATGCAGAATGCTTTAAGCTCATGCTTAAAGTCCCTTGCCAACCCTCCACAACCCTGTCACTTGCCTGGCCATGCCTCAGGTTGATCCATGACAGGGGGATCCCGGATGGCGTGTTGAATGCAGGAAGGAGGCGATCGGCCAGATCGACCGCAGCGAGCAGGAGGCCCCCCCGATACCAGGGTGCCAGCTGCAGATTCTGTGGGGCAGGAGGATGGGGGTTAAAGATAAGCCACAGCTAAGAGATGCTACGCACCAGCTCCCCGAGCCCACCATCAGGTGCACAAGGGATCTGCCCTCGTCGACAGCAAAAATCATGAACAGTGGCACGCATACGCAATGCATAATTACCAAATGGCCACAGCGCACCACAATCACCTGAGTGAGCAGCTGGTGAGCGGAGAGGAGGCCTCCCAGGGCACGAATTGTGACCTCGAAGACATGCACCCTGACATCAAGGTCAAAGGTGAGGCGGGGAGGGGGATCGCCGCCGCTCCCGCAGTCGGTTCCCTCCCCAGTGACCCAGCAGAGGGCTTTGTAAAATGCTTCCAGCTGGTTCATCACCTGCATGAGGCGATCGAGGGACCCTTTACGATCGACTTGTTTACCTTGCCCAGTCCCCACCCCTTTGACAAAAAAAACCGGCACCAGGGTGCGCAGCAGGACATACCCCAACAGGAACTCCCAAGGGCAGCTAATGCTCCCCCCCAAAAAACAACTTGTCATAATGACATATGTCTGTGGAGGCCTCTCACTCCCTGCTCTAGGCTGTAGGTCCTCACCAGGAGGGTGTCGAGGCTGTCCAGGGTCGTGAGCCCGATGCCCCCTTGGGAATCACTCCCATTGCAGCTGAGTGGTCGAAGGTCATCCTGGCAGAGGGCAATGGGACAGGGGCTCGAGCATCTAGGCTGTTTCTGGGGAGGCACGCCGGGTCCCACATCCATGATGCGGGCCTCCTGGCATCACCCCCTGCAAGCAGCCCTGTGGCCCCCGCGGCCCCATACCATTGGGAAGGCATGGGTGGTGTAATTGGAGTAGGCCTGCACAAACATGTCCCGGGCCTCCTCCGCCAGAGTGGTAGTGTTCAGGACGGCGTGAGGGAAGGGTGCCTCTCGGGCCTGGTCGCCAGCCAGGCATCGCATCACCAGAGTGAAGACGAGGCAGCAGTGCCATGGGCACCACCTCCCTGACCAGCACATCAGTCATCGCCATGGGAAAGGGCAAGTCATGGTGCTAATCACACTCTCCAATCAAGACTCGGCGGACAGAGGGTTGGCAGCATCGATCAGAGGTCACAAGGGTCAGGAGGCTACCCTGCTGGACGTGTGCTCCTGCATAGTCCTACACCGACGATCTGGTGGCTGCGAGTCAAAAGGCTGCGATGGTCTATTCAAGAGGCACTAATTACCTTGCAGCAACGAGCGGCGCGCAGCGTGCAAGCTTCGAGACGGTGGAGGGCAATGGAATGAGCTTGAAAATGCCGACGTGGCGCGACGGCATCGCTGAGCGCACCAGTGATCCGTGGCTCTGCTTACACCCTCCTCAGCTTTACAATCTAGATACAACCTTTAATTGCGAGATTGCAGTCAATTTGAGGTCCGAAAAGACTGATCAACGCCCCATCGTTTCTCACTTGCTGTGCAAGGGCATGGCAGGTCGCTTACGGCCGAGCCTGCTCGTAGCAGCGCTGTCGCTGTTGGTGCTCTTGACCCCATCTACAAAGGCATTTGACATAGAGGGCAGGGTGATCCTCCCAGGTATCGCTTGTGCTCACCTGTGAATCTGCAGTGGGTGCCGTTCCCTCTCTTACACCACACCCTCGCTGGCTCACCCTTGCACCCCAACAGAGACAACCCCGAATGCGCTGGACACGGAGCTGGTGCTGAGTAAGGAGCAGGGTGACGAGGTGCGCACCTTCCCCCTCCCGGACGGTCGCTTCGCCTTCCACAACGTGCCTGCTGGCAAGCACTACTTGGAGGTGGAGTTGGTCGGACTCGTCTACTCCACCGTCGAGCTCACCGTGGGTGTTGCTGGGGACGTCAATGCTCTCCTGTCGGATGTCATCAATGTAAGGTCTCACGCGTGGTGGGAGGGTTGGTGTGGGACTTCTTGGATGCTGGGACAGGTGACGAGATGTGATGATGTGCTCGTCGCATGTTTTTCACAGATGTTGTCCTATGTGTTTGCCCTTGTTGGTGTTCCTCGGCACAAACAGTTCACCTGAGCTCACCCTGCATGTACCACCAATTGTCATTACAACTTGAACAGAGACCTGACGTCCCCTACCCACTCGTGCTGCGTCCTATCGGGAGACTGGAGTTCTTCCAGGTGTGTGTGTGCGTGCGACCAGTGGGCATTCCTGGTCAGAGCTGTTTGCAGGGCAATGCACTCCACAATGTGCAGCACCATATACCGGCCCCCTGCGTTGCTGCGCAACCTCACTCCCTTGCGCTGCTGGAACTGTCCTTGCAGAAGCCCCAGCCATTCAATGTCATGGCATTCATCAAGACGCCTTACGGGATCATGATCAGTGAGTATGTGTGGATTTTACACCCATGTGTGCATCGCAGTTGTGTGAGGCCTGATGGTCTGCAACGGCGTTTTGCTGTGTAGATCACAAGAATTGCATGACGGCCTACCCACGGTTGTTATTGTTGATGCCGCCCCCCCCACAGTACACACACTCCAATCACAACTCCCTACCCATCCATGCTTCGCAGTCTTCGGCATCTTCAGCCTTGTCGTGATGCCCCGCCTCCGCGCCTATTCGGAGGAGCTCAACAGCGAGGAGACCGCGGAGGAGAGCACAGTGCCCCCACCCACAGTGACTGCAGTAGCATCCCCACGGCAGTTGCAGCAGCGGCGCAAGGATCGATGAGCTGGGGATTTGGGCCTACTTGTGTGAACAAGCACCCCGACCGACCACCTCTCCAGCAGTATGATTCTTTACAGATAATGAAATGAAAAAGGGGTATGGAACCAAGGTGGCAGAGCCCAGAGAACAGCAGCCAAATAATGGGAGCGGGCAGTGTGACATGGGTCGCTCGCAGCATGGTGCGCGCCGGGTGACGGTGGGGGTGTATGTGTGTGCAGTACCAAACAGTATCAAGAAAGCTGAGCAACGGCCCCGCAATGGGCAGGGCGCGGCGCGAGGCGAGGGGCCCCTGGACCATGAGCGGTCCCTCACCTCCGGCCGGCTTGGGGTGTGGTGACGTGCCCCTGGCTGTCCACCGGGCCCGTTCTCCTCACTGTGATGATGGCAGGCAGAAGGCTGCTCCAGCCCTGCTCCCTAGCAGCCGACAGGCGCCGGCCGAGCAGCGAGATGCCCCTGGCCGGTGGCGCGCCGCCGGGGCCGGCCCCGGAGCCGCTCCCACCACTGGGTGTGGGCGAAGCGCCCAGCGGCGCCAGCGGGGAGTCCGGCGCAGCGGCCTGGTCGGCTGCCGCGGCCGGCCAGGCCTCGATGCGGGCCGGCTGGGCGCTGGCCTTGCCCAGCGCACCGGGCAAGGCCCCGGCGGGTATCGCGCCGCCGCTCGTGCGCTGCGCGGGGCGGCACCTGCGCAGGCGGGCGGTTTCGCCGGCGTCGCCGGGGGCAGCCTGCACCACCGCCGCCGCCCCGTCCCGCACGCATGCGTCCCAGACGGCAGCACCGGCGACGGCCTCGCCGCGAGCCGGCGCCCAGGCCACCGCGCCGTCGTCCGCGCGGTCGGGCCCCGCGGCGGCGCTGCTCCCCGCCGCGCCGCCCCCCGGTGAGGTCCGGCTCGCAAGCGCGGCCAGCTGCTGCTGCGCCGCGCGGCGGCGGGGCTTGTTGGACCGGTCCTCATCCGGCGGTGCGCGGAGGGCGGCGGGCGCGGCGGGCGGCGCGCCGCCGCGCGTCGACCGCCCCACGCCGTCGCTGCCGACAAAGGTGCCCTCCAGCAGCCCGCTCATGCCCCCCGCCATGCCGCTGCAGGACCCGCTCCCGCCTTCCGTCAGGCCGGTGGAGGTGCGCGGCGAGGCCCAGGACGCGGTGGACTCGCTCTCCCGGCTCGGCCGCGTGCTGAACGCGGTCTGCAGGTCGGGGGCCTCCACGCCTGGGTGTTCGCCGGCGCAACTGCTCCTGGGGTCCGGGCCTTGGCTCGGCGGGCCCGCTTGGCCCGTCCCCTCCGCAGCCCTCACCCTCCCACCCGCCTCCAGCGCCATCTCGGCCCCCGCAGGCACCTCGCCAGCCCCCGGCGCCGCGCCGGGCGAGTGCCGGGCGCCGGGCCCGGGCGCGCCCAGGTCAAACCACTTGCCCAGCATGGAGCGCAGGGTCCTCCAGGGCGGCAGGGGCTGGCCCTGCACGGCAAACGCGCCGGCAATCTCGCTGCACAGCAGGCGCACCAGGGCCTGCAGCCGCTCCGGCGGCCCCACGAACTCCGCGGGCATGCTGTCCAGCAGCGCGGAGTAGGCCGGCGGCGGGTGCCCCAGCGAGAACTGGTCGCGGAAGCGCGGGTCAACCACCAGCAGCGCGCCGCGCTCGCCGCCCGCCCGCCCCGTCACCAGCACGTGTGAGTGGCGCAGCTTCTCCAGCGCGCGGGGGTTGGCGGCCGCCGCTCGCGTCGCCGCGCCCGCGCCCGCCCCTGCGCCCGCCGCCGGGCCGGGGCCGTCAGCGGCGCCGGGGCGCGCCGCGCTGGCCGCGTTGTGCACCACGCGGGCCAGGTAGCCCAGGGCCCGCAGCTCCTCGCAGAACTCCGTCAGGTCCACGCCGCCGGTGCAGAGGGCCAGGCTGGTCCGCACCGCGATGACGTCCTCCAGCAGCTGGAGGGAAGGGGGCAATGGGTGGGGGACTCAGGCATGGGAAGCACCGGGGGAGGGCGGGCGACCAGCAGGCCGAGAGAAAGGCATGGGGTAGACGCCCAGGGTCACATCACCGGCACGCTACGCTGCTCAGGGCATGGCAGCTGCAGGTCATGATTGTTTCGCAGCTGGAGCGAATCAGGCGCATTCTGCAGCGAGGCAGGCACGTTCTACACCTCAAGCAGCCCGGTCGCTGCCCCTCCGACCTTCCTCCCAAAGTCAGCACTCACCGCGGCCTCAAAGTGGGTGCTGGGCCTGATGAGCTGGCGCACCGCATGCACCACGAGGGCGCTGGCGGTGGTGGGCAGGGCCTCGATCTCGGCCTTGCTCAGCTCCAGGGGGATGCCTTGCTGCAGCAGCATGCTGGTGTGCGTCCAGGCATGGTCGTAGCCCCCGCCCCGGTAGGACAGGTCGATGTCAAACACAGCCCCGGCCGAGTGGCAGGACGTGTCTGTCTCGGACTGCTGTGGGGGAGCAGGAGGGGGTGGGGTGGGGTGTAATGTGTGTGTCGAGCCGGGCATGCAAGGGCAGGCCTCGGGCACACAACGCGATACCGCCGTGGGGCGCCGGCATGGCTGCAATTCAGCTGCCGAAGCCACAAGCGCTCGCGCCTCCTACCAGGTGCCTCCCGTGGTGGCTGCTGCCGTTCCGAGAACCCTCGCGGTTTGGCCTGCTGGCTTTCCGAAGGTTGAAGAAACTCAACAGGCGACTCATGGGGCGCACCGGAGGGCCGGACATGCCTTACGCCTGTTTTGAGTATGTGGCCCCCTAGGCTCGAGACGGCACAGCCTCGGGTGGCCAGTCAGGACTCATGACTGCAAGTTATACAGTCACGTTGGGGGAAGGAGTAATGTGGGGTGAATAGCTGCAAACAAATCCCGGTCGCTTCGTGATCAGCTCAGCGGCGACCCATTTGCTGGAGTACGAAACGGTTGTAGGAAAGCGCGACCATACGAAGATCCAAAAGGAACATGAGCTACCCGCCCTCCAAGCGCAAATGTGCCGACCGAGAAGAGTTCACTTGCCATGCATGGTGTAGATAAAGGCCTATTGTGTAAGTGAGGCCGGCGATAAGGCTAAAGCGGCCATGTGCTGCCAGTCTGAGGTGGACAATCTCCAGAAAGAAAGTCCATGATATTTTCCCACTTCCACGTTTGTAAGAATGTGGCTAATGGCTTCCAGTCGTATCCATGTTTATCAACATATCTTGGGAGGACATTTGAACTGCTGTCAAACTGGATGTGAGTCAGGCAGAAATCGGCTCGATCACAAAGATACCCCCACAACATTATTCACGAGAAACCACGCCCCATGCTCAGAGGGAAAATCGCTGAAAATTTGAGAGGCGTGCAGTTTTTAACGAGCATCGTCCTGTAGGGGCACGTGCCCCAAAATCGCCCCAGATCGTTCTGGGACCGAGACATCCGCTCCCCGCGATACGATTGTCCTCACAAACGGGTTTGTTTCACCCACGGAGCATTTCGTTACACAAACAATTACTCCTCGAAATGGCTTGCACAATGACGTGTGTCCATGGCGGGTCCATGCGCGTCTCGCAGTCGTCATGTCGCCCAGCCTCCCTTACCCGATTGGCTCACCATGCTCGCCCCTCATGCCGTCCAGGTTGGTGTGGGTTCCCATCGTATGGGCAAGCTGGTGCTCAGTACTTGGGAAAGGACTTTCTAGGAAGCTTTAGCATTCCGGCAGCGACTTTCTGAATGGCCTGCTGGCACATGACTCCAGTGTCAGCAACTCACATGCTGACGCACAGGGCGCGCACTGACCCGGCTCCAGGCCGGTAAAGAGCCAGGAGGAGGTTGGTTGGACCTGAGTAACTTTGTATCTTCCTCGGGAAAGAGCGGCCAGGATGTCTATTCCGACCTGTCTGAGGCCATAGGTGAGCAGCAATGATGGAAGGTTTCCAGGAGACAGTGATGGTAGCTCCCGAGGGTGGTGCCATTGGAGCAAGCGTTGCGATTCCTCATGCACGGAATCTACATCACTCATTTGCCTCCCAAAGCTTGCAGCAGAGGGTAGAGATCTGTCCCCTCAATGTCTCTCACCCACACAGGCAGGGATGTCTACATCGATGTCTCCGGCTGGCACCTGTACCTGCGGGACGTCAAGGTACCAGACTCGGGCGGCACCACCCTGGCTTCCGGACTGGCAGCAATGCTGGCCCAGGAGGGGGATGGTGCTGACGTGGCAGGCGTCCTCGGCCAAGTGCCCGTGCCCCTGGGAGGAGGACAGGTGGGCGACTTGAAGTCTGGCATAGGAATTTAGGGAAGGGCCTGGCACCATGACATTGTGGGAGCAGTCGGTGCTGACAATTGGACAGACAAGGGGGCGCTCCACCCAGCGATGAGGGATGGAAGTCTTGGTGGATGCTTCCAGACTCAAGCACATGGCTTTGCAAAAAGTGCACAGTGGTTATTCGGTGGGGGACACTTGACTCAGCCTGATCCTGGGCAGTGCGCACTGACAGATGCTAACCCCCGGCCTTCGCATCCCTCTTTCTGGACATAGACCAATATTATTCCCCCCTGACCTCAGATTCTACTTGCCCATGCAGGTCACCCTGTCCCTTGCGGACGTGATTCCCAAGTCTGGTGTGCGGAACTTGGAGAATCTATTTAAAGGCTGGCTGCATGACCTGTAGATCCTTTTCTTTCCCATCCTATGCTGACCTCCAGCGAATGTATTCGGTAGATATGGAGGAGGTGCCTGTTCCAAAGCAACCCCTCCCGGATTGTGCAACAACCTTACGTCATACCCTGCACATCCTTGTGCCATGACGGCCGTGTGGTGGGGAGTGCTAGTGATAACCGCACTTACTTGCCCACATGCTAACAGATTTCAGAGATGGTCAAACCAGTGTCTTTCCAGTAAAGTTCGCGCGCACTTTGGTGATCAGCGACGATACCCAGTGATGGAGGTCGGACACCGCGACGCCAAGGGGGTCCCCCCCTCCGGCCCCAGCGGCCACATCCCGTATGTCGACTCTATGCCCGCCATAAACGGCAAGGAGAGTGATTCTGACCAGGCCAAGGCGGGAGCGGGCATGCTGGTCACCTTTGATGTGAGTTTGAGGCCCGCAAGATCGTAGTGGGTGGGAAAACCCTGGCCGCCCGATGCCTGTCCGGCCCTGGCCCCCCGCCAGCCTGCTCATGCCCCACGCCTAAGCCCCGCACAGAACGTTACGTACACCGTGGTCAATAGTGCCAACAAGAAGGAGAAGATCAGCCTGCTGCAGGGCGTCTCAGGCTACTTCCAGCCCGGCCAGCTGAATGCGCTCATGGGTGAGGTGGTGCTTTGGGCTGCATGCAGCGGCGCCGGGCAGGCACACAGCCTCGAGTGTGCCCCTTCGGCAAAGTATGCCCTGGATGTGCGGTCTGTGGTGGGCGTCCCAGGCCTGGCCTATCATCGCCCAGCCCGTGGACATTGCCGCCCCCGCGGTACAAGCTGCCGACCCACCGACCACACCCCCTCTTGTCACGCAGGCCCCTCTGGTTCCGGCAAGACGACGCTGCTGGACGTTCTGGCAGGGCGCAAGACGACGGGGAAGCAGGAGGGCGCCGTGCTGTACGGCGGCGTCCAGCCCAGCGGCCCCTTCCTGCGCCGCTACACGGGGTATGTGGAGCAGTTTGACACGCTGCTGGGCAACCTGACGGTGCGCGAGAATCTGCAGTACACCGCGGAGCTGAAGGCGCGGGTCAGCCTGCCCCTGGCCGACAAGGTGGCGCGCGTGGAGCGCAGCCTGCGCCAGCTGGGCCTGGAGACCTGTCAGAACGTGCTGGTGGGCACGCCCGCCAAGCGCGGGGTGTCGGGTGGGCAGCTGAAGCGCACCAACATCGGGCTGGCCCTTGTCACCTCCCCGCTCGTCCTCTTCCTGGACGAGCCCACCACGGGGCTGGACTCCTACACCTCCCAGGAGGTCATGGACACGGTCGCCGAGCTGGCTCGTACGGGGATCACAGTGTGCGCCACCATCCACTCCCCCACGCCCCACGTCTTCCGCCTCTTCGACCGCCTCTTCGTCATCCTGCAGGGCAGGACCGCCTACTTTGGCCCCAACAGTGAGTTCAGGGTGTGGTCAGAAGGGGGCAAAGGGGTGGGTTGGGGGAAGACTCCCTCACCCACCTACCCACCCATCAGTTTCCTCACCCACCCACTCACCCACCCACCCACGCACCCACTCACCCACCCACCTGCTCTCTCACAGACAGCGATGTGGTGCCCTTCTTCCAGCGTGCCGCCCAGGGCCTGGACGGGCTGTCAGAGCGGTCCAGCCTGTCAGACGTGGAGTACATGACCGACATTGTGGTGCAGTCGGACCGGCAGGGCAGGTCCGACGCCATCACCGATTACTACGCGGCCTCCGACCTGGCCGCCCAGAACCGGGAGGATCTGGGCCGCCTGGCCGGCGTGCTGAACGACCTCACCCCCTCCCAGCGCGAGTACCTGGCGGTGAAGCGTGCGACCGTCACGCCCTCCTGGTTTGGCCTCAAGACGCTGTTCAAGTACCGCCTGCGCGCCGACCTCAAGGACCCCCTGTTCCTCCTGCCGCGTGTCGTGGACAAGCTGCTCATCGGCTTCATCCTCTTCACCCTTTACTGGTGGGGTGGGCTGGAAGGAGTGGGACCTTCATTTGAAGGGGACAGTAGGGGACACTCACAATGGTCCTCAACCGGAGCACAAGACCCAGGTCTCAACTCCTTTGCGTCGAGCCGCCATCCGCGGCGCGCCTGTGGTCAAGCATGGTCCTCGCCTTTGAAGAGAAAGTCCTCCAACCCCCACTCTCTCACCGTGACCCTATTCCTCTCCCTCTGGTAATATCACCCCCCCACCCCACCCCACCCCCCAACACACACACAATATCAGGCATGTGGGCAAGGACCTCTCGGAGCAGAACATCACAAACATCGTGGCCGTACTGTTCATGTGGACGGTGGTGGTGGCCTACTCCGCCTCCGCCTACATCCCCGCCATCCTCATGGAGCGCCCGCTCTTCATCCGAGAGCGCTCCGACGGCCTCTTCCGCGTGGTCACCTACCTCGGCTTCAAGCTGCTGGAGGAGTTCTCAGTGCAGTTCATCCTCTGCCTTCCCATCTCGGCCATGGTCTTCTACCCGCTGGAGCTGTCCGGCAGCTGGGCCCTGTTCTGGCTGGTCTACTACTTCACCACCCTCGTCGGCATCTCCCTCGGCTACTTCATTGCCGCGCTGTCGCCAAACATGGACGTTGCTAACGCCGCCCTCCCCCTCTTTATCACCATCTTCCTCTTCTTCACCGGGCTGCTCATCCGATGGGTGGACACACCCTGGTACTGGAGGTGGGTCGGCTATGTCAACTTCCTGCGCTACTCCTGGGGGGCCCTCATGATCAACCAGTTCCAGGGCGCCAATGCCATCTACCTGGGGTCAGAGGTGAGAGGGGAGGAAGGATTAGGGGCATTCCAACAGGGTTGTTTAGTGCAGTGTCATGTGAAGGCAGGGTGGGCGCATGCCGCTGCGCCTGCAAGCAACACTCTCACGCTGGTGTTCCTGGGTGGTGGAGCAAGTGCACGCGACGGCTCCTGTGTGGGCAGCACCCATGCCATGCCTGCTCAAGACACCCGGTGAACGCCTCTGACCCCCCACGCGCCCCTGTACCAGGTCCTGGAGTACTTTGCGCTGAGCGGGTACGCTGCCTGGCAGTTCTTCGGCTACCTGACCATCTTTGTGGTGGTGTTCAGCTTCTGGGCCTGGCTCGCATTGGCCTTCATCAAGCACGTCGTGCGATGAAGACGGCCCCATGGGACCACAGGCGACCTTAATATATCTTGTTTCTCCTTTGCTCGTCACTTTGTAAATATCCGATCGATGGCGCTCCATCTGACATGTCGCACGTGGGGGAGACCAGGCTGGTCGAGTCCCATCCCGTCGTGCATGTGCGATGATCATGGTGATTGTACGCGACATTACGTTCAACAGTCGCGGCGCTGGGGTCCGGTGGTGTCGGTCCGTTCATTGACCTTGGGTATTTTGAACATTTGCAATGGCTTCCATCGCTGTAGGAAGCACTGGGTCTCCATGCGGGGCAGTGGTACGGCCCCCGGCATCTGCATGGAAGGCAACATGGAGGCCTCGGCGCATGCCCAGAACAGCAAGGATTCCTGCCCTGCGAACTGATCGTGCATCTGGAAAAGTTGCTGTTCGGGAGCAAGGGGGTGTCTCCTTGCGAGGCACGGTCCGAAAGCAGAACGAGGATCGCTACGTTGTGCAGGTGCATGGTAGGAATGACCGTCAGATGGGGATTGGTCGGGGAGTGATGTACCTGAAAGAGTAGACTCAGCTACTCACCTCCATGCTCCTCTGCATGCCCAGATTGCCCCAGAGAGTGCCAAGGGTGGCGGCCTGCTGGCATATGTGGGGGTGTTTGACGGGCATGGCGGTTCTGCAACCGCCCAATGGTTGACCTCAGAATTGGATGGCTACCTTCAAGAGGCATGGCAGCAGGAGACGAATCCGGGTGAGTAGATGGCGAAGATTTTGTGTGCAGATTGGTTGATAGTGTGTCGAGCTGATGCGAATGGATGCTCCTGCAGACCCTCGAAAGGCCTGCTGACCAAGTCCAGCCTTGCACACGATACCCATGGTTCCATCTTGAGCCATTGCCCCAATTTGCCCCTCCTGATGTTCAGAAGCTGCTGTCAGGGAGGCCTTCATCGCTGCTGACAAGGCGGTGCTGGCGCCCAAGCCCGGCTTCTTGGGGATGGTCGGGGAACGTGGCAAAGGCGGGTCCAAGTGTGGGTCCACTGCCGCAGTTGCCCTCCTCTACGAGGTATGCATATTGTTGAATGGGGCATCACACGAGGGTGGGTTTTGTATATATGAGAATGCCTGTTCCTGCCATTCAAAGACCTGAGGCATGTCGGAATTGATTGGCGCTGCCATGTACCGCGCCTTGCCTCCCCGCAACTCGTCAGGATGCTCATGCAACCAAGCCCCTCACAAAACCTGCTGCAGGGGGACGGGAAGACGTGCCTGGTCACCGGCAATGTGGGCGATGCCAGGGTGGTCCTCGTGCAGGGCGGCACCTCCTACCAGCTCACCACCGACCATGTCCCCGACAGCGAGGATGAGAGGCTGCGCATCGAGGCCCAGAACCCTAACCCCAAGATGCCGCTGGTGCGGTACGTAGGCGGTACATGGCGCGTCGGAGGCATCCTGGCGCTCAGCAGGGCGTTTGGGGATGCGTACCTCAAAGTGAGAGCTGGACAGGCGTGATGGAATGGGCAATGGGGGAGGGGTGACCATCTTTGCATTGCGCGGGCTCGTTGAGAAATGCGGAAAGAGGGCCTTGTGTCTGTCGCAGCCCAGGGTTCAATTGTTTTCCCTCAAGCAGTCACGAGGGGACACATCCAGCAACTCCTCTCTACCACACCGTGTAACCTCCTCCACATCCCTCTCCTGGCATCCAGGGTAGCGGACAATTTGAGGGCGTCCGTGCGGGAGGCGATGGCTACTCCTCTGGCTTTGGAGTCGTTGCTGAGGTACAAATCATGATGTAGTTGGGAATAGTGGGACAGGACTTCCCTCCGGATGTCCTCTCCTGAGCCACTGTACTTGGCCATGAACCAATAGACACAATCGCACCCAAGGTTAGGGTGCTAAATTCCTTTCCTCTACTCATCTTACCTGCGCAGCCATACACAGAGACCAGGGAGCTCACGGCCTCTGACAGCTGGCTGGTGGTTGCATCGGATGGACTGTTTGCCAACGAGGAGCGAGGTGGTGGGGGAGGCCTGACCAACCAGGAGGTGAGCAGAAATTGTTTATCAGGAGCTGCTTCAACAACTTGCCCAGTCGACATGGCACTGGAGCGTGTGGTACTGCCACGAGTGTCGTCGCTTTCCTGAGAGGGACCATGCGTGCGCTTGCAGCGCTATCCCTTCCAGTTTCCACTCTAAATTTCACCCGTAGATCGCGGACGAACTGAAGCGGAAGTCTTCCCTGAGCTGCGAGGCTCTGGCCAAGCACCTGGCAGCCGTTGCCGTGGAGAAGGGGTCCACTGACGATGTGACGGTCGTGGTCCTCCGATTGGGACAGGCGTAGCGGCTTGCAGCTCAGCCAAGGGGATTGGGGGGCTCTGCGTCAGGTTTGCTCCCTGATATGTGTGGACAGCTGCACTACGCAATTCACCCCTGCAGCTGCCTCAGGCCTCCTTCTTGCCTCGCTGGTATCTTGCTCTGCTGCACTCCAGCATTCAGGCACCCCTTTTGATTAGCGAGATAATATCTCGAGTCTGGGATCTTTGTAACATTGCCACCATGCACATGCCAGGGAGGGTTCCCAGGCCCCAAGCCAGGATAGTGTCGGGCTCAATCGCGCATGCTGTCCTCGTCCTCAATCTTCGGAGCCAGGTAGAATGCAAGTCGGCCCACCTCCGGGATGTGGTACTCCACCAGGATCGGGAGCTCCTTGCTGAGCTTCAGGACGGCGTGTGTGCTCAAGGGGGTCGCCTTGGCGAAGCTGCGGGGAGCACAAGGGGTGCCGAGTGGCCACATGAGAAGCTGGCAATGAGCTCAGTAAAAGACAGAATGGTGGCATAATAAAGGAAGCAATCCCATACTCCAAGCTGTGCAGGACACATAACTCCAGCCAACCTGTTGAGGTATCGCAGGGCAAACGTCAGGGACACGGCCTCGTTGATGTCAATCTCCGTACTCTCGTCAGGCTGTGAGACAGTGAAATGGGATGTTGTGGATGAAAGGAGCAGGTGACTGTATTCCACACAAGTGTCACTGCTTAAATACTTGGAGCTCACAATGCTGCATACGACGATTCTACAAGAGATATGCATACAGGCAGACTATATCCAGAGCATGTGCTCCTCTGCTCCCCCTCCCCTCCGCAAGCATACCTTGTCAGCAGCCTTGTTCTGTCGGCACATGATGTTGGCATTGCCAATGTCACCCGTGGTGCCAAACTTGACAGCGTCCTTGGTGACGCTGATCTCCACCGTGTCTCCGATGGTGGACAGGTCCTTGACGATGCGCTGGAACTCGGCGGCGGGCAGCTTCACGGTGGCGTCGTACTCGTTGTCTGTTGGAGAGGATTGGGGTTGAGCCTGGCAGCCCTGGAACTGACATTTCTGTGAAGTATAATGTCAGCGACTCTGCAATACCACACGTTGCTGTGGGCCCACCTACCACCTCAACTCACCAGGGATGCCAAGATGCTCGCTGTCAATGTCCATGAGTTTCAAGTCAAACTCGGAGAGGCGTTCCTGCTCTGTTAATATCATAAGAAAGGGGGAAGGGTGCCTGTGGGGACACTGTCAGATGACCTTGCCAGCGATTGCATAGACCGAGGGTGGTCCAGGTAAGATTTAGGGCCTGCACTGCTAGGTTGAAGTCTCAATAAGCAGGACGTATGTCATGCATTTCTCAGCTGAGGCAAAGCCCAGGTCTATATGTGCAACAGACGTTGGCCATGCAACACACCTGGGGACTCAAACATGAAGGTGATGGTGTCGCCATTGTCCTCGGACTTCATTGTGATGGCGTCGTCGCCGTTGGCACACTTCAGGATCTTGGAGAGGCTAGCCAGCTTCATCCCTGTCGTCATGTCGGGGGTGCGGAGTAAGAACCTCAGGGCTTGAGCACACTCAGCGAATAGGCACCATAACAGTCTGTGCTGGCAAACATCGCCCTGCATCCCCTCGAGGTCATGCAACGCCATCTGATCACACACTGAAGCTCACCCATGCTGACGTTGCGATCACACCGGTAGTGCTCGAAGCCATCTGCCCTCAGGGAGAGAGCGACTAGGGACACATGGCTGGAGTCCATGGCCTGCAAGCTAAAGCCGCTGGAGTTGCAGTCGAAGTTGGCATCCTCGATCAAGTCCTTGATGGCCTCCACCACCTGGCGTGAGGAGGGGCGGAGGAGACATACGAGGGGTGGGCACGTCGAAATTTGAAACTCCCGTCGGACATCAGTCGAGATCCCGGTAGCGCTATCGCCGATAGCCGACGTGATTGCGCTATTAACGTAGAACTCTGTGGGTTGAATTGCGATCGGATAGCCATGGCAGTGCCGTGCAATCCCGAGCCAGAGTGGCGTACCTTCTTGAGCAGGGCTCCCTGTGCAAGACGCGCCTCAAACATTCTGCCTAGTGTGCGAAAACGGCGGGCTTCAGAAGATCGGGATGGGAAGTGCTATCTCAGATCAGGAATATCGAATAGACGGTAGCGGGATCGAGTGGAGTGCAGGTGAAGAGTGTGGCAGCTCGCGCACGCCCGCAAGTTTGAATCGCTTCCCTTCGTTCCAGTCGGCCATCCCCTCTTTCCAGCACAGGGGGAAAGTTGATCACAGCGATGGATCTTCTAGCCGTATACCTTCAGCGACATATCGACGATGCCTTGATACTTGGTTCTCCTGAGTGCATGAGTGCATTGGCCTAAGCGACGACTTCTTGCTTTGAGCCCTGCGGGCAGCCAATTGGCTGTGGCGCAGCGCAGCCGTCACACCAAATAGAAATAGGTGCAGGGTGTCCGAGGACACACGCACGTCGGCTTTTCAATGGCAAGCTGTCGCTGGTTCACTACGGTGAATCCGGTGAAGCAAATCTCCAGCGCTCAACGAGCAGGTGTGTGCGGAGGGTTGGAATCCATGCTGCTTGGCACGACTGAGCCAATAGGAACTCACTCACTCATGCGATTTACCGTTTGGAGTGGTATCTTACTGCAATCTTTCCCCCAATGTAGTAGGGTCGACAGCGAGGGTTTCATTTGTTACTGCGTCTTCCACCCCGTCCGTGACCAGCCTGACGATCATCAGGCCTGACGACTGGCACCTGCATGTGCGAGACGGCCCCGGCCTGGCCTCCGTCGTCCCGCACACCGCTGAGCACTTTGGGCGAGCGATTATCATGCCCAACCTGGTTCCGCCAGTCACTACGACCCCCATGGTGGGCAGCGTCTGCATGCTTTCCATGTGTGGTGCTCTCTTTGGGAAAGGCTGTTACTTTTGTCATGAGAGGAACAGCATGGCCAAGACGTGAGCATCAAACAGCCACTGGACCAGTACTCTGTGTCTGAGGCCACACACCATGCATCCATACACCGCAGGCGCTGGCGTATCGGGAGCGCATCCGTGCAGCCGCCCCGTCCGCCTCCAGCTTCCAACCCCTCATGACACTCTACCTGACCGACAACACCAGCGTGGAGGAGGTGGAGCGCGCGGCCGAGGCGGGCGTGGTGGCCTTCAAGCTCTACCCCGCCGGCGCCACAACCAACAGCGCCTCCGGGGTGACAGACCCAGACCTGTGCCTGCCGGCGCTTCGCGCCATGGCCAAGGTGCGCCTGGGGGGCTTGGTGATGGGTACCCAGCACGGGTGCACATCAGACCGGGATCACGCACCAAGGCGCCGATGTGCGGCCCTCTACATTAGCGCTTGGCCCCTCCCTGGCCTCGTGTCTTCCATTCAGGGGCCAGAATGAACCTCAATGGCACACGCCTGGGTCCGCCACCCCGCCCCAGCCTCGTTCTGAGCCTGGCGCACTGTGGTTGGGGGGGTCTGGGCAGGCTGCGCTCAGCATCCGGCACCACTCGTTACCCCCCTGGGACCCTATTCTTGCCACAGTATGTGCAATGGTGATTCCATACTCAATCCTACATCGCATGACCTCGCACGCTTCTGAGGCAGCAGCTCGCCCATTGCAGCATCGCACGGTCGCATGGATCAACCTGGTGTGGAATCACCTGCCCACTCTGTCCTGGGCAGCAGGAGTCCCTTTGACAAGAGCACCACTGACCACCCCTTCCCTGTGGAATCCAGGCGAAGATCGTGCTGGCAGTGCATGGCGAGGTCACAGACCCCGCCGTCGACTTCTTCGACAGGGAAGCGGTCTTCATAGAGCGCGTCCTGCGGCCCCTCCTCGATAAGGTGGGGCCGTGGGGGCCTGTTGATCTTACGGGCTCGATGATCTGAGTTCGTTTTCCAGGAGTCCACTAGTCTATGCATGCCGGCGTCGGCATCCCTGGCCAATTGGGGGGACATGAACTTGGCGTCCTGCCATTCTGTGTCACCCACCCCCCCAGCAGCAACAGGGTGTGGAATCCGCCTCCTCACCCAACCTGGCCCCCACCCACCCCCCACTCCTGCACTCCCTGGTCAGGTCCCAGACCTCAAAGTGGTGATGGAGCACATCACGACCCGCCAGGCTGCCGACTTTGTGGCCGAGCACGCCGGCACCGGGCGCCTGGCCGCCAGCCTGACCCCCCAGCACATGCTGCTGAACCGCAACGCCCTGTTCCAGGGTGGGCTGCGGCCCCACGCCTTCTGCCTGCCCATCCTGAAGCGGGAGGAGCACCGCCAGGCCGTGCTGGCGGCGGCCTGCAGCGGGAGCCCGGCCTTCTTCCTGGGCACCGACTCCGCGCCCCACCCAAAGCACGCCAAGGAGTCGGCGTGCGGGTGTGCGGGAATATACAGCGCCCCCGTGGCACTCGGCCTGTACGCCGCCGCGTTCGAGGGCGCGGGGCGGCTGGACCGGCTGGAAGGGTTTGCCTCGCTCCATGGACCCGACTTTTATGGACTGCCGAGGAACGCTGGTGAGGCACGGGGCTGGCAGAGTCCGATGTTGGGCGTGCAAGTGGATGGGCCAAGCTTCTGCGAGTCACTCGCGTGGACCCCCTCAGATCATGCCATGATGACGTGGTACTTAACCCGGGTCTCCAACCCGCTGCAGACACCGTGACCCTGGTTCGGGAACCCTGGCAGGTTCCCGCCTCCTACCAGTTTGGAGAGGGGGAGGTGGTGCCCATGTGGGCCAATCAGGTCTGTGACTGGAGGGTGGCGAGCCCCGCCTGACTGGCGTCGCCACGTTGGCGGCCGCTCGACGTCGGTGCACTGTGAGAACCCATGGGCATTGCGGCTTCTGAAATCCAAACCCAGAACTATATGTGCTTCTTTGTCGGTTGTACAACCACCTGTGTACTTGTTCAAGCCCCGGACATGCCAAGCTTGTAATATTTGACGAGTGCGACGGTGGTGGTCTTAGTAAAGCCTCAGGCCTGCGCGCGCGCGGATGGCCGTCCGTGTGGGCGTGGGCAGCGACCAGTGCCGTGGCATGTTCACCCGGTCTGCAATACGAGGATGCAACGATCCACGGAGCTTTATAGCAGTACATCACCCAAAGGCATGCCCCGTGGAACGTCGTGAGCTTCGGAGGTCCCGGCCGTGCTCAAGGATGAACGGGACGAGTCTCTTCTCCCAGTCCTACTCCGATGCCCAGGCCCCCTTCGATGCTGGTGACATCACGGCCACCCAGCTCGGGAGTCAGGTGGATTTCTCCTTTCTGGACTTCAACACCCAGGAGGCTGGAGCGGGGTATCCAGACCCTGTTCCTTTCAGCCAGGTGCGTTCCCCTGGCGCGCCCCTCCGCGGCCAAGGGGGAGGCCGGGTGCAGGCTTGACCACATGCCATGACGCTGGCCCTGAGCCCCAGATCTCCGCATCGACCACTGATTCCACACCGCCGACCTGGGCGCAGGTGCCGGATGCGAGCGTGGGCATCGTGTCGGCCCCTTCCTCGCAGGGGGGGGGCCTGGGCCTGGACGGGCCCCTCTCCGAGACGGGCCTCAGCCAGCTCAGCCTGCAGGACGCCTTTGATGGCTTCACGGACGGCGCCCCAGAGGCCGTCATGAAGGCGCCCGAGTGGGCCTGCGCGTGAGAGTGGAGAGGCTGAGTTGGACAGTCTGTGGGGGGAGGGAGTCCCCCCTGCTGGGCGGCGGGGGCCTCGCAGACCCTTGGATGTGGGCCATCAGTCACAGGGAGGGATCGTGCTGACTCAGCCATGCCACCCCTGCGCCATCGCCGACCGCGCCCACTGGTGCCCCGGCCCCGCCCCACCTTCTCCCCTCCCACCCCCACGGTCCCATGCAGGTACTGTGGCATCCACAACCCCGAGTCCGTGGTCAAATGCCTGACCACGGGCAAGTGGTTCTGCAACGGCCGCGTCACGGGGACGGCCTCGTGCATCGTCACCCACCTGGTGCGCGCCAAGTGCAAGGAGGTTTCGCTGCACAAAGACTCCCCCCTTGGCGAGACAGTGCTGGAGTGCTACGCCTCGGGGTCGCGCAACGTCTTCGCCCTCGGCTTCGTGCCCCTGGCCGGCGAGCACACGGTGGTGCTGCTGGCGCGGGACACGCCACCCTCGTCCCCGGCCATCAAGGACCTGGACCTGGACCTGTCGGCCTGGTCGCCGCTGATCGAGGACCGCGCGTTTGTCGGCTGGCTGGTGCGGCCGCCGGAGGCGGGGGAGATCGCTCGCGCACGCCACGTCTCCGGCGCCGCCGTGGCCGCGCTGGAGGAGGCCTGGCGCCGCGACCCGACCAAGGGCCTGGATGACCTGGCGCCGCCCCGCGCCGAGGACGAGCCCTGCCCCGTTGCGCTGCGGTACGACGACGCCTACCAGTACCAGAACATCTTCGGCCCGCTCATCAAGCTGGAAGCGGGTGGGGATGGCGGGGATGGGGGGTGGCGGGGATGGAGGATGGCGGGGATGGGGGGTTGGGGGTTGGGGGTGGGTGGGGTGGGATTAGGAAGTGCTGGGATGCAGTGTCAAAGTTTTCCGTGGAGCAGTGTCGTCCCAAGCTTCAAGGGAGCTGGGGAGGGATCAGTTACAAGCAGAATGCGCATGGACCTCTCTAGCAGGCATGGCAGCCTGAATGTTAGGAAAGTATCGCAGGATTGCTCCCCCCTTCCGTATGTCCATGATGACGGACAATAGCCTCATCACACACACACAACCCCTCTCTCTAACACCAACAATCTGCAGACTACGACAAGGCGGCCAAGGAGTCGCTGGCACGGGAGGACGTGTCGGTGCAGTGGAGTGTGGGCCTGAACCGGCGCGTGGTGGCGCGCTTCTTCTTTCCCCGCGACTCGGGCGACATGCGGCTGGTGGTGGGCGACGAGCTGCTGCTGCGCCACCCGCTGCCGCGTCTGGGCGCGGCGCCCTGGCAGGGCATGGGCCTGGTCACACGCCTGGGTGATGCGGGGGAGGAGATCGTGGTGGAGCTCCGCGCGCGCGAGAAGGGTAGGCTGCTGGAATGGAGGTGTGGGGAGGGAGGTTGATGGGGGTTGCTTTGAGGCTGGTGGCGTGCACGAGGTGCTGAGGCGCGCCTGGATCATGCAAGGCGGCGGGGAAGTGTCGTCGCCATCCGCATCATCCTTCACGACACATCCAACCGTGCCTGCTCCCCCTCCCCGCACTCAACATAGGCCAGGGCCCGCCCCCCACCGACGTGACCGTGGGCTTCCGCGTCGAGTTTGTGTGGAAGGGCGCCACCTTTGAGCGCATGCAGCGCGCCATGAAGGCCTTTGCAGTGGACGAGACCAGCGTCTCCGGCTACCTGTACCACAAGATCCTGGGGCACGTCGTGGAGGAGACGGCGCTCAAGGTGAAGCTGCCGAAGCGCCTGTCGGCGCCGGGCCTGCCAGAGCTCAACGCATCCCAGGCGGACGCCGTGTCGCGTGTCCTGCGCAGCCCCCTGTCCCTAATCCAGGGCCCACCGGGCACGGGCAAGACCGTGACCTCCGCCTCCATCGTCTACGCGCTGGCGCGGCAGGGCGCCGGCGCGGGGCAGGTGCTGGTCACTGCGCCCTCCAACATCGCAGTGGACCACCTGGCAGAGCGCGCCGCCGTCACGGGGCTCAAGGTGGTGCGGCTGCAGGCGCGCTCGCGCGAGGCCGTGGCCTCCAACGTCGAGCACCTGACGCTGCACCAGCAGGTGCTTTTTGGTTTTTTGTGTGTGCTAAGGGAGTAGAGGAGGTGACCAGGGCCGTCAGCCAAGGGACGAAAAGAGGCTTGGATTCTTGTGATGTGGTGCTGTGCAGCGCCCGGGCTATTGCGCGACGAGACTCTGGAGCAGCACTGCCGCCTGGGACGCCTGCACACGTGTATGCTGCCGCAACACCCAACACCCCCTGACCGAGCGCAGGTGAGGGCGCTGGCGGCCGCCGAGTCGCCAGAGCTTTACAAGCTGCAGCAGCTCAAGGACGAGCTGGGCGAGCTGTCCGCACAAGGTGAGCATCGTTGTTGCGCGTGCGAAGGGAGGCGTGGGCAACGGACATCATTCGGGTGACCTCCACCGCTGACTTTCCCGATACACCCACTGCCCCATCTCCACCACCCGCCACCCACGATCCCATCCCCTACACTTCCAGACGAGCGCAAGCACCGGACGCTGCTGAGGGCGCTGGAGCGGGAGGTGCTGCAGGCCGCAGACGTCGTGTGCGCGACCTGCGTGGGCGCCGGCGACCCGCGCCTGGCCCACTTCCGCTTCAGGCGGGTGCTCATCGACGAGGCCACGCAGGCGGTGGAGCCAGAGTCCCTCATCCCCCTGGTCATGGGAGCCAAGCAGGTGCTGCTGCTACTGCAAGGGTTGCTGGGAGGGCAGTTTGTGTCTTACATGTCTGGACACACGTGTCCAGGATAAGTGCATGTGCCTCAGGATGAGAATTCCCTCTGCTACTCCTCCCTGGTCGTTTCACCCCATCTCAAACTTACACCCACACCCTCCTTCCCCTTCATCCTCCCAGCTGGTGCTGGTGGGGGACCACTGCCAGCTGGGTCCGGTGACCCTGGCCAAGCCCGCCGCCCGGGCGGGGCTGGCCCAGAGCCTGTTCGAGCGGCTGATGCTGCTGGGCGTGAAGCCCATCCGCCTGGCGGTGCAGTACCGCATGCACCCCGCGCTGTCGCGCTTCCCCTCCGACACCTTTTACGAGGGCGCGCTGCAGAACGGCGTGTCGGCCGCGCAGCGCGAGCTGCCGGCCGAGACCTTCCCCTGGCCCACCGACAAGCCCATGATGTTCCATGTCCAGGTGGGGCAAGGGGTTGGTGGGACAAGGGGCAGGGTCACCCTGTCGGCCTGTTGAGTGCCGTCAAGAACCTTTGCTTCTAGTTCATGAGAAGTCGTTGCTGTTTGGCAGGGTGGTGCTGGCATCCATCACCACCCCAGCGTCGCCCTGATCGCGTCGGCGGGAGCCCACTATCCCACACCCATGCACCGCACCCCCTGCCCTTGCAGCTGGGCGCGGAGGAGATCAGCGCAAGCGGGACGTCGTACCTCAACCGGGCGGAGGCGGCGGCTGTAGAGAAGCTGGTCACGCACCTGCTGCGCGTGGGCGTGGCGCCCTCCCAGATCGGCATCATCACGCCCTATGAGGGCCAGCGCGCGCACGTGCTGGCCACGCTGGCCCGGGCCGGGCCGCTGCGCGCCGAGCAGTACGCGGCGGTGGAGTGCGCCAGCGTGGACGCCTTCCAGGGGCGGGAGAAGGACTTTGTGGTGCTGTCCTGCGTCCGCTCCAACGCGCACCAGGGCATCGGCTTCCTGTCCGACCCGCGGCGCCTGAATGTGGCGCTGACGCGTGCGCGGTATGGCCTCTTCGTGCTCGGGAACCCCCAGGTCCTGGCAAAGCAGATGATCTGGGGCGCGCTGCTGCACCACTTCAAGGACAATGGGTGCCTCGTGGAAGGTGGGAGAGCCAGGGGGACGCCCCTTAGAGGGTTGAGGTCCTGTAGCGGGCAGGAGACCCCACGGTCCACTGCATCCCAGCCAACACACAGCCCTGGCACAGAACAGCCATCCATCGCTCATCCCCCCCCGCATTCCCACCACAGGCCCCTTGACGGTGCTGAAGCAGAGCCTGGTGGCCCTGCCGCGTAAGCGCACTTTCTTCGACGCCAGCTCGTTCGGGCTGGGAGGCGCGCACAGCAACCGCTTCCGGCCCGTGGAGCATGCGGGGGAGAGGCACGAGCCCCCCGCTCCCCCACCTGCGCATGGGGAGGGTCCAGCACGGGGCGGGCGTTCCAAGGGCCTGGAGCCATCTGATGCCGCAGGTACCGCAGGAAAAATGGGGGGGGGAGGAGACAACATGATCTCTGGGGCAGGCCACCGGTGGAGACCCGTTTGCAAGGGAGCTGCGTCTGGGGATAAGCGTGGGCGATGCACTGGGAGCCGCGCCCACTTTTTGCTCCCACTGCGCACCGCAGAATATGACAGGAGCGCGCTCGTGGGGGCTTCGGGGCCCTATGCCATCCCTGGCAGCGATTTGCCCCTGGGCTCCGCCGAGGACCCCCTGCAACCTCAGGGGCTGGGACAGCGCGGCGCACCAGGCTTGGGGCAAGACAGCCTGCTCTTCCCGTGGACCACCTGACCGGGGGGAGCTGCGTCCGAGAGGACACACAGGTTGGGGACATGCGCAGCATGCTGAGATGCCGCCCACCTGCCCCAGACCACGACATCCCTCGCTGCATGCCCCCTGGGCGAGTGGACACGGCACGGTTCGTCCCAGGAAGACGCCCTGGCTGCCGGCGGGTGGACGCCGGAGGGCGACCCCGATTCCTGGTGGACGGGAACCAGGGCTGGAGCGCCGGTGGGCTGACCACTCCGAGGAAAGGGCATCCTGCCCCATCAAATTGCCTTCTGAAGGGACAGAGCGGCGATGATCAGCCCCACCCCACCGCTGCTCGGTTCCATGGTGTGCCGGATCGCCGCGGCTGGAGCACCACAGACCGGCTACTTGCCTGGCCATGATGCGCACTGATGTGCATGCGTGGAGGTTCTCCCTGCTCAAAGCGGTTGCCACACATGCAAGGTCCTGGGGTGTCCGATGGGACCAAAGACACTCCTGATCCATGTTTGGCTGCACAGAATTACATACTCGCACAGCAGAATGAGCACAGTGCTTCTGGTTGTGAAGCAGGTCCCGAAGGAAAGGTGAAGACCAGTAAGCTACAGCATGGTCACCGTGTAGAGGGCAGAGTCTGAGCCGGAAAGCCACGTTCGCCCGGAATTCGGGACCAGAAAAAGGCAAAAAGGCGATTGGAAGACCTTAACGTATCGAGTTAGACCACTCCCCCATAGCGACCGACAGTCGGAGCTGTCGCCAGTGGGATTCGAACCCACGCCCTTTCGGAATACGGAGTTACCGGTCCCAATGCGGGTCGATGGCAGCTGTGATTAAGTCGCGGTTAAACACTTGCACGCGCCTTCTGCGCCGTGATGCCCAGCCTTTGTCACTTTTCAGGACCTTCTGGACCAGATGAGCCACACACGTCTCGTCACACACTGCCCTCAGACGACGCTCTTCCCGGTGATCGTGAGGGTATGAATTGTGAACAGACAGTCGTGCCATGTGTGGGAAGCGTGAAGGCGTTCCAGGATCACCCAAGGGATGGCATGTCCCGTGTAAGTGCGCATGCAGAGACGCATGACGCACAAGGCGCGGGGCAAGCAGACTCGCTGCACCATTCTGCCCGGCCTAGTTGTATGCGCACTGCAGGAAGGGGTCCAGGGGCTTGCCGAGGGCGTAGACGATGAAGCCAATCTGTGACGGGGGAAATTGGGGGCCCAAGTGTAAGCATGGTGGCGACTCGGGGAACTGGAAGCGGCGGAGAGGGCATTGCTGCAGTGCAGGGTGCCCTCCCTTGCCCACTTACCTCACGCAGGGCGGCATGGTTGAGGGTGTTGCGGCCATCGAAGATGAAAGCGGGCTTCACCATGTTCTCAAAGATCTGTGTTGATAGGCAGGGGCGCTCGTGTTGCTGGGAGCGCTGAATGATCCTGGAAAAGTGATCGGCACGGGTCTTCTGTGCGTGACTTCCCAGTCCCTTTAGGCCTGGCAGGGCCGGGAAAGGACAATTATCCCAAGCTCACCTTCTGGTAGTCTAGTGTGGCAAACATGTCCCACTCCGTCAGCAGGCAGATGCCATGGGCACCGTGAGCGGCTTCGTAGGGGTCCTGTGCGCGAGACAGTGGGGAATCAAGCTGTGTGGGATCGAGCAGGGAACTCTGTTCGGTCCTGGAGCGGCTCAAATTGCAGGTGCGGACCCCCTGGTCGGACCGGCACATACCAGCCGCCACGGAGAAAGCGCGGCAAACACCAATCCTCCAATCATCCAGTGCACCCGGCGCAGCGCCCCCCGCTCACCGACACGATGCTGATCTCGTCACGTCCGATGACGGCGGAGCCCGCACGGGCGGGGTGGTCCCACTCGAACTTGGGCGTGGCCAGGTCCTGGTGCACCTGGTCCGCCCCCACCTGGGGGTCGTAGATCACGCAGTGGGCTCCGTCCGCCATCAGGCCGCGGCAGACGTCGATGGCGGGGGTCTCGCGCGTGTCGCCGGTGTCCTTCTTGAAGGCAAAGCCGTAAATGGCGATGCGCTTCTTGGAGATGGTGTTGAACATGGAGGAGATGACGCGCTCCACGAAGCGGTGTTTCTGGTAGTCGTTCATGGTGATGACAGAGTGCCAGTACTCGGCAACCTCCTTCAGGCCCACCGTCTCGCAGATGTACACCAGGTTGAGGATGTCCTTCTGGAAGCAGGAGCCGCCAAAGCCGACGGAGGCGTTCAGGAACTTGGAGCCGATGCGTGAGTCGGTCCCGATGGAGCGCCCAACCTCCTGCACATCCGCCCCTGCACATCGTGAGTGGGATGTTGGGGCATGGAGGGGGCAGGCCAGAGACGTCACTGGAGCAATCAGCCAGGTGAGAAATGGGCTTGAAACGTGTGAGTGGAAGGGTGCCAGTGTGGATGTTAGGTGCCATGTTCTGAGACCATGCACAAATCTGGCAGGGTTCGAGATAGAGGCGGCAAAGGGGGGGGGCGGACTACGCATCGTTTCAGATGGTGAGCGTGTTGTACTGTAGGTGCCTGATCTTGCGGGATATGAGCGAGAGGAGATCCTATGCACGTGTACATTGCATGCGTAAAGCACTGTTCTCCCAGATGAATACTGTCCCGGCTGAGACAGAGCATGTGATCGTCCCATGGGCAGGCCGCAGCTCTGGAATCCCCATAAACCCATCAACCTGCCGTCTTGCCCTCTGCAGCCCAAAGTCAAACACATACCTGTGGCCTCGCACAGCGCGGAGATGGAGTTCATGGAGCTGATGCGCTGCGCGAGCATGGCGTTGGCGGTCAGCTTGGACAGTTCCGCAGACCAGAGGTTGGTGCGCAGGATGCGCTCCTGGGGCACCCAGTGCGCGTACACGGCTGCCAGCTGCTCGATGGCCGCATGCCCAGCGGGGTTGTCTTTGCCTCCGATGAGCACGCGGTCGGGGTTGGTCAGGTCGGCAATCGCCGTGCCCTCTGCCAGGAACTCGGGGTTGGAGAGGATCTGGAAGTCTACCCCGGGGTCGGCACAGTTGCGACGCAGGACCTATGCATGGATGTGTGGAAGGTGAGCATGTGAAGTCAATGCAAGCGGATATTGCAGATGCCAAAGAAGTGTTATCTCAGTATACTTGTACTGTCACATCACTATCAGAGACACAGGGAAGAGGTTTGCGCTTGGGGTGGCACCCCTAGTTCCTACATGAAATGCACGAAGGCTCAATGTCCAACACAAAGCCCTCACTCATGGAGTGGCACGCACCTTCTCGATGGCCTCAGCTGTCTTCACGGGCACCGTGGACTTCTCCACGATTATCTTGGAGGACGTGGACACGGAGGCGATCATGCGCGCAGCTCCCTCCCAGTAGGTGAGGTCGGCGGCCTTGCCTGCTCCCACGCCGCGCGTCTTGGTGGGCGTGTTGACGCTCACAAACACAATGTCAGCCTCGGCAACGTGCTTCTTGACGTCGGTGGAGAAGAAGAGGTTGCGGCCGCGGCAAGCCTTGACCACCTCATCGAGGCCTGGCTCGTAGATAGGGAGCTTGTCCGAGTTCCAGGCGGCGATGCGGCCCTCATTGATGTCCAGGACAACCACCACGATATCTGGGCACTTGTACGCAATCTGTGGAGGGTTGGGATAGGAGAAGGAGGGTCAATGCCCGGGTGATAGTTACCTCATGGGCTAGGGGATGGGCTTGGTGAGTGCCTCACCATGGCCATGGTAGGTCCACCTGCAAGCAGTGGATGAGTTTGTGTCAACCAGTGTTACTGATTCGGTGCGTATGCGGCATGTGCATAACAGCATTTATCTTCGATGGCGATCCGGAGCCTCACCGACGTAGCCCGCGCCTGCAGGCATACAGGGTGCGAGAGGGGTACTGAGTTGGAGACTCACATGACGAATAGGTATCGGTCCGATCATTTGCAGCTGGAATATCGGACCACATGTCGAAATAGAGGCCCTAGATCTAGTTCGACCAGAGCAAGAGGTAGCAAGATCCCAGCACCACAACAACTGCGTCGGAGTCCGCAAGGCTGACGCCATCATCAAATCCCAGCTTAGCGTAACAAACTCACCGATGCACGCGATCTTCTTGGTCATTGTGTGCAGGCCTGCTCTTGAACAACCGCCAACTGCTCCGGTGGTTAGCGCTCTCTGAGCAGGGAATGCACTGCGCCTAACAGGGCCTCGTAGCTATTCTATATGTCGTTCAAATAGGAAGCATAAGCACTGGCGCAGAGAACGTCTGTTCTCACAGCCTTTTCCTCACATTCGTCATCGTCTCCCGGTGTCCCACTCTCCACCGGAGGTCTGCAGTACCAACAGCGCAATGGTGGCCCGCCTATTGTAATGTAGTTGATGACGAGGTCCAGCCAGGCCCGGGTTGGACCTTCCCCAAAACGATGGGTGCCTTACCTTGAGCATACTTGATCGCGAAGGAATTCCCTGGATTATGGTTATGAGAGATGCTATCTGGCTGTAATGCAAGCACCGACCGAGGTTTATGTTTGGTATGCCAAATGAGTGACCGCCACATCAGGTGGCAAACCACCAGCTGCCCATCCTACCTACAAATACTGTTTCGTACATGATGCCGACGTCCGTGGCTTATTTCCATGCTGTCTAGCGCTTCAACCTATGCAATGAGGGCCTATGCATATTTTTACAAGGGTTCAGAAGACACATTAAGCTTGCAAACAGCGATCACGAGTGATGGTGAGATGGATCCATGGGAACAGTGGACCCTCTAGATCTCTTGAGAATGAGAAGAACATAAAGCCATGCCGGCTCCTTGATGCACAAGTTGCTGAGCAGCTTGCAACTACAGAAAAAGACCAACATTGGGAAGGTATGAGATGATGCAGCCACAACATGGCGGGGAATGACTTGTGAGGAGGGTGAGTCAACGGACCGCAACCCTTGCAGCAGCCCAAGCAATGAAGAGATCAACCATGAGATCAAGCTAAGCTTCCCCGTGTTCACTCTATAAGAATGGGTCCAGGGGCTTGCCAAGAGCATACACAATGAAGCCAATCTGTGGAAAGGGGTTGGGTTGGTGATGAGACACACACAGACGATGACACCAAGAGTAAGATGTTGTCCATCCCACATAGGCAATTAAAACTCAACAAACCACCCTTGGGGGCGCACCTTGCGAAGCTCAGCATGATCCAGAACGTTTCGTCCGTCAAAAATGAACGCAGGCTTGACCATGTTGTCATAGATCTAAATGCATGTGGGAGGTGGGAGTCAAATGCATGCGTGAACACACCGTGGCCCAGGGTCCCCCGACCTCGTCCCTCAAGAGAGGTCAGCATGCATAGTGACAGGCGCTCACCTTTTGGTAGTCGTAGTGTGCAAACTCGTCCCACTCCGTAAGAACACAGATGGCATGAGCGCCATGCGCAGCCGTATAGGGATCCTGCACTTGATACAATGTTGGAGCTTGTGAATATGATTGCAAAGCCTGCGCTATGTGAGGTGCCACCCCCCGGCCCCCAACCCCTGCTCTTGAATCTCAACTGCATGCACTGTTCTCCAAGGACGCCTTCAGTCAAGCTGGCTCTTATATCCACACCAGCGCTGCGATCGACGCCTCACCCACCTTGACAACCTTGATCTCGTCGCGCCCAGCGATGGCAGCCTGACCCCTGCTGGGGTGGTCCCACTCAAACTTTGGAGTGGCCAAGTCCCGGTGCACCTGGTCCGCTCCCACCTGGGGATCGTAAATCACGCAGTGAGCTCCGTCGGCCACCAGACCATGGCAGACGTCGATGGCAGGAGTCTCGCGCGTGTCGCCAGTGTCCTTCTTAAAGGCAAATCCATAGATTGCGATGTTCTTCCTCGAGATGGTATTGAACATGGATGTAATAATTCGCTCCACAAAACGCTGCTTCTGGTAATCATTCATGGTGATCACGGCATGCCAGTAATCAGCCACCTCCTTGAGGCCCAGGGTTTCGCAGATGTAGACCAGGTTGAGGATGTCCTTCTGGAAGCAGGAGCCGCCAAAGCCAACAGATGCGTTCAGGAACTTGGGGCCTATCCTCGAGTCCTTTCCGATGGAGTGTGCGACCTCTTGCACATCCGCACCTGGGCGACGTTGGTGAGGGAAGAATCTAGAGGTAAGGAGAATTGACTCGTAATCCAAATGGGCATCAAGGATGACGAGACTCCCGCAGGATGATCATCAGAGCGCGGGCCAGCCATTACCCAACAATCCTCGACAAGCTCCAGCGTCTCATCAACTCGACCCCACTTCCCCACCCGTAGTCTCGCATAAGGCAGAGATGGAGTTCATGGAGCTGATTCGCTGGGCGAGCATGGCATTGGCAGTCAACTTGGATAACTCTGCAGACCACAAGCTTGTGCGCAGGATGCGATCCTGAGGCACCCATCGAGCATAAACGGCGGCCAGCTCCTCTATAGCAGCACGCCCGGCAGGGCCGCCCTTGCCACCTATGAGCACGCGGTCAGGATTTGCAAGGTCCGCAACCGCTGTGCCCTCAGCCAGGAACTCGGGGTTGGACAGAATGTCGAACCGCACGGATGCACTGGTGCAATTACATCTAAGGACCTGCGTGAAGAAGGGAGGAAGAGGCCTTAAGAATTGCAAGAAATCATGGTATGGCCCCTCCAAAATCAATCCAATACGCGTGCACAGGACACTGATCATTCACTTGACCCCGCCGGAACGAAGATCCGCAAGATTCCTTCAAATACACATTCCAAGCTGGCAAACGAGGGGAAACAGACCTTCTCGATGGCCTCAGCTGTCTTCACGGGCACCGTGGACTTCTCCACGATTATCTTGGAGGACGTAGACACGGAGGCGATCATGCGCGCAGCTCCCTCCCAGTAGGTGAGGTCGGCGGCCTTGCCTGCCCCCACGCCGCGCGTCTTGGTGGGCGTGTTGACGCTCACAAACACAATGTCAGCCTCGGCAACATGCTTCTTGACGTCGGTGGAGAAGAAGAGGTTGCGGCCGCGGCAAGCCTTGACCACCTCATCGAGGCCTGGCTCGTAGATAGGGAGCTTGTCCGAGTTCCAGGCGGCGATGCGGGAGACATTCAGGTCGACGACCACAACTTCTAGGTCCACGCACTTCAACGCAATCTGCACAGGGCGTCGGTGTGGACTACGAGTTTCCAGTTTGTGTGCAGGCACATGTTAACCCCCATGATTTGAACAAGTAAAGCTGATGAGGCAATCCTACCATTGCCATGGTTGGTCCACCTGAGCCGAGTGAGGAAAGGGATTTGCAGCTCAGTGTATGCCTGACAGAGACAGCATGCACCAGTTACATGCAAATCCACGACCACAGACGATGAGGAACTCGGGCATAGCCACCCGACTCACCCACATAGCCCGCTCCTGCAGTCGGAGCAAGTGATCGGATTCAGTGCTCTTAGAAGGCCATATGAGGTGCATGCTTGCAGTGTATGGGGCTCTCAGTTACGTGCATCCGCGCTCATGACGTCATCATCACATTCCGGGCATGCCGGAGCCAGGGCTGATATCTTTCCAACGAAGGTGCACAAGACACCATTTACACATTATAATCTATTCGAGGCAACAAGGGATCGAGCTCACCTATGCAGGCAATCTTCCTCGCCATGCTGCCCTCCGCCGGGAGGAACCTCTGCCGCCACAGTCCTCAAGGGCAGGGATGGGCTGAGAGTCTGGGCTCGACTTATAACGACACAAAATATCCAGAAGGAGAGTGCGTGTGTGCCCATCGTTGCCCAGCATGATGGGACCTCGGCATTCTCGGACCAGCTCACGTCTGGCGCAAGTCAGCGTGGCTCGTTCTTTCTCTGCACCTACAGGAGGGGCACCCGAAGCTTCTTGCTCCCGAATCCGTGTCGCCGGAGGAGCTTCAACGCAGGGTGTGGGAACGAGAAGCAGGTGTGATGGCAGCATGGCAGCCTGCACAGCACACCTTAAGCAAAAGATAAAATGTCGCCGATGCCGGGAATCGAACCCGGATCACGTGCGTCCAGAAAGGACTGGCACTCAGCACCATTTGACAGGCACGTATACTGACCGTTATACTACATCGACCGGCGAAGGTGAAAGACATCAATAAATTAAATGCCATGTTCTGCAAGACCCAGGTTGTCGTTTCTGGTTAGCGGGCCACATGCATGCATTAGCCACTCGTCCTGCAGAAGATCACATTCAGACGTGAAACTCCCTACAAAGCTGCTCCGAGGGAATTATTGCGAAAACCTTCGCCACCTTGCCCAATCGCGGTCGTCGCTCGGACGGGTCGTGTAGCAGGTCACCAGCCCCACGTCGTCGTCATGAACGACGCTCCAGCGGACAGCCGCATCGGTGTCTTGGCGCTGCAGGGTGCGTTCCGGGAGCATGTGACCAGCCTGCAATCCCTGCCAGGAGTGGAAGCCGTGGAGGTCAGGACGAAGGAGCAACTGGATGGGGTGGACGGCCTGATCATTCCAGGTGACGAGCCTCTGGCAGTTCTCAGGCCGTGCAGTCCACCAAGGGGGGATGTGCAGGGTCTTCCGTCCCATGGTGCGATGTATGTACGTGTGTAAGTGTGCACACTGAACACCCAGAGCGGTGATTGGTCAGCAACAAGTCCCTCAAGGTCGGGCAGACCTGCATGTGAAATCAAGCTCCAGCATTGCCATGAGGTCTCCCTTTGTCATGCCTGATCACAGGGGGTGAAAGCACCACCATGGCCTTGGTGGCAGAGCGCTGGGGTCTCATCCCTGAGCTTCAGCGCTTCACCAGGGAGCTCCAGCGCCCCGTCTGGGGCACCTGCGCCGGCCTCATCTTCCTGGCAGACCGCGCGGTTGGCACGAAGACCGGAGGCCAAGCGCTTCTGGGCGGGCTGGACGTCACTGTTGCCCGAAACTTCTTTGGCGCACAGATCCACAGCTTCGAGACGCGGCTGACTGCACCAGAGTGCCTCCTGCATGCCCCCACAGCGGTGGCAGGGCAGCCTACTTTCAGGGCCCTGTTCATCCGTGCCCCCGCCATCCTGGAGACAGGCCCAGGTAGGTACCTGGTAGGGTAGTATGACAGCAACACAGTCCATTGTGAGAGTTTCATCAGGGGCATGTTTGTCAACTTTGAGTGGTCGTCGCTCCCTGTCCCCTCCGCCAAGTTTGCATTCCCTGATGCACTCAGGTGTGGAGGTGCTTGCCAGGTACCACCTGACACCCGAGGAGGCGGCGGAAGACTCATCTCGCCCCGCCTCGGTTGTGGTTGCTGTGCGAAGTGGACACCTGCTGGCCACCTCATTCCACCCAGAGCTCGTTGGGGATGCCCGCTGGCATGCGCTGTTTGCCGACATGGTCCGTGAGACGATCAAGGGAAAGCAGAGGGAGGAGCGGCAGGCCCGGGAAGTCAGCCCCCTGGAGGCTCGCAAGCCACGAGACTTGCCCAAGCACTGAGCATATGCTCTTGCTCCTGCTGAGTGGCGGTGTGCCGTGGATGGTCCACTGACTTTCTCATGGCATGCAAGAAAGCGGGCACCAGGTGGAAGGCAATGCCACTGCAGATGAAGATCCTGCCCTCCAGCCCTGCCTCCACAGCTGGGCCCGCCTCTCCTTGGCGGAGCCTTGACATCCCCTTGCACACATGCTTCCATCTTTGTGCCATGCCGAGCCGTTCCTGAACCTGCCTCTGGCTCAAGGAATGCGATCCGCGTCGGCTCTGAGCAGGCACAGCCTGGAATGAACCTCAATCTATTCTTACATCAGGATGTTGCATGGACATCAATAACACACCTCACAACCAAGGGGGAGATTGGGTCATGCCGCTGCTCATGTTGTGCATGCCGGCACGCAAAGATCTATCGACACCAGGTAACAGAGGAAAGCACGTGTGTGTGTGTGTGAGAGGTGGGGGGAGTTACGATGGTAGGGCATCTTGGCAGGGCACACATCAGCAAGTATACAGGTCGTGCTTGAGCACGGCGTGGAGGGAAGGGCTGCCTATTGCAGAGAATGTGAGGGTAGGGTTGGGAAGGAGGGCATGGCATTCGCAATCATTTAAACGACTGTCCGCTAAGGGCTCAGCTGAGGAGGTCTCCCCTGCTCAGGACCCCGCTGACCCTCCAGTTCAGGGAGATGAGTGTAGCCAGCTCCCTGTCCGACAGCAGTGCTGGGCAGGCGCCTGTGGCACGACACATCAACGTCCTGCAATTTGGCAGCACAAGATATAGGGGACAGGTTGGGTGGGTTGGCGGGAAGTCTCTAGCTCACCTGATGGGGCTACAGGGGGTAACAAAAGGACGAACGAAGGTGGAAGTAGCAAGCCGCCCCAGAACCGTATTCTTGGTGCATGCCCCAGCATCTTCTCAGACTGAGCACCGCCCCAGTACCTGTTCGGTACTGCTGTGCGCACACTGCAGTGCTTCATTGCCAGCCACCAGCAGGCGATCAGATCGTGCAGCAGATACTGTTCCTCCGTCAGATAAGCCGCAGGCAATACTCCGGCAGCAGCAGCGGCCACTTGAAGGTTGCGCAGATTGCGGAAGAGCCACAGACCGCATTCCAGTAGATACTCAGAGACATGCACCTGGGTACGAGCAGGAGGATACCATTGTTATCTGGAGAAGATGTTATCGATGCAACACGACTCCTGCCCTGGCAGAGCTTGAATCTGTTTGGGATGCAGCTGTCCCTCCACACACAGGCGTCTCTCTGGCTCACCTTTGGCTGCAGTCTGACCAGATTACGGGACCAAGTTCGCATCTTCCCACGGAGCACAGCTTGCAGACCAGCTGCCACAGCATCACACTCGTCCTCTGTCGTGTCCCTGCAGGAACTGCAGGGTGTCTCGCTTGGCTCACTTCCGATGGTCAGTCGACGGCGCTTGCCCTCCTGACTCTGCACTTAAAAGAGGACAGTGAGAGGTTCCTGAGGCTCACCGACCATTGTTGGCCTGGCTTTCTGGCTGGGCAAGGAATTGCATCGGGATGGCTTGCTCCTTCCCTGTGGGCACCCCCATGACTCACCCTCTGGGGCGTGGTGGTGGCAAGGTGGTTTGACAAGAGGCCAGCTCCGACCAACACTTCCTTCAGGTCATACACTTGATGATTGGAAACCTCCGCCAGGCCTTCCAGGTGCAAGGCGTCAAGGCCATGGCTTTCCATAGAGGACCCCGATGTCGCCGAGCGCAACTGCTGCTCAACCGCTCGCCTCTCGTACGGCCACGGGATGTCTCTCGACAGCTCGAAAGTGATTGAAACAGCGATTTAAGATGTGGGTATGAAGTAACATGCTCACGGAGGTCGACGAATGGAGTGCGGGGTGGGCGCCTGTGGCCTCCGAGCAGGGTTGGCGTGCCTCGAGCTTGCCATTTGGGAAGGCAGGGTACGCAGCCCGAAGTCATATTGCACCCCAGAGACGGTCCGAAGTGAGGAAGGGAAAGATCGGCGCAAGGAAACGACCCGAAATGCTGGTTTCCCACTGCGGTAGGGCAGGAAGAATACCCCTTACTGCTGGGCATCTCACGATCGTCTGCCATGCCAGAAAGCGACCGACTGTACTGATATGCAGCTGCCCGAAGGCATGCTACAGTCTATTTGAACAAGCAAATAACGGAAGATGCAATGGAATTTATGGGCCAAGCTCAAAGGGCAGGGGCAATCTGTGCTCAGCGTATTGTGGGCACAGACGCCGCAGCCCTTATGTGAGGGAGGGATGAGAGCACTTCACCCCTGTGGGTGAACGCCATAAATTCAGGTCGCAAGGGTCTCAAGTGGATGGGCCTATAGGAGCGGGAAAGATATTTGGAACCAGTTAGAGGCAGGTCTATTCTGAAACTTGGGATTGTTCACTTCTGATGCATTTCAGAGCAGCGCCTGGCCATGGCAAGCTCGTCCACAGCACCTCTAGGACACTAATTCCCCACCTTGGGTTATCAGCTAGGCGGATCGGGCTGAAATTGCCCCAATACTGTACACCACCGACCAGACCGATCACGGCTGCCACCACAAGGTTCAGCAAGAGGCTTCCCGGCAGCCCCGTGAACTCCAGCTGCTCCAGTCTGAGTGTCTCCCGATCTGCATCGCGAAGTGAGCTTTTCTGGGTACGGGTCTGCAGACCGTCCTGCTCAGGACAAATTCCCAGCAAAGGGAGCCCACTCACACTGCATCGCCTGGTAACCGGTGAGACCGAGCAGCAGCAGAGACGCGATGACCAGTGCCTTTGCAATATTCATAAAGGCCATGCTTGATGCGTCAAAACAAGATATTATGCGCTCCGAGTGGACGAGCTGGGACACCGAGTATCTTCTAGGTGCCGATGCTTGCAACTCAAACGCCACTGCCACTCGGGTCCTGTCCCTAATTGGTGATGTTATCTTGTTTATAAGCGAGGCCGTGCAATCAGGTGCTTTCCTCATCATCGCAGCAGAGCAGGCAGAGAAGAGATGCACCGATCTTGCCAAACCCTGCCTGCTGCGCCCGTTTCGCTGGCTTGATCAGCCAGACGGCACCGCGGTGGGCACTTGTCACTGAAGGACCATGGCCGATCCCAGCCCCAGTGCTTTGATAGCAATTATGATTACATGAGAATCAAATTTAACTGAGCCTGCAACATCACCGAAATGACCACGATCGCTGTGTTTTCTCAGGCGGCGTGAGCATCCGTTCCAGCGTCTCCAGTCTCTCCTCCATGGACTTCATTGCAAGTTGCAAGTCTGTTGTCACATCGCTCAGCCTCTGCAAACGCAGGAGAATACTGTGAATCCTGCAGTCTATACCTTTTGCTAGCATCCATGAACTGAAATCAAGGCACGCCGTGTCATATCCCACCATCCACCCCAACCGCCTCTTCTCATCCAGCGCTCCATACCTTCTCAGCGCCCAGGTGCCACTCATGAAGAGCATCTACGCGTGCGCGGTCAGCAATCGTTTTTGCCTGCTTGACTTCATCTTCATTGGCCTTTCGTTGCTGTTCTAGCAGCAGAAGTAACACTGCTGTCTGGAGGAAGGCGCAAGAAGCGCATGAATAGCGCATACACAAGCTGACCATCCACCTGGTCTGATTCCTGCCCGTGGCTGCCGTCCTCTTCCCAGGCAGCGGCCTGGCCCTATCCCACACTCGCATACCCCCAGCAGCTCACCGAATATAGAAAGGTCTCGGTGATGAACTTCGATATCACCTCCATGGCATGCTCCTCATCCATATCAGCTATGAAGGCCTTTCCTGTACGACCCTCCGCTCCTCGGGTAATCCTGACCTCGACTCTGTGCATGAACTGCTCGAGGGGTCGACAGGGGAGATCGCGCTGAGATGCACGACACCAACAGCCCCACTCTCCGTCGCAGCTTGGTGGTGAAGAGAGTACGAATGCGCGCAACCTTTAAGAAAACACTTCCTTACGTTGGCGACCTTGACCAGTCGCTGCCTCACGACAGGGTGCGTGAGGAGAGCGCCGTTGAGTCTGTTCGCAAGGGGCTTGGAGACCGTTTTGAGGGTCAGCGAGAAAAGCTTAAACACAAGGGTCGCCATCGGTAGAGTGTCTCAAAGGAGTATAGATCGACTCCTATATATTGTGCAGCCTGCGCCAGGGAGGGCGCATGCGGGCCCTGCTGCAGGGTGGGTGGCGAGGTGAGGGTCGTCGACAGCAAGTTGTCGACGCTGACGTCTCCCGGGGCACGACCAGACCAAGAATGTTATTAAATTCAAGAATGTCTTAGGTTTGCCAAGGAGCAGGCCTCATTTCTGAAGATCTCAGAGATTATTGATCTTTCGAGACCAAGCGCGCCCATCTACGCGTTGGCAGAGGGGACCGATTATTCCTCAAACATCAAAGCTTGGGATTGACCTTTCCGCACTTTCGGAACTTTTACAGGCACTGAATTTGACGGGGAAGACATGCCTCCATTTCAGATTTGCGGGTGCAATTAGCTCGGCGGTCGGGAAAAATGTGACGAGCCCCGGAGTGCTGCACAGACTCCTGCCCTGCTGCCGAGACCCAATGTGACAATGGTTTTGCACCTTTGGTACCTGGGCTAGGTAGGGCGACCTGGTGACGGTCCTGCACAGCTATCGATAGGCTCATCAACATGTGGAAAGGCTGAAGTGATCCGAGTAACGCCAACTAGTCCTGCGAAAGCGAACACTGGGGCTTCAACAAACTTGAATCGAACTGCCTGCCCATGCCAAGCAACACAACAACACTCGAAGAAGAGCCCGCCACGTCCATCCTTTACACAATCACGTTTACAACTGGACTGTCAGCAGAAGACGAGGTCACTTACTGGTACGCGATATCGGCTAGGCCAATCTTGCAGCCCTCGCCCTCCTGTTGGTACGACAAATGGTGAGTGACTCAAGGGAGCCACTGCGAAGCAAAAGTGCTCCGAAGGGGTGGTTGTCCAGGATCCTCCACATTTGCTAATGAGATCTTGTCTAAGCTTGACATGGAGAAGTCCTTCCACAGCTGTACTCGAGGACTATTGTTCGACCTGCCACCCAGGAAGTCTCCGGCAAATGATATAAACATCCGAGGTAAAAGCTGCCATGCGTCTTCAAGTAGACTCGCGATTTAGGAGGCATCGAGATTATCTGTCTGCAACTGCACTGACTGTTTGCCTGCTGCTAGAAAGCCATTACGAACATCAATTTAAAGTGTGTCTCCGAGCACTTCTCTTGATTTGTGCAAGGTATAATGTGCAGGACTGCTGAAGTATGACAGGGCTCACAAGGAGAGCCACGACAACTGATGATGAGAAGTACACCAGATAGAAGTGAAAATTTGCCTCAACAAAATTTGCCAATAACACCAGCACCCTAACAAGTCACAAGGTTAGAAACCCTTTTGAACACAATGTGAGCATGCCATCGGAAGTGCTCCAACTGAATCTCATAGTATCGACGCGTTCGTGTAGGGGTCTGGAACTCCTAGCAAATTGACAGTCCGGCCCAGCAAACATACTATGTTCAAGATGCCTGACATGCATGCGCCGTTGTGTTATGCCTTACTCAGATAATTTTAAGAGGGACCGAGAGCGACACAGCATCAAGTCCGTTATTGCCATTTTTGTTGCGATGAATCAATGTAGGAATTATCCGAAGCTAAAGGAGAGCACACAATATACCTCTGATTGCTGCACGAGTGCTTGGAAATCATGCGATCTCCTTACCCCTTATAAGAGCCTCAAGCTGTCCACCAATGATGTGGTTCTGCGATAACATCCAACTGGTATGGTCCATGACCAACTCGTCGAGACCGTTTCTCTTGCACAGGAGCATGGGCTACGTACGTCCACCATCCTGCAGCCACATGAGAACAATATATACATTTTGTGCAGACTTAGGCAATCCCTTCTTACTCTTGGTTGACTATGCTTTAAATGAAGTAGCGGCAACACATGCTGCTTTTGGCCTACTCGACGTACGTAAAATTTTAAATTGATAGCGAACAGTTCACTGAATGACGCTTCAAACTGCATCAGCCTGAACTTACTGCAGTATCGTGCACATCTGCTGACTGTGAACCAGGCAGTCTCATATTTATGTCGCATACCAATCATGATTACGGTTTATTGTCAACAGCTCTCATGCTTGATGATGAAGTCTTGTTGCGTTGCTGCATTGCGCCGGTACGTCTCTGCTGGTATCGCTCAGATGGATGTAAAATGTACATAAGATAGCGGGAGTTCGCACTCACATGATACAGTAGAGGAGTGCCTTTTTCATCTGTACTGGTCAAAAACCAGACATGGGGTTTCATGCTTGCCCTGAAATGCCACGCTCGTTATCGATTAAATAATTCACGCAAAGCGAAGCAAAGAAATCTTTAATTTGCACCAAAAGAGCTGCCGTGCTCCATTCCCTGAGAGGCTAATGAACCAGGTTGGGGGAAGAAACAGAACTCACAGGTGAAACAACACGAAAATATCTTTGCTCACCTAGATAGGATGATGGGATGCTCTGGCAGGATGGCAAGACCTGCTCCAACCCTGGTAATCGTGATGATCTCTATTATGTTTAGCGGTTGCTTGGCAAGATAAGATGAGTCCAGTGGGATGAATGCATGTTAGGGACTATGGAGAAATTGCGAACGCAGCAATACGAGACTGCGAGGAGCAGCCAAAGAAAACTTCACTGGCTTGCAGCTGTATATGAAGTCACACCTCCATCTGAGATTAGCCCCCAGTATCTCGCTGCAACCCATTGCAGTTTATGGAAGAGTCCCCGCATGCGTACCTGGCCTCTACTGCCTTTGATCTTGGACAATTGCCTCCACATCATGCAATGCAGATACCGCACTGAATCGAGACTCGAGGATCAAGCAGAGGGGCCATACCCGAGCCAAAAGACGACGAACCGGTAGCGCACCCTGCATCAAATATGCTTGCCTGAGGAGATCGAATCAGTCCCTCTATAAGTCCATGAGATACCTCGAGATGAGACTAGCACTTCTGATGCTGATGTCGTAGTGTCCAAGAGTTACTTGACGGTTAAGGCTGCTGTACGTTTGTAAGGCAGGAAGGAGTCTTCTTTCATCACCAAGCTTCCACCTCTGGCCGATATTAACATGAGAGTCTCTACCGCGGAGGAGCTGGAGAAGATCCTCTGGTTCACTGATCTAGAATTCTAGCAGCATGGTACATCTGCTGGCGCCTCCGATCCCACCAGCAACAAGAAACCAAATCTATTCCTTTGCTGTAGTCCTGGCCAAAGAAAACCTCGATACAACAGCAGGACTGCTTGGCTATCTCATCTCAGGCGCACGAGATGCCACAGAGCAGATCTTAAAGATGTCCATACCCAATAGCACAAATAACGTTGAGGGAGGTTCACATGCCTGACATACCACAGCACCCACGGAGATGCTCGACATGCACAACTCCTTACTGCAAGGAGAAGACCAGAAATCATTAACTGAAACAACAAGCAGAATGCTGCTCAGATTGCAATGGATCCTGATCTGTGATGTTAAAATCCGGCAAGACAGGGGGTCATGCATCACGCCATTCTCTTGCCGTAAGTCTGATATCATGTTCGGGATTGCATCTTGTCTGACACAACCAACGGAGTCAAATCAAGCAGTGTGATGAATTTGCGTTGTAGTACTTAGTCTGTGCCCATGAGTACCATTCTGAGCAGCTACAGCCGTCTTGATCATGGCTAAGGGCTGTCGAGGTTCAGGCACAAGCGCGCAAGACGCTAGAGTGGTGGCAAAACTTAATTGCATCGCAAACCGGCTACTACAAACGTGTCACCTGCACTGAGCTTGCTGGATCAGGAGTCTGGGTTAAATATAAGCTGGTATACCGTCTTTAGTGCAACTCCTGTAGTATGTCTTTACTGAGTCTGGAAATTGTGCGTTGCCGTGCTGTCAACGTGCAATGCAGCTTACAAATGGGCGTGTATATGATCGCTTGTAAATGGGAAAACAGCATCCACTTACATGGATGCTTCAGTAACCAAGCAATACACGGATCCGATGTGCAAATACAATCTGTCAGATCCAAAAGTGTGCATCTTGGGGTAGATTCAGGGTAGGCCCCGAGCGATGCCACAATGAGTTCCTGCCAGGCACCATGAGAGTTTTGCGAGCTGATGTTCATGACAAGGTAGACGGTTTACGAGACTGAGATTCATTCTTTAGAGCTTCTGTAAGTACTTCCAGTAGTAAATGGCTCACATGAATCGCTCCCTTTCCCAGTTCCGCTGAGGGCGATGTGGTTTCCAAGTTGGCAGAGAGAAAATTGGGATGTATATCGAAGCAAGTGCAGAATCTCTCTATTCAGCTTATCCAAGACCTGGCTCACATGGCTGAGGACTCGAGGCAACTTTGGAGATACCCTGAAGGTATACCCTCGTCAATTACATCTATGGGATGAAAGATGCGTCCTCATGAGGCCTGAGATAACGATTGAAGATACATTTGACTCCATAAGTAAGTTACAGTATGCTGTGAGGAGTGCGGGCGGCAGTGCTATCAATTTATTCGGTGAGCATGCAGGTTTGCAACCTCCACATAGTTGTTCTTCGCATGTCCTATCTGACAAAGCTGCAGTTTCACAATCACATTGTCCTCGCGAGTAATTAGAACTCATATCCGGCTGGGAGATATTGCAACGTCATCGCCTATGAGAGTGAGTGCAGTGCTGCGCCTGAATCTCTAAGGCAGAAGTTGTGAATATTTGGGCACATGTGCAAAACAGATTCAAGCATCAGAAGATTTGTCCACAAAGACAGAAGGGAAGACACACCTTTTGTAACCCCTTGAATTCGTGACAAGGAAGTCGCCACAAGCTTTCCCCCACCCATTCTCTCTTTAGAATCACGGCGCTCAAAAACATAATCTCCAAGAGCAGGACAGCAAAGCCACGCTGCTGCCAAGTGAGGGATTTTGTCTCCAGTCAAATTGCCTGCAGTTCACTGTCAATTCTTCCGCTGACAGATGTGTGCTATGTTATTTTTCAACACAGCGTATGTTTCAGCTGGTTTTAGCCGAATCGAAGCATCTCCCAGAAAGCCTCATCTGCCGTGTACCATTACACCCGGCGTTTCCTCACAGCCGTTACAACAGCTTTTGTCTGAGATGGCAATGGCTGATGCCCTCAATGGCAAGTTGAGAGGCAATCTCTGTTCATTCATTCTCAATTATTGTGATCTATCGGACCGACGAGGCTGCGCAGTATTTGCGTGCCATGTCTTGCCCCACTGCTCAAGTAATGATCTACCCAAGGTACTGACATCTCAGATGGTGCAAATGAGGTTTATACCACTGCTACAGGACACTCCGTTTCTAACAAAGATGTAATGTTCAATATAACAAATTTAGAGTGAAAGCGGATATGGATGGTCATGGCCAATACGAGACAACTACATGGTAAGAAGATCGCGAAAGGATATTGCTGTGGATGTGATGAAAATACACAGTCAAGCCTCTGTGAAGTAACAACGTGAGACATAATTATTTGAGTTCAGAGACCCACATTCCATTTGAATATATCTTGTGGTGACGATGAGGATACCTTTTACTTTGGACAATTAGTTTAAGTACTGCCTATCGGCCATCTGTGTGAATCTCGAAAAGCAAAGCTTGGTAATTACATCTAACGATCAAAACCCTCCATTGTCAACTCCAAGCAGAATGCTGGCATACGGATATCTGATCTAATTCTAACACAATTGTCGGTCCTCTTCGATGCACAAAGTCTGCAGATTCACACTAGGCATGTCCCGAGACTGGATGATAGGAACGATCTTGTTTTGGAACCTGATGAAGTGTTAGCCTAATATCTTTATGTAAGAGCACTTTCGGTGGGGGTTAGGGCAGCTCCACCCGTGCAACGGTGTTGCCGAATGACCAAGCCATCAATTGCATCGAAAGCTCGTGTATTCCTGATTTTCACGCACTCGCGCATTCGCAGACTCACGCCATGTACGAGCATGAGCTGAATAGGACTGTTTATGCCATCAGTATCCCTGCTTTGAGTCTCGAATGCTTCCTTTTATATACTTCCATTCCCAGAGCACCCTACAGATTACATACTCGAGGTGCTGTGGATGCGATGCATTATTGTGTTTAGGTCCGGAAAGGTTTGGAACCTCTGACGCTTTACGAAGCTGCTCCAAAAAGAAGGTGTATTGCAATTGTGCCAGAGAGAGTCATCCTTCTGGGCAGGAATAGTGTCCCACCGACAGTATGTACTGCTTTATATGTGTAGGTGTCGTGTCAGTGACTAAAGTCATGGGTTATTTTTACGTTTACAAGTTGATGCAGAGCCTGTCTCAGGATCCCTCACACACAGATCTTTCACTCCTAAACCAGACGTGCCTCCTGAGATATACAAGGGAAACTGCATGAAAAGGTTACCAGCTATTCACATATCGAGCCCTTTCGAGGCTCGCACATCTCCTTGCCGGTGCAACAAGGTGAATTGCCATAAAGTGCATGGGCACCTGGCCACACCCTGCCATCGAGTCGGCCCGGCTTGTCCACTTGTTTGAGTGTTAGGACATATTTACTTAAAACTAAATACACAAAATTGTACGAAGAAAGGTCTTCATTTCTTCTGAACGGGTCTTGAGGTGATCCCTCAAGCGGATGGGCAGCTCCACTTGATCTTTCAGCAGAGTTTCGTGGTACGCGATCGACTTGACAAAGTTGAGGAGCACGTTGCTCTGCACAATCCTCTGCCGGATAGCAGAGGGAAGCTCTGTCTCGCCCTTGTCTGTAAGCATACCTCGCAGAACGAATTCCCAGGGTTCCTGCAATGCATTGCGAGACCAACTCAGCCTGGGGAGTTCCCTCACTTCCTTGGCAGACTGAATGCATGCATATGCAGTAAGTCATACCGTATACTGTCGCAAGGCTCCCGACTCCCCTTGGAGCCACCCAAAGTCCTGACGGCAAATACCTGAGGTTCCTGATCCTCAGACTCCCAAGACTTCATCAGGAGTGCTGAAGGGAACGCATCGCTTGCTCGCAGGAAGGGGAGGGGTACGACCGATCCTCCAGTGTATATGGTATGCAGTCGCTCCTTCAACCTTTGTACATCCGACTGCGCAGGGTGGGGTAATGTTGCAGGTATCTTTATTCCTGCAGCGAGCACCAGGCGCTGAGATGTGTGAAGGCTCAGCACTCACCTTTCCATGCGCATTCACCCAAGGAGGGTGTACTGATGGCAGGAGGTCAAGGTTGTCGAAGTCCGACATGGCACTCAGTGCAGCCGAGTAGTCACCACTTGTGTGAGCAAGGTCACCTGCACGTTTATTTGAGCGTCAACGATCCGAGGTTCGGCAGCAGAGACTCGGGTGTCGGGTTGCACCTCCCACCTCATGGTATGCCAGTGAAGGGGATTGGTCAGAGATGACACCTGTGAATTCCCCATGTCTGCGCACCTCTCTGCACAGGAGCAGGGGAAGACTGCATTGCCGCCGAGGTTCCCTGGAACAAGTCATGTCGCAGAAAGGTGCCTGCGCCGAAATTCTCCCCGGGACTGCTATGGATATTCTTGTCTGCAAGCACTGTCGTGGTATATGCAGCCGCCAATGTGTCTGCCTCGGCCTGCCTCCTGGCAGGTGAGGCATGCATCGCAATGGTCCCTGTGTGGGAAATTGAGGGGACAGTCCACAATCAGTGCGTGTCATGGATCCGTCGTTTTTAGAAAAGTGGTCACCCGTGAAGAGCCTTACCTCCAGCGCCAATGGTATCCCCGGACACAGCAGCAGCCGCAGCTGCAAGCTCGCTCATGTATGCACGTGTCCTCTGTATCATTGGTATGAGTATCTGCAAGACACTGGCTCTGTCCACAGAGATGAACCTGTGCTGCTGCAGAAATTTGGCGGTCGGCCGCAAGAGAACGTCCTGGAGTGATCGGGAACGGGGGCGAGTGAGGCTTTCCTGGCTTTCCATGCCCCAGAAGGATCACTCATGCAGGCTCTTGGATATGAACTCCGCTTGAAAACCTACAGGGATTGCTCATATCCTCACTCACCTTTTGGAGACACTGAGCAATGAAATCTTGGAACGTCAGACTCCAGCGCTCAGAATCCGACAAACGCGGCGCGGGATCCTTGACTATCATGAAAATAACGCGGTTAGGATTTATCTTCCACCGGGGTGGAGCCTGCTCGGCCATCTCTATCACCGTGATGCCCAGCGCCCAGACATCGACCTGGGAAGGGGAGGGAGGGGGTCGCTCTGCAACCCTATCATTGCAGTTTGCAGAGCAGCCAACAGTGGCCCGCCAGGGTCCCCTTGAACAAGCAACCCTCCACCCACCTTGCCATCATACTGGCTTATCTGGATGACTTCGGGAGCCATCCAGTGTGGGGTCCCAATGAAAGTATTGCGCTTGCTCATGGTATTAGTGAGCTGGGCCGCGACGCCGAAATCGGCCAGCTTCACCTCCCCGTTTTCAGTCAGGAGGATGTTGCCACACTTGATGTCTCGGTGTACCTGTGAGAAGGACACACGGCTAGGTGTAAGCTTGCGGTGGCATTGAGTTAAGAAATCCATGCACACAACCTCGGGAAAAGGGGCCACCCACCTTGCCCACAGAGTGGAGGTACGCCAGACCGGTCAGCGTTTCTCCGGTAATGTACTTGATCAACGCCTCGGAGAGACTGGACGAGTTCACGTGCATTATATCGCTGACAGACCCCCCGGCGCAGTACTCCATGACAATCCAGAGTGAGTCCGGCGTCTTGACGCTTCCCTGCGCCGTTCCGGAGAGTGTGTAGACAGTGAGGACCTGTATTCGTTGACCTAGCATCAGGGTGAGATCTGCATGCCGTGCAACCACTCACATAGTACTTGACGATGTTTGGGTGCTTGCAGTCCCGGAGCATGGCAATCTCCCTCTGGATGCTCTCGATCTCGTCGTCTGCGGCCAGCGGGATGACCTTCACTGCCACAACTTCGCCCGTGCTTATTACCCTGGCCTTGTATACCGCTCCATATGATCCCCGGCCCAGGGGGTGCAATAGCTGGAAGACTTTGTCCGGATCGTCGAGGACGTCCTGCATCGTCCTTCGTCCCCGAGGCGATGGAGTGGTAGGTACTGTAAAGCAAGGTTGTATATGCGTGGACAGTTTATCGCTGCTTACTCCGAGCCTTCTTACCATGCAAATACCCCTGCTTCTTCGGACCGACGATCTCGCGCTCTCTCGTGCCACGTCACACTGAAGCCTTGCAGGGTTGAGTTGCAAGCTTCCAGCAGTGGCTGGAGGTAGAAGTGCCGGAAGCAATTTCAAGAGACTGCCTTCAAGACTTTCTTCCCAAGTGCCTGGTCGCTGACAATCTGAACGCCTCCCAGGACTTGGGTAGACCCTTCTGATGCCTGGACCTTTCTCAAGCTCCCCACGTCGTTCTGCAGAGAGGTCACATGGGTGCTGGCAAGGGGCATACGCAGGGTAAAGACCTGCGACATGGCATTGGTTCCAGTCCCGGTGAGACCTCTTCATCTGTACCCTCACCTGGGCTCGAAGATTGCCTTCGCATATGTTTCGCACAGCCAGAAGTGCCCACTCCCGGGCCATGGGAGCATCGTGATCAGATTGACACTGTGTCAGTATCAGAATTAGCTTCCCAGAGTCAAGCACAGCTTCTTGGACAGCCTTCCGTCGATACAGTGAATTAGCCAAAGCTGCAAAGGAGGATAGAACACATGCGGAGGATTGGTTTGGGAATGCTACGTGCTAAAACCAAAGTAGGTTGCTCCTGATGCTGACGGGGTTTCCAGTTCAGGCAAGGACCACAGAACTCCCTTTCTATGAGGAAAAAGATGGCGACAGGGGGAACTCAACAGACACACGGGCACCGCTCCTTGCCACAAGATACCCTGTTCCTCACACCTGCCAAGACATCAGTCTTGACGTCCAGAGTATGTTGCGCTGCTGGTTCTCCGGCTGGCGCCTGGTCTTTGCGAGGGGCCGGCACCATGTCCAAGAGACATAGAAGGAGCTCCACAAAGCCTGCCTGCAGCAAAGCCTCAGCAAGAGGGGCCTTGTGGACTGACAGGCCCCGGCCCTGGTCATCTCTTGCCATGATCGCCCTGCCAAGCGCCAAGACTCCTCTGACAAGCATGAGCGAGTTGTCGCTCGTCAGGGTTTCGCGCTTTTCTGCAATACCACGGGCTAGCTTTCCCAGATGTTGCATCGCTCGAAGATGGTTTGTGGCAACCGAGGTTCCCACTTCACTGCAATATGCGAGAAGAATGGCGTCAGCAAGCTGGGCTTGTCAAAGGCTTGCCACCACCAACCCCGTGTGCTCCCTGGAGTGCTCTGCTTCCGCCACCAACCTGTATGGCACTGATGCGGCTTCTTGGCAGAGAATGTCCAATATCATGCACGTACAGGGGAGTTCAGCAGTTGAAGTCTGTAGCAACTCCTCCGCCAGGCCACTCTCGTACACCGCATACCCAATGAGGAGGGGTAGGTTGTCCCATGCGTGGTCCTGCCGAAATGCTGGCGAGCTTCAGGATGGAGGGCATGAATGCAGAGTCAACAGTTGCTGCCACATCCAGTGCACACCACCCACCAGCTGGGGTAGCAATGTGAGGATCTTCTTGATGATCCAAGCCACATCCGGCTTGGGGAGATGGGGCTCCCTCCACCTCTGGCAGCATAAGAACAGAAAATAGCAGAGGGCATCGAGCACCGGTCCTGCCCGGACAGACGGAGAGTCAGGGATGATGAGCAGTAGAGTAGATTCCATACATCTCCATCACTGGAGTTTCCAGTGCATGGCGCAAGGAGTCATACCTGTGAAGTTGCTCAGCGCGCTAAGCAATCCTGCCTCCAATAGGAGGGTCCAGCACAGGTGCACGGCTGCAGGAGAGGATGCTGCAGCATTTGCAAACGTCTGCATGCTCAGGAGCTGCAGGGTAGCAAGCGGATAGCTTTCAGTGGTGTCGAGCCGCATGGCAAGCACATTCGCCAATGCACCCAGCACTCCAGTTTCTCGTAGCAGGGCCAAGTTCTGCGGCCCTGTGGAGGCTGCGTTCCGGAAAATTCGAATGCACTTCTCGGCAACTTGTATTTGCACGATACATCTATTGGGAACGCTGGACAAGTCCAGCCCTTTAAATATTCGAATGGCGCTCTCGAGCCCGTCGGGATGGTGGTCAGTCATGACAGGAGGACTGCTCGTTTGTCCAATGACAAGACAGGCGCAGGCAGCGCGTTGGACGCAGATGTACCAGTATACGCCTATCGCTGTATGACGAGATATATTGGCACACACTCTCCCGGCCCTCTGCTGGTGTTGTCATTCGTAGGGCTTGCCCGCTTCGTGCAGTGCCTGCTGCGTGGCTGCCGGAACTGCAGGGTTAAAAGCTCCTCGGCATCAGATGGATCCCTTCAGAATAAAGCACCACACGTGTCCACACTGTTTTTCGGAGACCATATAGGCCGCTAGACTTCATCGTGTTGGCATCTTGCCGGAAGGATTGAGTTTGCAGGTCTTGCACACACATTTCCGGAAGGAAGGCCGGGGGTCCACCGACGTTCAGCTGCGATTTCGTGATCAATGAACCTCTTGAAAGCCTTGGGTAAACGTAGAGATGGCGGTGGTGACTTGTGTGGACGCTCGTTGGCGGTGGACGGTCTGCAGATCAAGGTTGAGAGTCTCATAGGAGAAGGAGGATTCGCAAGCATTTACCGCGTAACAGAAATGAAGTCTCGAACGATATTGGCCCTGAAGCACTTCCGTCTCGGGTATGAGTCTGGAGTAGGCCGTGGGGGTGGGGTGCTGAGACCCAGAGAGGATTCTTGCAAGGGGGAGTGTCCATTTTCCCACCATACCCTCCCGAGCACCCCCGTATTTTACCCACAGAGGGGATCCAGGCGCCGTTGCAGCTGTCTACAACGAGATTGGGATCATGGACGAGCTGCGTGAATGCCCGGCAGCACTTTCCCTCGTTGCCGCCGAGTTTGGCCCAGGGAATCAGGAGGCATTCGTGCTGCTGGAGTTTTGCCAGCATAACCTGGCAACCCATCTCCAATCCTTGTCGCGGCCAATGGACCTGGAGGGCATCCTTGCCGTCTTCCAGCCAGTGTGTGTCGCCGTCGAAGCGCTGCATTCCCTTCAGCTGCCGACAGTGCACAGGTGAGCAGACGCTGTGGTGAGATGAGTGGTCCTTGCAGAAAACGTTGGGCAGCCGGGGATTGCCGGGTACATGTCCCTGACCTCAATGAATGCCTCTCCGCAGAGACATCAAGGCAGAGAATGTACTACTGCACAGCAACGGACAGTGGGTGTTGTGCGATTTCGGGAGCGCCACCACTTGTCAGATGGTAACTGGGGGTCTTCTGGGTCTGTGCAAATATGCAATGGTGTGGGAGGTTCACTGGTGAAAGTTGGGCATGAGTCTTCATGCATGACAATGTGGGCATGATCGAATTTTCGCAGGCGTGTCGCACGGGGGCCGACATTGCCCTCTTGGAGGACGAAATCCAGAGGAATACCACCCCAGCCTATCGTGCCCCGGAGGTATACTGTAGGGGACAGATTGGACCATGGAGGAGGGGCCGCTTGTTGTGCTGTCTGGCCATCCATCCTCCTTTTTACAAGGAGGCATCCTTGCCCCCACTTGCCTGATGCGGTACCCATCACTGTGTCTGACCTGTCTCCACCAAAGCGACCCTCACCAACCTAGCCACCCTCTACTCCTGTGGTCAGATGTGGGACCTGTACGCACGTGAGTTCATAGGCACCAAAGTAGACATCTGGGCGCTGGGATGCCTGTTCTACCTCCTCTGCTTTGGGAGGCTACCATTTGAAGGGGAGGCCAAACTCCAGATCTTGAATGGGAGGTACGAAATCCCCCCTGGGACCCCAGCTTCTATCCGGGAGCTCCTGGAAGGCATGTTGACCATCAATGTGGCTCGACGCTGGGACATAGGCCAGGTGCGAGCAGACATTGGTGGACAGGTTCTCTGTGAGTGCAAGATAATGGCCGGCGCTGCTGTCACTGGTGAGACAGCGCAACTGAAAACAGTCCCATTGGCAACTCATGCACACCAAATATCCGTCAAAAGGTGCAAGAGCGCATCTCAGCGTTATCGAGGTCGTCGGCTGTCGAGCTTGGCCCTGTGGAGCAACACGCATCTGCTCCCGCTGGTGCCACCCATTCCAGACCCAGCAGCCGAGCTGCCTCCCAGTGGGCCCCTTCGGCATCGGCTACTCAGTCCCAACAGCAGCAAGCTCGGGTCGTCAGTGACACAAGCTTACCAAGAGGGCCGCTTGCAGCACAAGCTGCAGCTCTTGCGGCCACTCCTACAAGCGCTGCAGCAATGCAGGCAGCAACAGCCTTTGCCCCATCTTCTGCAAGCGTTTCATCAACCAACACTGGGCTTGAGCATCGCTGCCAACCCAGCGACTGGGCGACAGGCTTTGAGGAAATCCAGCCTGTGCGCATGCCATCTACGGCCAATGCCCAGTCTGCCGATTGGGCTACCTTTGGGAGTGAGGCATTCCTGCCAGTCGACCCCGTGAAGACTAGCCCCAGTCCTCCTAGGGCGCCAGCCGGGGCTGATCAAAGGGACAGCGGGCAGCCTGGGTTCCACCAGTCCTTTGGACAGGAACCCTCTTCGTCTGCCCATATTATGGAGGAACCCCCAACCGGCAGCATTGGAGGTATGTAGTTTGAGCTTGCAGGAGACGAAAGAATTGCATACGGGATGCACATCGTGTGAGGAGGGGCCATCCGTGCAGGCACTCGAGCTTTGACTCACAGCTGACATGCTTGGATGCTGCTTCCACTCAGCCGCTCTGAGTTCGCTGTCCAAGTCCTGTTACCAGAGAAGCCAAAATCGACCTCTTACTGTGCCTGGCGCTCCGCAGGGCACTCACAGCATTCGGAGGGTCTGCTTACCCAGAGCATTGATCCTTTGACGACAGAGTTGAGCGCAGCCTTGAGTCGAATCGCCGATCTTGAGGAGACATGTGGAGCTCTGGAGCATCTCTTCAAGGTGTGTGGGGGGGTCACGAGAGCGTGTGCCACGCATTGCAATTGCCACCCGGAGCACTTTAGGTGGCCGATTTGTGCCATTTGAGACACTCCCTCTTCCTTTGCATCACCTCTACAGGACAAGGTTAAGGAAGTTGAGACGCTCAAGGCACGTCTGGCAAATCAGGATCAACAGCTGGAGGCTCTGCGACTTCAGATTCTGGAATCCAAAGAAGCAAGCCAGGTCCGGCTCTGGGCACCACCTGCATGTCTCGTCAGGCTCGCGTGTCACCTTGCTGTTGTTCCTTCAACCCGTCAACCTCATTGTTCACATCCGTTGTATTGCTCACTTGTTGCCCGAGATCAGTCTTTGGTTGCCATGAAGGAAGCTTGATTACCCTCTGACAGTCTCCCTTTTCCCACTCTTCCCTCTCTCAGGGTGACAACAGCCAGACCCTTCTGTCCACACTCTCGCTGCACGAAAATAAGCCTCGCACAGAAAGTTCCACCCATTCCCGAAACACCAGCGATCCCCCGAGCGGCGCTTCTTCGCCATCAAAGCTCTGCCGGCCTGTGGCCAGGTCTTTCACCACAGGAATGAACGGTGGGGCTCAGAACTACTCATCCCCCATGCGAGTCCCGACTGGTCCCATCTCCCTGTCGAAACCTGTCGCCCAGCCAATGCATGGGAGGAATCTGAGTCAGCCTTCCTGCTTTGAGCAGCTGGACCCACTAGGCTGACGGACGATTCCTTGGCAGAGCCCAGGACTCAAGCAGCCACTGTGCATGCCTGGTGTAAGAACACGATGGGATTTGAAGACAGAGAGAGGCATAGAAATGGCAACGTTGGTGCCGCAATGGCATCCATTGAGTCAGTGATTCTGTGTGAGTGACACACTCGACTCAGGCACAACAGGCAACCCCTTGGATATTGCTCCCTCCATATAGCCTGTCAGATATTCACCTGTATGGACATCCCTGCACATAAGGAATCAAGAACAAACATATCTTGTAAGCCCAGAAGAGCGGGTGCCTCAGAGGTTCAAGCTGGACCAAAGGGGCGAGGTGAATGCGACCTTTGCCTGCCAGTTGGGTCAGCTGGGCCAACAGGAAAGAAAGAAGCGCACGAATAGGAGCAACTCGACCCCGCGACATTCTAAACCTGGCACGCTCTGGGGCCTCAGTTTTTCATCATCGTCCGACGCCTTGCGCACCATGAGCGACACTCAGGGGAGCGACATCTGGTCGGCGGCGGTAGGTCTCCCTCCCCTGCGTTGACTGGTCAATCTCCAGGTGTGGCCCATGCCCTGAACTGAGCTGTCTCTGCTCTCGACCACACAGGGCCACGTCAAGATTCCAGACGATGCCTGGGAGTATCAGATCCGGAAGACGTTGAATGATGCTGCCTACAATGGACTGGACTACGTCCCGTACTGCTCCACCATGCCCGTGCAGCCGAAGTGTGATGACGCCAAGTTCATCTGGGTGAGTGAAGCCTGACGAGGAGGGAGGGAGTTGCCTTTGATGTTCGTTTCCAGGTTTTACTGAATCCCACCCAATCCTGGTTGCAGAAAAAGAAGGGTGGCAAGTAGGCTAGGCCTCTGTTGAGGCTCGACTGGCTTGGTACTGTGGCGCCAAAAGTCTACTGCTTCCTTGAATTCATGCCTGTGAGGAACTGCATGTGGCTCTATAGCCAAATTTGCTGCAGCAGCTCCTTGTAGGTGCTGAGATCTCTGTGCAGGCACCAGGGGAAAGACACCCAGGCATGGGATGCTGAGAGGCTTGTTTGCAGAGGAGCAGCTGGGAGGTTGACATGACGCTGAGGGTCTTGACAGCGGAGGGTGCAAGGCATCAAGAGAAGAGTCATGCATGCCCCTCTCATAGCAACTGCGACCTTCTGGGCCAAGCAAGACCTCGCTGTCCTGACTGGTCTGAGTGGACTCCACATCGAATAGGTGGAAAGCATTTCAAACTCGTTAGCGCCCTCGCGAGGCCAGTCCCGGGGCTCAACCACGACTCGCAGCCCTTGCTAGCCTGTAGACATCCTCTACTCCGCGAAATCAATTCTTAGATTGTGGTAGTTGCTGTGCATCAGGATGAAGTACATTCTGGTGACGGGAGGGGTGGTGAGCGGCCTGGGCAAGGGTGTGACGGCCTCCTCCATTGGAGTGCTCCTCAAAGCCTGCGGTCTGCGCGTCACCTCCCTGAAGATTGGTAAGTTTAATTTGGGTTGCCAAGGGCGGAGGCTGTGTCGTCGAGTACTGTCCTGCATACCCGGTGTGACTCACCCAGGCGCTCCGGGTCACGCCCCCGTACTCTACCCCGCAGACCCGTACCTGAATGTGGATGCCGGCACGATGTCCCCCCTGGAGCACGGCGAAGTGTTCGTCCTCGACGACGGTGGCGAGGTGTGCCTGAGCGTGCACCTCTGCGCTGGGAGGGCATTTTCCAAGGCTGGCCTACTCCCTTCCTCGCAGCACTGTGCAGAAGGCAACACTGTTCCCCATTTTCCAACCAGGCCGACCTGGATCTGGGCAACTACGAGCGATTCCTGGACATTTCACTGAGCAAGAACAACAACTTGACCACCGGGAAGGTCTACCAGGTATGGTGCAGGTGTCTCTCCGCCTACCAAGGGTGCGGGCAGCACTCTGACAGAGAACGTCGGTTTGCATCCGTGCGCCAGGGAATGTCTGCCACGCCATGCGCCCAGCCATCGCCCGCTGCTGCGTCTATGCACCCGCTAGCATCCACCCGGTTTACCCTTTCCCCGTCAGGCGGTAATCGAGAGGGAGAGGCGCGGCGACTACCTGGGGAAGACGGTGCAGGTCGTGCCGCACATCACCAACGAGATCCAGGACTGGATTGAGCGCGTGGCCCACGTCCCAGTGGACGGCACGGGCTCCATCCCCGAGGTCTGCGTGATCGAGCTGGGCGGGACGGTGGGCGACATCGAGTCCATGCCCTTCATCGAGGCGCTGCGCCAGTTCCAGTTCCGCGTGGGGTCAGGTGCGCCGGTGGAATGAGCCTGTGGACGCCTGGGTCGCTGATGGCGGTGGATGGATGGTTGAGGAGAGGAGCGGGCTCTTCTATCGCGTTTGATGCCTGTGTCTGCGCTACGATCCCCTTGCTACCCTCCCTGCAACCCCACCCCGCCATGGCATCCTAGAGGACCGGAAACCACAACTCTGTACACTGACATCCATCTCTATTCTCCCCCAGGGAACTTCTGCGTGGTGCATGTCAGCCTGGTGCCCGTGATCGGGGCCGTGGGCGAACAGAAGACCAAGCCCACCCAGCACAGCGTCTCCACCCTGCGCTCCCTGGGCCTGAACCCCTCCCTGCTGGCCTGTCGCTCTTCAGAGCCCCTTAACCAATCGGTCCGCGAGAAGCTGGTGCGCCAGGCCGCCCGTGCAGGCAGCGAGGGGTGGTGGGCTGTGCGCCGGACGAGATCTTGCACTCGGCCCCACCCTATCGCCACCCCCTCCCTCCTCTGCAGGCCTCCTTCTGCCACGTGGCCCCGGAGCAGGTGCTGACGATGCACGATGTGTCCAACATCTGGAGGGTGCCCCTCATGCTGCAGGACCAGGGGGCCCACACCACCATCTGCAGCGTCCTTGGCCTCGGCGCCTCCGCCCCCAAGATCGACATGCAGCGCTGGAAGACCGGCATCGCCGACAAGTGGGACAGCTTGAGGGAGGTGCGGCAGCGAGGGTGGGGGGTGCCTGCATCGAGTCTGTGCTCAGATTGCAATGCGGGGCAGGATGGGCTGAGGTGGGCGATGCACCCTGTGTTGGTGAGCAAGGCCAGGAGGCCAAGGGGTCACCTGATGCAGACTCTGCCCACCAGGATACATGACCAAATCGGCAAAACCTGATGCACGTGTTCAGCCTCACCTTGCCTCCCCAAATGCAGGCCCAGGCGGTCAAGATCGTGCTGGTGGGCAAGTACGTCGAGCTGATGGACGCGTACCTGTCGGTCACCAAGGCGCTGCAGCATGCCTGCCTGGCAGCTAGCGTGAAGCTGGACCTGGAGATTCTGGAGTCTGGTGACCTCGAGCCCGTCACGGCCGACTCGCCCCACGATGAGGCAGCACACCAAGGTCAGTCCCGCTGCCTTGCTTATCTGGTGGGTTGGGAGGGGCAGGCTCCAGAAAACTTTCATTCATCTGTGTTGGCATGGCAGCCACGGCTTTTGGGAGAGGCTGCCCTGTGTGGGAACCCTCTCCTTGTTCCATGCCTCGCTGCCTCCCCCCACTGTAGTTTCCCAACCCAGACCCTGACCCACGTCGTGCGCATAGACCCCCTCCCCTCCCCCTTCCTGCCCGATCGCGCAGCTGCATGGGCCATGCTCAGGTCGGCCAAGGGCATCCTGGTGCCCGGCGGCTTTGGCGGGCGCGGGACGGAGGGCAAGATCGCGGCCGCCCAGTACGCCCGCACGCATGGCGTGCCCTACTTTGGCATCTGCCTGGGCATGCAGGTCGCGGTCATCGAGTTCGCGCGCAGCGTGCTCGGCCTGGCGGGGGCCAACAGTACAGAGTGGGACCCTGCCTCCCCCGCCCCCGTCGTCGTGTTCATGCCGGAGATCTCCACCACGCACAAGGGCGGCACCATGCGCCTGGGCATGCGGCGCACGCTGCTGGAGACCACCGACTGTGTTGCCGCCAAGCTGTACCAGGCGGAGCAGTGGGTGGACGAGCGGTACCGGCACCGGTACGAGATCAACCCGGAGTATGTGCCGCAGCTGGAGGAGGCGGGGATGAGGTTCGTGGGCCGGGACGAGACCGGGTCACGCATGGGCATTCTGGAGCTTCGAGACCACCCCTACTACGTCGCCGCCCAGGTGAGAGCGGGACGGGGGCACCTGCACGACGCACGCTTGGGTCGAGGCCGGGCCCACCATGTGGCGCCTGGAGTCTGACGGGGCCGGCCTGCAGACTTGATCAGGAGGATGGTGCAGGCGGTGAGCTGACAATGCTGCTGCTCAGCCCTCCCGCCGACCACCATGCAGTTCCACCCGGAGTTCAAGTCGCGCCCATTCAAAGCCTCACCCTTCTTCCTGGGGCTCATTTTGGCCGCAGCAGGTGAGGAGGAGGGGGGAGGCGGGCTGGCTGGTGATTATGGAGATTGGATGAGATCATGGTACCACTAGCTGACAACATGTGGCTGTTTAGCAGGCCCCTGGCTTGGGAGCTTGAAGACTTTGAAACGCAGCGGCATAGGACTGCAGCAAGTCACTCGGAGCGCTCACTTTGGAGTCTCCCACTCTTCGTACAGGCAAGCTCAACACGTACCTGTCTGGGCGTGCCACTCCGGTGACCTCCCCCGTGAAGAGGCAATCTCCCGGGGTCAAAGCCAATGGCCACATCTCTGCTGCCTTCAAGACCCTGGCCGTCGAATGAGCTGGCTACTGTCCGTGGAATGGTGAGATAAGTACATTTACCGGCTTTGAAAGGCAATACCCTGGCCAACAACATTTGCTTCTGCTCCCATGACAGCTCAAGCCCTGCATGCTCATGTTGGCCTTGTTGGCATGGCGTGTTCAGTTCTTCACATGCCTCCTTCACACTGTAAACATCCTCTTGGCATGGCAGGACAATCAGTGCTTAAATAGTGCAATTTAGACTGGCACCCTTGGAGGCATACACGGCCTCAATGAGTCCAGACCTGTTGCACTTCTATGTGAGGAGAGGTGCTAGCAACAGAATCATCGAGCGCGAACGCCCAGCATCTTCAGAACATCCCCCACCATGTACAGAGAACCTGTGACCAGAACTTTGAATCTTACAGTGGGAGACTCCCTCGCAGCCTTCCGCAGCAAGTCCACTGTAGACTGAGGTGCATCATAAGGGTGTAATATGGCTTGCTGAGGGGCAAATTGCATTTGGGGGCTCGCATGCTTAGATGCAAGTGGGACCGCTGCCTCCCTTGACTTCAGATAGGGCCATCTCTCGCTACGGCAACCCAGAAGTGCGAAGATATACTTGAAGCCGAGCATCTCACTCCATCTGCTCTTCCAAACCTGACCCTTACCTGGAGGGTTGGCAGCACAGCAGAGCACGGAAGCACACTCTTGCCGTTACTTGCAGAGGGCAAAGTGGCAGCAGCTGCCTTGCCCAACGTGAGAGGAGGGGCGGCTCCAGGCTCTCCAGTCAGGGCGATCGCACGTGTTCGTGGCAGGGAATCCCAGACAGCCTGCAGCCGAGATTGCCAGGTCAGCTCGGCGGGACCCTCACGAGCTCCCAGCTTCCCGTATGAGGAGTTTGGGGGAACGAAGAATGCATGGTGGATGGGGACGGCTCGCTGGGCAAGCACTCTCGCCAGCGGGGTCAGTAGATTCTCGGGGGACCGCTCCTGCCGAGGGGACGGGAGGAAGCATGCTTGATGCCCGCAATATCGAATGTAGCGGTTTGGGTCTGACCGGAAGCCTCTTGGCACACCACCCTGCGCCCTATCCATGCTCCAGGTCGGCCTGTCAGCTCGACAACTGGCAGACAGTGAGACTGAGAGGGTAAAACTATCCACCATTCAGCCTGCAAACCCGCCCCTGGATCACCTCCTGGCAGTTGAAGACAAGAATGTGTCGGGTCGTGGCAGCATCTGTCTTCCAAGCGGCTGCGCAGTCAGCAAACCAGTCGGCACACACGGCCGTGCTCTCGGCTGTGTGCGCTCCGTCCAGGTAAAACGAGAGGCGGGCGGAGTCTGGGGCAGCCTCCGTGGTCTCGGGGTCGTGAACAATCTGCGTCCAGGGAGCGGGGCAGGACGTGAGCGCGGCCAGGGTGCTGACACACGGTGTGGTTCTGGAACATAGATTCGCCCCAAATCGACCCCAGGAGATTGGTGCTGTGTTGGGATTTGTTCATCCGGCAGACGTGAAAACCCAAGCTCTTCCCCCCTTTCCAGCCATTCTGGCTGGCTCGAAGCATGACTCGCCTGTCCACGGCCCGGCCAGTGCACAGTGGCCAGGCCGCGCAGGTACTCTGATGGCAGCTGGCACCTCGCAAGCTGCTCGATCCTCGCCGACACGGGCGTGGAGGGGCTCGCAGCAGCCCGCTGCTCCTCCCATGCACGTGCCAGTGCAATGGCCAGACTGGCATTCACTCGTTGGTGTGCCCCGGGCAGGCCGATGTGGAGGGGGCTTCCGGTGCCATCAGCATAGGTGTCCAGGGAGGGAGCGACTCTGAGACTGGCGCCCGCGACCGCCGCCCTTTCCTCCAGTGCAGCGGCTGCATCTGCCGGCTGAGGAACCGTGATGGCAGGCCTCCCTGCCTTGAAGATGCCAGCCTTCTCTCGCGCAATTTCCTGCAGGGAGCGGCAGGGCATGGAATCTGGGTGGTTGGATGCTTGGGGCAACCACGCAGGATTGCACCTGCTCAGAGTATGGCTATCAACAGCTTCCCCAATCAACAAACCACTTCAATGAATGATCGTTCTCCCGGCAGACTCCAAATGAGATGTCAGCTCACGGGCAGGGTGTGTCCGAGGAGGTCCATGTGATCGAATCCAAGGGGGCTAACGCCACAGACTGCAGGGCTCCTGATGCAGTTGGTGGCATCGAGACGCCCGCCGATGCCCACTTCCAAAATCACAACATCCACATTTTGCTCAAGGAATATCTTCAGGCCTGCAAGACAGATGATGGGGGTGTAGACCACTGCAGGTATTGACGGACAAGGTTCAACACAGTCAGGACTCCCCTTTCACCGGTGCATCCGTTTCAGGACAGTGCATGGGGCGTCAAAACGCCATCCTGCTCATTGAGTTGCCAAAACAATATCACTCGTGGCCCAAGGCAGGTCCCACTTACCAAGCAGGGTGAGGAAACGGAAGTAGGCAGGCATGCCAGGGGATTCTGGCGTGCTGCCATCCGAGAAATCGTTGAATGCCGACCAGAAGTTCCGTAGGAATGTGGCCTCATCCACCAGTTCACTGTTTGTAAGGCACGGAGGAGCAGGGTATCTCAAGGGAAGGTAAATCTCCTTGCACGCAAGGTACACATACAGTGACGTCGTGCAGGCATTATAATACCCCATATCTGAGCTTGCCCACTCACCCATTGATACGAATGCGCTCGCGGACATCCATGAGGTGGGGGGATGTGAACAGGCCGGTGGTGTACCCACACTGGCGAAGCATATTCTCCACCATGGCCGCCGTAGACCCCTTGCCCTTGGTGCCCGCAATGTGGATGACGCTCAGCTTGTGCAGCTGCCTGTCCAGTCCGAGACGCTGCGTCAATGGAAGATGTGAGTCGGGAACAGAGCAAATGCACTGTGGTTGATTCCCTTGCATAGGAAACATTGAGCAGGGACTTGTTGCACAGTGCAATGGAGAGCTTCACATCCTAGTGCCACAATCCCTATCCTTTAGGCACTCTCACCTGCAGGTAGGACGCCATCATGTCAAAGGCATGACTCCAGTTCTCTCCGCTGGATCGCCTCTTGCTGCTGATGAGGGAGGAGAGGGCCTGCTGGGCCTCCAGCAGCCCTCCCTTATCAGCCATGGTCGAGCGAGGCAGGGTACGTGTGGTTTCCCCCGATGAGACGCACGTCCACCAGCGCTCGACAATAGGGGAAATATCTCAGCGTAGAGATGGTGCTGGACGCCGTGCGATTGACAGACGAATGCCCATTCGTCTGGAACAATGCACCCCCGGCCTCAAGGGCGCGGGCGCGAAGCAGCGTCGGAATCCTCATCCTGATCGAGACCACGCAAACCCAGCGAGAAGCCGGTTCGGAGTGTTGCTGATCGGTTTGAAGGGCACCGTCACACTTTGAGCGTAGATGCATTCCGCAGCGAGAGGCGTTGGACCTGGAAAGGCATGGCAACCTCCGGAACGTTGACTCCGCCGCATGAGTGTCGTACCTTTATAGGCTGCCTCTTGCTGCCCAGTTGGATTCGATAAGCCTAGTTCAGCGGGTTGTGGTTCCCGCATTGGCATCTGTCTCGCGGCAGCCTCAAGTCAACGCGACCTTCGACGGCATGGCGTGAAAGACCCTTGATTCATATTTCCCGAGACATCCGCCTATCAGCAAACAAACATCCAGCGAAGCGTTTATATGCTTTTTGAGCAGGGAGGGCACGAGAAGATGGCGACTGATGTTATGCAACCAATATCAAAAACAAGGTCCCGATCTTGCTGCCCTTGGTAAGACGATGTGTGGAATACGTTCCTCACCGTCATATGGCGGCTTGACCAACTTGAAGCAGATTGTCCTGCAATCATCCCTCACCTGAACTACACAGATACTATTTCCCTGCGGTGCAGGATCAAGTGACATGGACGTGGGTGTCCTGGTCCCTGCCCTGCAGGTCACGCCTGCCGACCCCTTGGCTGGCAAGGATGCAGAAGTCCTGAGGGCTGTGGATGCCCTGGTCCAATCAGCCCTGGCCACTAATGCCAACATCATCTCTACTGCCGACTCCAGAGGGCTTTCCAACTGCCAGAGAAGCGTCGCCACGCTCTCGTCTGAACTTCAGCTCGGCGTGGTTGCAGCTCACGCTTGCAGGGCCGAAGGCCTCCGCCACACCCAAGCCACAAGCACCCTCGCAACTCCTGGAGAGCTGAGCGAGGCGGCCTGCTCTGCAGCACTGCACTGGGACACAGGGCTGGGCAGAGCAGACGCCGTGCTCTCCGCTGCCCAGGAGGGCCTCGAGAGTCTGGAGACCGGCTTCCAGAGCCTGCTGGAGAGCCAGGCTGGGGAATGTGCTGATTTTGCGAGGCACCTGAAGCAGCAGGGAGCAGATGTGCGATCGCAGCTGGACGGTCTACTCGCCCGACTGATGGAAGCCTATGGGCATGCCCACGACGCTCAGCTCCAGGAGCTCGCCGAGGCGAGTCAGAGGACGGAAGAATGTGCGAGGAAGCTGCAGAAGGAGCAGCTGGAGCTCTGCTCGGCAGCGCGGAAACAGGGCATGGACGAGCTCAAGGCTCTGCATGCACAGCATCTGGTGCGACGCCAGGCCACCTCAAAATGGTGAGGAGATCGTGGAATGCATCTGTCCTGACTGTAAGGGGGGCGGGTGGGAGGACCGCCGGGCTGTCGACCAGCTCGGGCTCTGAGGGTGCCTCGGCGGGGTTGATCAACAACCAGCGCTGCTGCTTGGCACATCCTCGCCCTCTCACCTCCACGGTCCAGGCTGCTGAGGGAGCTGGTGGCAGCTCAGCAGGAGTATGCTGGGCTGATGCCAAGCTTTGAGGCGAGACGGGTAGAAGATGCCTTGGAGCTACAACGTTTTGGTGAGGGGAAATACGAGTCTGCACAGACAATTTGGGTGCTGTAGAGAGACAGATGTATCCCATGTGTGGTGGCTGACGATTGTCCATCCCCGAGACAGATGTATCCCATGTGTGGTGGCTGACGATTGTCCATCCCCTCCAAAATCAGTGTCGAAGTCTGGAGGTGAAACATGAGGTTTCGATCCAGTGGATTTTTCTAACAGCTCTGTGTCCAGCCATGGATGTCAGATGACCATCGGATTCATCCCACATTCGCAGAGGAGGAGACAAGGAGCATGCTGGAAGAGCTGCCTGGGAGGCGGCAGGTCAATGCAGAGCTTGGAACGACAGTTCACTGGGCCAAGGTGTGTTGTAGAGGTCCAACAATGGTGGGGCGGTGCTGTCAAGATAGTCATTACAGACAGGCAACCCTATTGAAATTGTGTGAGAATTTCCTCCGCGTCGTTCTAGCAAGTAACAGCAAAGGTTCAAGTCGTGACACTCCGCCGCTGCCCCCGCGATGCAGACGATGTCCTCCGGGGAGCAACGCAAGCTGATGATGGAGGATGCCCGGCTGAAGAGGAAGTGCCTGGCACATCAGGTGTCCATTGCCAGACAGGAAAGTATCCTGCAGAAACTACCCAGCATCTTAACAAGCCAAGCAAGAAAGGTGTGCTTTGGGCAAACTCATTGATATGCATACCGAATGTAGATGAGGTTGATGGACAGCTTAAGCACCCCTTTTCCATGCTCGATGCCTGCACCATACGTTTTCACCCAAACTCCGTGTGCCTTGCTGCAGCTTGCGTCCATGCGCCTCGAGGAGCTGCAAGGCCTTATAGCACAGGGGCGAGCATGCACGGTAGAGCTGCAAGACTCTGGACTCTTGGCAGGAAATCTGTGCTGGGATGAGGCGGAGACGGCAGTGTGTGGGATCTTACACAGTGACACCTCACCAGGGCTCTCGTAGCCGCGCGTCGATGAGGAGGCATGACCCGTGCCCTGTACCAATCCTCAGTGATCAAGACCCGTTGCTGCAGCGATATACCGTCGGAATTCTTCTAATATGAGATCTGTTATCGAAGCATTGCACAGGAGGGGTGTCTAGGCCCCTGGGTATACACTCAGTTGCGACCATATGTGAGCTGCGCGACAGATCCCTGCGCCATCGCTTGCGCCTAGTTTTAGTGGCAGAGTACGTATCGAGAGGGCACCATGGCGTCGAGGAGCTTATCAGGATTCCGTGAGCGTTAAGGGCGAGGAATGAGGACTGAGGGCGGGGGGGGGGAAAGGGGAGGCGACATGCCTGCAACGACCCGGTTCCCGAATCACCCAATCGCTTGCCCCCGGGCGATCACCCCGCAGGTGGGGCCCCCTTGACCAAGGGCCTCCTCTTCACGACAGTGGCCACCAGCATGTTGTCCGGAGCGTTGTCGGGGGCCGCGGGTCCAAGGTCTGACCTCCCCCCCCTCCTACGCATGCTCAGCTTCCCCGGCGCCGGCACGCTCTGCATAGGCGTGGGCCTGCTCTACTGCTTCCGCCTCCTGGAACGGCAGGAGGGCCCGGTGCGGTCCCTGGAGTGCCGGCTGGCGAGCTGCGGGCTGGCGCTGGGAGTCCAGGCCGCCGCTCGCTGGGCCACCGGCACAGCCCTGGTCTCGGCCCCGTACGCGCTCGTCTTCACCGACCTGGTCGCCTACTGGGCCACGGTGCCGGTCCTGCAGGACTTCAGCTTGCTGGGGCTGCGCCTGAACGACAAGGCCTTTGTGTGTGCGGCCGGACTGCAGCTGGCGCTGCTGCAGGGCCGGCAATCCCTCCTGGCAGCCGGCTGCGCGCTGCTGGCCGGCATCCTCTACCACGCCAACATCTTCAACCTGCAGAGCTGGAAGGTGCGTTGGTGGAAAAGGGCGGATGCAGGCATGTGCTGACTGGACACGCAGCAGTCTCAGAGCTCACACTGTCGCACCACCTGAGGCTGGTTGTCGTTGTGGACACCCCATGGGCCGAGTTTGGCCATGTGTCTCAGCGTGTATGATCCTGATCGCAATAAGATCCAGTCCACACACCACAATTTAAATCTTGCAAAACAGCTATAAAACTTTCTCATCATCTTTCTCTGATCTTCATACTACCACCCAATGCTGAGTCTACCTCCCAACCTCTCCGACAGGCGTCGCCGAGGATGCGCCGCGGACTAGCCTTGGTCCTGTCCTGGATGGACGGCTGCAGGGGTACAGGGACGAGCCAAAGCTTTGTGGCGCCTGGAGCGCCGCAGCATGGCGATCGCCAGGCCCCTGCCACTCGGCCCGGGCCACCGCTCACGCGCGCAGCAGATGTGCCGAGGACGGAGGTGTCCCAGGAAGCTCTCCAGGCTCTCCAGGCCATGGGCTTTGACCCAGACCGGGCCAGGGAGGCCTTGGAGAGGTCAGATAACAGCGTGGAGAGGGCGCTGACGTACCTCTTGTGAGCCTGCCTGCGAGTTGCTCAAACTGCTTTGCTGGTGCAACGTTGCCATGCCCTGGTTTCCTCCCGTTTCGGGGATGGATGCCGCACTCGACACCCCAGCCGGGTCCATACTCTGACAGCACCCACCCAGACCCACAAACATATTTGTAAACATCGTGCTGAGTCTGAAGGTTGGCGGTACCATTGTGCTGGCCCGCCTGTTCTCGATTCGAAGTTTATCTCTATGTGGAAGCTGGGCCTTGTGCTGAGCCTGGCTCTGTGTGCCGTCGCGAGGCCTGTTCTGGATCAGACCTCGCTGCATACCGAGCGGAATGTAGTGGCAGGTCTCGGCATCACGGCAGAGAACGCCCTGGTGAGACGCGCGGGATGACGAGATGGCAGCCCTTGGTTTGACCGCGGGCCGTGTGAGGCGTGGATGCCTCTTGCAGATGGGCCGGGCGATGCACTGACCCTCCTGGAGCTTTCCGACCAGGCCCCCCCCCCTTCCACAAAACAGGCTGATCCAGCGGGCGTGTTCGAGCTCTGGGCAACTCACTACAACAAGAAGTACGCTGGCAACGATCGCGCTCACCGTCTGGAGGTGTTCACACAGAATGCCGCCGCCATCGCCGCTCACAATGCGCAGCAGGCGTCTTTCACCATGGCCATCAACCAGTTCGCAGACCTGTGAGTGGGCTGCTGGCAGGCGGGGTGCATGGGCTAAGGTGCATGCCTCTGCTTGAACAGGGCCACCTGCCTCATGCTATTGAGCACCCCTCGTCTTATCACTCAGGACGTCTGAGGAATTCTCCAAGCACTTTCTGGGGTACAACGAGACACTGCGGACAGATGAGAGGTGAGTCGAACATGGCTGTGGTGTCTAAGGAGGGTTGCCCTTGACTTGCAGCATCCCTCCAGTGTCTGAACCGTCAGTGCTAACCCTTTTGGCAATGTGCACTGCCCTCCCTGCAGACTTACCAGCAAGAGGCTGGGCTTCATGTACGAGAACGCCACCGACCTGCCGTCCTCTGTGGACTGGAGGAAGGAGGGTGCGGTCACCCCCGTGAAGAACCAGTATGCCTGCGGCTCGTGCTGGGCATTCAGGTCCGTGGGTGATGATGTGTGGCATGGGATGGGGATGGGAGAAGGGACCCTGTGCAGGGGAGGGTTTGAAGGCCCAGCCTGGCATAGGGCTGCGGCAGATGGACTTGGTGGGGCAATATTCTGATACCCATGCCGAGCAGGCAATGTGGATCAAAGGCTGCCTGACGAAGCCACCATTGCTGTAGAAGTGGTGCCTCCCTCTGGTTTTTGTGTTGGCCCTGCATCCCCACACTATTTGAGAGCCTGCCCCATTGATGAAGCCCTGCCTGATTGCCATGGGCCCCCCGGGCTCGCTGAGTCAACGATCTCTCTCAGTGCAGCCATCGTGAATTATCCCCCCCAACTCCTTCCTTCTTTCCTCTTTCAACTCGCAGTGCCACTGGCTCCATCGAGGGCATCAACGCCATCCGCACCGGCAAGCTGGTGTCCCTGTCGGAGCAGCAGCTGGTCAGCTGCGACCACGCCAAGGATCTGGGCTGCGGCGGCGGGCTGATGGACTACGCCTTTGACTACGTGGTGAAGAACGGCGGGCTGGACACGGAGGCGGACTATGGCTACTGGTCTTTCGACCTCCCCTGCCAGACGGGCAAGGAGGCGGACCGCCACGTCGTCGCCATCGACGGCTTCGAGGACGTGCCCAAGGGCAGCGCCGCCGCGTTGCGCAAGGCGCTCGCACACCAGCCCGTGTCGGTGGCCATCTGCGCCAACTCTGCGCTCCAGTTTTACTCCTCGGGCGTGGCAGGGGACGAGACGTGCTGCACCCAGCTCAACCATGGCGTGCTGGCAGTTGGGTACGAGGATGGACCCGACGGCAGCGCCGAGAGCGGCCACTGGATCGTGAAGAACTCCTGGGGAGAAGGTGGGCGGAGGGGTGATGCGGAGGAGGGTCGGTGTCTGACGGTGAAGGGGAGAATGGGGGCCTGCGTCTCGCCAGGTGGCGAAGCCACCCTCTGGGAGCGTGATCTCCCAGCCGTCTTTGAGCAACATGAGCGCACACCAGCTCCTCCCACCTTCCTCCCGGGCCCCCCCGCCCCCCCCCCCACCTGCGCGCAGGCTGGGGCGAGGCAGGCTTCTTCCGCCTGGCGCGCGCGTCCCTCAAGAATCCCAACGGCCCCTGCTCCATCTACGAGGCGCCCTCCTACCCTGTCAAGAAGGACGAGGTCAACCCTGAAGTCTCCAGCTTCTGCGGCTACTTTGGGCTGTCGGAGTGCCCCCCTCACAACGCCTGCACGTGCCAGTTCAACCTCTTCGACCTCGTCTGCCTCTCCTGGGGCTGCAAGGCTGGGGAGCCAAAGGAACTTTAAAGGTGTAGCCGGGCGTCGCAAACTGCCCTGTGATGACCTTGGATGGCGCAGGGCCGGCGATGTGAGGGCGTCTTGTCCAAGTGTGCTTGCCGCCCATGCCCTTCCCCGTCTTGCACACTCCGCAAGTCCAGCGTAATATATTCCCTGTACACGATGCCTGAATCATGCATGCTGCCAATTGTGCTCTCGAGTCTGCAGGCGGCGTTCTCCACCGCATCATCGAGCTCTGTAAACTCAAGCTCATCACAGAGTGATCGTGCCCATCATCCTGTGCGCCGCGCCTTCTCGACGAAACCACGAGCAGAATGCGGTCACTGAAGGATTGCATGGCGCATTGCACATCCCCAACCCCTCTTTCCAAGCATTCGATGTCTCATGATATGCCGAGCTGGAGTCATACCTGAGCCTTCGAGCCCACGAGATCAGCCTGGCTCTGGGTCAACAGGATTCGCCGCCGAGACAGGAACTGAGCTCCTGATTTAAGAACAAAAAAAGGATCGGGGTGCTATTGATTTGAATATGCACACGGAGGAGGAATCCGAGATGGAGGGAGAGCCGATCGTCGACCAGGGCGGAGGGACAACCCTGCCCGAGCCGGGGAAGCAGGCCGAGGCCATCAAAACCACGGAGGCCAAGTGTCGGGAGGCCTCGGTGAAGCCTGGATTGAAGACATTCCTCGTGGGAAACAGGTAATGCACACATTGCCGTGCCTGACTGAGGCTTTGGTGGCTGCTGCGGCGCAGGCAAGGGGAGTGTGGGCTGCTTCCCTCCATGGGCTGTGCCTGAGAATCCCAGGCCGAGCCTCCCCGGCCCCTCTCCCCATGCCTCCACACAATCGTTCGCAGGTGGTTCACAGCCTGGTGTCAGCACACAGGCTTCACGTACAACGAGGCGAGGCAGCGTGTCTCCATCATCCGCCCGAGCAGCCCGGGCCCAAACCCGGGCCCCATCGACAACAGCGACCTGCTGGCAGAGTGCCAGCATCCTGCTCAGTCCACCCTGGACGAGGAGGAGGCTGCAGGGGTCACCACACTCCGCTCCGGGCTGGTGGAGAAGAAGCACTTTTGGGCGTTGTGCGAGCCGACCTGGGAGCTCCTGAAAGGCTGGTGAGGAGGAGAGGGCCCAAACAGCACCTCAGAGATGCCCCTTGCGGGTGCGGCGAGTGGTCTGCGCACGGTCCCCCCCTAGCCCCGATTGCCACTCACACAACCCATGTGTGCTGCACTCTCTGAATGGGAGTGCCCCCTGTCCCCTGCCCCTTCCTCCGCAGGTACGGTGTCGCTGGACCCGAGATTGTGCGAGAATACATGCAAGTGGGCCTGAATAGGTCGCGGGTCGAGATGGACCCGGGGCAGCTGCACGTCAAGGTTGTGCGGGAGGCTAATGAGAGCGCTGGGCTGGAGAGGAAGAGCGCAGTCATTGCTATCTCTGAGCTGGTGTGTGCGGGAATGGAGGGGACGTGAGCGTCTGAGTTGGGGTTGGGAAGGGGCAAGATATGGATTGCCTGATCACGTGGACCTGCGTGGCTTTGGGTCGGCGAGCCACCTTGCCTCGTGTGGGTAGCCTATGGCTGCAAACTCACCATCCCTGCCTCTGCGCTTGGCAAGTCACATCGCCAGCTTGTATTCAAACGGCACCAGACCATTTCTCTACCCTCTCCATCCTGCGACAGTGCACAGTAATAAATTTATTGGACCGAGCAGCTGGGACCTTTGGAGGGTCCTCTGATGACTTTGATGCCCTGGATGCATCAGTAGATCCACCTCGCCTGGTGAGGAGCTGCACTGGGTTTGTAGCAGGGTCCACCCGGCTCTCGATTGGCAAGATATGTCGTTTCCTACTTATCAGTTCTGAGCAGGGTGGTGATCTTGTATGGGGGTAGGAGGGGGTGCCCTCATCACAATGTTTCCTGAGCCCAACATCGCAATGCCATTTGACAGTTGGAGGCCAACACATACTTCAAGACACTCAGGGGCGTCAGAATTCTGGATCAGCAGACGGTAATTGTTCGACAAAAACCTGAGGTCCTTGGCGTGGTGCGTCGGAGTGTGCACGGCGGGGCTTCCTGGTGTCTGAAGAAAAGCAATCTAGTCCTTAATGCCAGGCAGGGTGTGAGCTGCGCAAGCCAGAGATCCGAAGCCATTCCTTTCCTCGATGCTGAACCGTCCAAAGCTCCCTCGTCCTCCATCGCAGACAAAGACACCCAGCAAGCCGCGACCCATGGCCTCCAGTCCCTCCTCCCCGCCGCTGCTGCTCACCTCAGGGAGCAGTCCCTTACCCAGCCCTCGCTTTGGGGCCAGTCCCTCTTTCTTCTCTGGCAGTCCCTTGAGCAGGAGCGGCGGCAAGGCCCCCTCTTGGGCAGAGGACATCGTGATACTGGCAAGCATTGTACCTGGCGGGGTTTGACTTGGGGGGGGAGGGGGGGCTGGCAGGCTTTGGCCACATGCAAGGCCACATCCTGAGGGTGAGACGGTGCCACACCGTGGTCTTGAGCGTCTCTTTTTGCATTGTCTGCCTGAATCTAGTATTCACTGACATTTGCGTGCACTCATGTGTTGGGACTGGCCGTGTCTGCTCTTCATCGTCTCGATACACCGTTCTGCTCCCCCCCTCTGCACTGCAGGGTTCAGCCCGACGCAGAGGCCTGACCGGGCTGGGCAACCTGGGCAACACCTGTTTCATGAACTCCAGCGTCCAGTGCCTGGCGCACACAGGTGCGGGAAGAGGAGGCCCCTGCTTGGGCATGACGGGCTTCTCCAAACCGATTCGCCACCCTGTGGTCTTGTGCTCCCTCACTCCAAGCCTACTCAGCAACCTGCACCTGCATGTCCCCCCCTTGAACCCACCTCCACCCTTCCCCTTGTCCACTGGCAGTGCCCGTGCTCGAAGTCTTCCTGTCAGGCGTGTACAAGAAGGACTGCAACGCCGACAACCCCCTGGGCCTGGGCGGCAAGCTGGCACTTGCCTTCGGGGGCCTGGTGGGCAAGCTTTGGCTCCCCGGCGCCTCCCACGTCAACCCCAAGCACTTCAAGTGGCAGCTGTCCAAGTTTGCGCCCCAGTTCCAGGGGTATGCGCAGCAGGACTCGCAGGAGCTCCTCGCGTTCCTGCTGGACGGCCTGCACGAGGATCTGAACCGCATCCGCGTCAAGCCCTACGTCGAGGAGGGCGACGCCGACGGCCGCCCCGACGCCGAGCTGGCGGCAGAGGCCTGGCGCGCCTACCGTGCGCGCAACGACTCGGTCATCGTGGACCACTTCCAGGGCATGTACAAATCCACGCTTGTGTGCCCGCAGTGCGGCCACCAGTCCGTGAAGTTCGACCCCTTTATGTACCTCTCGCTGCCCCTGCCGGGGCCCAGGACGCAGGACTTCAGGGTCACAGGTGGGCTGGGGCAGCTGCCGCCTGGGTGCAGGGGCTGAAAATGTGTACGGAGCCTAGTTTGTTTTGTGGGGGGGGGCGGTTAACGATCCACCTGTACTGGTATGGAGTGGGAAGATTCAGACTCGAGGCCGGGGAGCAGCAGGATGATTGGCGGGCTGTGCTGCCGTTTCCACGTGCCGGACAATCTCACAGCTGGCCAGGGTTTGTGTTGGGGGGTGGGACCATGGCTTCCATCAGGGCTGCATGCATAGGCCTTGGAGGGATGGAGAGTGCTGTCCTGCCCCGCTCATTTTCCATCCTCAGCTGCACACTGACCTCCGTCTCTCCCTCATCCCACAGTCCTGAGCATGGACGGTGGGGCAGAGCCCAGGCAGTATTCGGTCACTTTACCCAAGACAGGCAGTGTCGGGTGAGATGGTGTGTGACGTGGACGGTCGAGGGGAGTTTACAAGGGAGCTCATGTTGCACCTGGATGATGTTCCTGGTGGACCCTGGCAGAACACTATCAGGGGGGAGCAGCGACGGCCGTGGGCGTCACGGGCTTGTCTCTCTTTGCAGTCACCCTGTGGATGATGCACAAACAAATCCTGCCTGCTTCAACTCTTCCGCTGCTCATGAATGCTTGCAGGGGTTTGCAGGCTGCCCTGGCGGCAATGTGCCAGCAGCATTCCACAGAAAAGGCAGGGCTACCTTCATCGCCAGCCTCGCAACCGCATCTCCTGCTTGCGCGCTGGACGCCTGCGGCGGGGGGCGGCCAGCTGGAGCTTCTGACAGAAGCTGGGAGGAAGCTGGCTGGCCTCGTGCCCGCCCGACCAGCCGTCTCCCTGTCCTCGGGCTCCCGCGCCCCCCAGCTGTTGGGGTACCTGTATGCTGATGTGGACTCAGGACCAGCAGCCGGGAGGCGCGCTGTCCTGGTGCACCACAGGTCTGTTGTGTGGCCTGGTGTGGTGCTCCAGAAGGATGCCAGTGGGGTGGGTGGTATCGACGAAATGCGTGCCGAGTGTTGGACTATGGGCCGGGAAACTCATTGGCAGATGCTGCCTTTCCCTCATACATGTACTCACAGCTGTCTGGCCCCGCTGTCGAGTCGGCGGACCCGGGATGCTGCAAGAGTGATCCCCCTCGTTCCACATGCAGGATAACCTACTCCACAGTCCTGCCGCCCGCTGTGCTCTTCCTGTCCACTGAGGATCTTGAGGGCCTGAAGCTGGCACGGATAGAAAGCAGTACGATAGGACCTGAGGGCTCGGACAATGTGCTGAGCGCCGCCCTCCTTCGGTCACTCAGGCATGGCATAGACGAGTTGCTAGATGCGGTGGAGGGTGAGGGTCACTGATTTCTGTAGGAAGTTGGGAGAATCTAGTTGTTGGCCGGTGCCCAGACTGGTGGGTATGTGTCAAGGCTCTCTGACTCATACCCAAATCATTATTGTGTGAGCACCAGATGTGTCCCTCCCCCTGCATGCAGACCTTTCCAGCTCCATTCAGAGCCTGATGCGTCCTCCAAGGCGCAAAGCTCCGGCATGCCAGTCCCAATGGACATGGAGGTGGGCCAGGAGCCTGCAGACCCAGCTGTCGCAGAAGCTGGTGTGATGGGGGCTGGTGTTGTGGGCTGGGGGCTGCATGGATCCCGTACAACAAGTGGGATGTGGAGGCCAGCATCGTCGTCCCCTGACCCTGCTTGGCAGACCGGTACTCAATGCACCCGCAACCTCAATGCCCAGTGCCAGATGCCGAGTTAGTGGCAGAGCCCATCCAGGACGGTGACATGGAAATGCAAGTCGACGGTGGGGATGCTGCCGATGCTGGACCGCAGGTGGTGCCCATCATCAAGGCAGAGGACGAGGGCGCACCCTTTGACATGTTTGCCGCGCAAGCCCGGGAGCCTGAGGTAGGAAGGAATGTGGAGGGCTGGACACGATATTCCGCAAAGGTGTACTTGCCCTGTTTTGGTTGGAGATAGGCTTTCACTTGCCTGCCAGTACCTGTGACATAAAGACAGCATTGAAGGCAGGCTTCTGCTGCTTCCCTGTATCCCTCTTTCCCCTTCCCAAACTCAAAATCAAATCCACCTGCAGGTCAGCATGGCAGGAGAAAGCCTGGATGGATGCGCATCACAAATTTTCACACTCAAGCTTGCCAATGCAGAGGGCAGAGTGCGATACAGCCTCATTGGGGATGATGCCGTGCCGCCTGCTCTCCCCACCAAGGATCCGCTCTGTTTTTTAGCTGGTGAGCAATAGGTTGCATCAATGCTTGGATGAATAAGATGCAGTCAGTGGACCTGACGTGCGTCTTGTCATGCGCTTCATCAACGAGTACCCTACCCGTGAGGCAGCTGCAGCGATGCCATCCCCGCCTTTTCCCACAGAATGGAGTAGCTCTGCTGCTCGCCAGTATGGCAAGGGCCGATGGGATACCCCTGCAAAGCACAGATCGGTGCTGGAGGCCGAGCAAGCTGCACACAAGCCCGCCCCGCCGCTCCGGCTCCAGTCCTGTGTCGAGGTGGGCTTGTGCTGGTGGTGATGGGAGGTGGATGAGATGGCGACCGTGATCTGTGCATGCCGTGCAGTTGGGTGCTAGGGAGGGCATGGCATCGCCAACCTGGCCCTGAAGGATCACATTCACAGGCACCCGGTCTCCAGCACCAGTAACATTGCCCTCCCCTGCAAACATTCAAGGCGCGTTAAAGCACCCCTCTGCAACCCATCACCACTGGCAGGCCTTCCTCCAGATGGAGCAATTGGATGCAGAGGACAGCTGGTACTGCTCAAAGTGCAAGCAGCATGTTCAGGTGTGCACAGGTCGCGCTGCGGCATGCTCTGGTCACACGCCCTTCCACGTGCCCGGGCTGTGCCCAACAGTGTCTTTCCCGCTGAGGAGCCCTGCGGTGCACCCTCACAGCGAGGCCCATCCATCACCCCTCGCCCCACCATACACCGCCCACCAGGCAAACAAGAAGCTGGACCTGTGGTCACTGCCCGAGGTCCTCGTGGTTCACCTCAAACGCTTCTCCTACTCCCGTGCATCACGGGACAAGCTGGACACCAAGGTCGAGTTTCCCTTGACCGACCTCGACCTTGGCCGGCACATCCTAGGCCCGGCGTCAGACGGATCCACCCCAGAGTCAAACAAGTACGATCTGTACGCCGTGAGTAACCATTACGGCGGGCTGGGAGGGGGGCACTACACGGCGTACTGCAAGATGCCCGACGACAATCTGTGGTACCTGTTTGATGACGGGTCGGTGAGGTGTGTGCCTGCCACGGAGGTCCAGTCCCCCGCCGCCTACGTCCTGTTCTACCGGCGCCAGGGCAGCAAGGTGGGGTATGGGGATGGGTGGGTCATGGGGTGCACCTGGGTGCCTGTCGCGCTGTGTGTGCCTGCTGGATGTCGGCCGAGGCCCCAATGTGGCCTGCACTCCAGCCCCTGCCCACACACTCTGCACACTGCAGGTCGCCCTGCAGGAGATCCTGGAGGATGGGGCGGGGATACCCATCGCCAGTGACATGGCGGAAGTGGCGGGGCCGGAGGAGAATGGGCACAGGCCCGCCCTGCGTGCCAGCCTCCAGCTGGAAACCATAGACTCTGACGATGAGCTCATGGGGGACCCTCTGCATGAGGACTTGGACATCAGTCCCGCCTAGCTTTTATGACACCACAGTTGTTGACTGATGTAAAACAAGACAGGATGGGCATGTTCTAGTGTTGCCACGGGCAAGGGGGTGATTCTAGTTCATCGGGTCCTGTGGCAGTCAGGCTGGAACAACAGGGAGCGGCCGAGTCCTCAAGTCAGAGGAGCCACCAAGATCTGCATGCGCAGTGCGCCCTTATAATCTCGGGACACCTCTGCCTGGATCGTATACTTCTGGTGACGTCACTCGGTGGTGTGCACAGCATGCAGGTGCCGGTTTCACATCACTCGTCATCCGCCCAGAGATCTTCCAAACGAGGTTCAGGGGTCGGTGTGGTTGTTCTGGTTGATCGCTGGTACTGCGCACGCGTGATGAACCGAGCCGAGGAGGCTGGGTCGGCAGCGGCCAGAGCTGCCCCCTTCCATGCGCATGTGAGAGGATCATCTGCCAGGAATACTCCCAGCTGCACAGGGGTGAGTGAGGCTGCTGGACGAGGCAAGGCTGGGGAGTGTCGCTCAGAGTCGGAAACCTGAGCCCCCCCAGCTGCCTTGACCGGCCAGTCACACGCCAGCTCCCCTCCCGATCCTCTGCTACGACTCCAGACGTGGTCCAGAAACCACAAAACACGGCACACCCACCTGGTAATCATCGGGAACAAGGGGCCGCAGTTCGGACTCCAGACGCTCCTTGAATCCTGGGCACGTCGTCGTTCCCCCTGGTGTGTGATCGTGCAAGGAGGTAATGCGAGCTGGTGAATCAGACTTCACAGCGGTGCATCATTTCAGCGTCCCTGCTCTGCGGCAATGGCAAGTACGAGCCAAACTCCGTGATCCTGGACAGCAGCCACCATCCCGGTCTGAACCTGTCAGGAGGACGTTGGAGTAGAGCAGGCCATGGAGGGTGGGGTGGGCCGCCTGCACCGCTGCGGCGATGGTCTCCGCCAAGCCCGCCTGCTCCAAGCCAATCCCTGCGGGTGCATGGGGAGGAGGCCTGAAAGCGGTGCGTTGTGCCTCTTACTCAGCAAGCCCGAGTGGCAGAGATTTTGCTACTCTAGGTATATTTAACACAATCTCCAGAGGACCTCTTTCAATCACACAATGAAGCGTATTGAAGCCGCTCAGTGCCAGGCAGCATACACACAGCGGCCTGGGCTACCTGATGGGTGAAAGATCGCCTCGGGCACCATGAAACGCTCACTATTCACCACCAGCGCCTGAGGTGAGAAGGGAGGCTCGGCAAGGTTGTTTGGGTGGTCACCGCCATGTGGGAAAGCACAGTAGCGCCATGGGCACTGCATTGGAGAGTATACCATTGGCAGCGACGCGCTCGGTCACACAGGCATTTGCCCAGCAGGCAGAATGCCAGCACCACCGAGCACTCCCCTCACCGTGTCCTTTTGGATGGGCATGGTCTCGCCCCCAGCCTCGTCCAGCACGTGACCCAGCTTGTCAGACACGCCGTCGGGCAGGACATAGACCCTCCTGTGCCGGGAGGCCTTGCCACGCGAGGCCGCCAAGTCGGTCTGGGGGTCCTGGGAGACGAAACAAAGCTGTTCCTTGATCAGCTCCATCAGGTATGTCTCCTCCATCATGTTGATGCTCCTGAAGGCAATGGCGGGAGGGTGGTGGGTGGGGGATGCATGCCGACACATCTTGGCTGGGCATGCACACCGGTGCGAGGAAGCCGTCCCGTGAATGCATGAGAGATCCCAACACCCCTCTGGGACTCCAGGCACACAGCCAAGGCTCTGAATCTGCCCGGCATGTCAAATCCCCACCCCTTACCTGTATGACACAAGGGCCTTCATGTGGTTGGTCAGGGCCTTGCCTCCCAGATCGATGCGCCGCACGGCCGGCTGCAACACCCTCCAGTCAAACACGGGCACGGCATGCGTGAAGCTGAAGCCCGCATCCACCACCAGTCCACAGCCTGTGCAGGTGTGGGAGGGACTTGAGTGATTGAGGGTGCCATATGGCTGCTGGCCCAATGGCGGAGGGAATATCCCATCTGGTGCGATGGAGCCCATGACTCAGCAGGCAGGAGTAAACGGTGGACCAGTCGCTCACCTGCTGTGTTGGCCAAGGAGCCTGGGTGGCAGTGGGCATGCCATCTGAGACTGAACACAGGAGGGGGGCCTATGAACACCTCTTGGACGCCAATCTCCTCAAAGAGGACCTACAGTTTGGAGAGGGCATGTCAGAGGGAGGAGGGGAGTGCCGTGGCGATGTCATCTGGGATAGAGAAAGCAGAGCAATTCCTTCAGGCTTTATCCCTCCTGAGTCACCTGAAGAAGGGTGTCATGCAATGCAGGCAGGTTAAACAGCGGCTCTGTTAGCACAAGGCGGATGGTGGAGGCGTTGACTCCAACGACATGCTTCAAAACTCTGGTGGGAGTGTGATGAGAGAAGGTATATGTCATTCCAATGTCCAACGAAGGTCAAGGTGTGGTAGGTCACAGGAGCTGTCTACCAGAGATTTGCATGCGTGCAGACGGACCAAAGATGCACCTCAAACCCATGGAACTGAGTACTACATCAACTTGTGATAACTACAAGACCACAGGCATCACCTGGTCCAGATGTCGCGCTGCAGATCCCAGGAGACAACGTAGCCGCGGTCGATCGGCCTTCTGACCACCAGTGAGAGGACATCTTTGAAGGCGAGGACGGTGTCCGCTATGTACCCCTGGCGCTCCCCCTTGACCTTGGCTGTGCAATTCGGGATCATCCTGCGTGAGGTCAAAGCGGGATATTGCGCCTGGAGTGGGAGTGAGGGGGCGCTCTGCACCCAGTCCTCGCGCCACTTCCGCAATCACCTGAGGGAGGACAGGTCGCCGGCTAGACCGACCTTGATCGTGCAGCCCCCATTGTCCATGACCACGGTCTGATGTGGTGCCATGCTACTCATTTGTAACGAAACAGAAGAAGCGCAATGCAGAAGGTAAGTCGGCTGATTCTACGTCATCGAGATCGATCGATGTTACAAGGACTCACTGCAGGCATAGAAGTGACGTCATGGTGGGGCAGGCATACTTGAGCTATTCAGCATCCTTATGTTTATTGAGACCTTCTGTGCGCTCCTCAAGGTGATTTGCCTTGGATTGACGCTTGAAACATTCCCCCCGTCGAAGGCCAAGTGGGTGCAGCGAGGAGGGTTGTGCGGCGCGTGCTCCGAAACCCACCGACTCCCAAGAACACAAGCCCCGCTGAAATCGGATCCTAGAGGGCATCTTGGATATATATAAAGCAAAGACATGTCAGATTGCTCCTTACATGTACACATCCTGCTCTAAACTGATGTCGAGGCCCCAAAGGAATCCTGACGTTGAGCGCCATGACGGCAGCACTTCAACCGCAGAGTGGAATACTCTTCATTGCCTTCGGCTCACGTGGAGATACTCAGCCTCTGCTCGTCTTGGCACATTCAGTATCTACCGACCCTACCTTTACATCTTGTAGGGTCAGTTTCATAACACATGCAGCTCACATGGTGAGAGGGTAAGCAGAATAGCAGCAAAGGGATTAGAACGCAGTTTCTAAGCAGGCAAACAGTCTTCTTCTCAACCCTTTGGCAGGACTGGATCGGGAATCTTGATTTGAGTCCAGATTTGCAGTATTTCTGGGCCAATAGTGATCCCTTCGTGCTCCCACACAAGGTTGGCAGCAAGCAGTGGATCTACAGAAAACCTTGCCTCAGAGTGTACTCGCGCCTGGCCATTCCCTCTCATTCCTGCATCTCCCCAACCCAGAGAGCAGAGCAGGATGCTTCTCAGCGACAATGCTGTCTCAGCGCTTGTCAGACCCTCTTTGCCAAGGTGCCAGCAGCTGCGAGAATCGGATTGCGTGTCTGCAAACAGCCAGGCCTCATTGTCTACAATCTATTCTCCCTGGAGGGCTTCCATCTGGCAGAAGCATTTGGCCTCATATCCGTCGCAGCCTCTCCCTGTGCGCCTCCTTCCTCAGCTCCCCCTGGCTTTTGGGATGCCATGGCGGCTGAGGATCCAGAATTTGTCTCCAGTCTGCAGGCTTCCCGGTTGCCTTTCATGCGGCGGGGCGGTTGTGGAGATCTCGTCAGCCGGGCACACATCCATGAATGGATGTGGCCCCTCTTTGCCGATCACTGGGGCGTTTGGAGGACGGCAGCCTTGAATCTGCCTGCGTCGCCCTGTCAATTTGATCGGACTGCTGCCCCCATGCTGCTCCTGGGTGAGGTTGGGGGCGTGACATGGCCATTTCATCCAACGTCATGGCTTTCACTGACGTATGAGAATGCACTGGGCTTTCTGACACACAGCATGCCGATACAACTCCCAGGTATGTCACTGCTGTGCAGGTATTAGTAGCCTCTTGTGCCCTGAGTCTTCCAGGTCACTCACCACGGCCACCATGTGTGGGCCTTGGGACATTCACAGTATCCAGCTGCATCGAGGGCCCGAAGGGTGGCTGCATGGTCCCCCATCAAGTCCAGGATCAAAGCCATTGCTCGTTGATCTGGGCTGCAGCTCCAGAATGCTGGATCTTGATCAGCAGCAGGCCTTTCTGGAGCTGGTGGGAGCGCTGGCACGCAAATCCACCATCGGCATACACCTTTCAGGATCCCAGCTGCGTCTGCCAGAGCTCGACACGAGAGTTTTGGAGGTGGGATCACTGACCCAAGATAGGAGGAAGTGCAGCCATCAGAAAGTCCACCTCCATCGCGATCCTGTGTCGCACAGTCATCTCTTGCCAAGCTGCTGTGCCATCCTACATGTGGGAGGGGCAGGGACGACTCTTGCCGCTGCCAAGGTGTGGAAATGGGTCGTGGTGCTGTCAAAGGGGGTGTCATGCTGCAGGGAGTCAACGAATTCGGCTACCTGGAATGCTGAAAGCTCAAACTGATGTTCAAAGAGCTTTCCAAATGCCGGGAACGGTACAGGTGCACCCTCTCCTACTCAACCAAGACCGCCACTCTTCTGGATGCAGGCCGGGACCCCGCAGCTCGTGGCTCCCCTGCACTTTGATCAGGAGGACTGGGCGTGCTGTGTGGCCCGGACTGGCATCGGCATACGCATTGCTTCGCTGCTGGACATGGTACACCGGGGCACCGACCAGGGTCGGCTTGATGACGAGGCCGAATCGCTGGCCCATGCGATCCAGCGCCTGGTCCGTGACCCCGGCGTGGCACAGCGATGCAGGGAGATGGAGCAGACCCTGCGCGGGGAGGACGGCGTGCGAGCAGCCCTACGTGTCATTGAACGCCTGCTGGCAGAAGGCAGCAGAGTTGCCGATGGATGATCGGGCAGGACCGAGCATGTGACAGTGCGGTGTGCCACTCTTGCCGGCATGTGCCTGGCTGTACAGTACAGAATGCTTGGCGTCTCGAGCCGCAGCACATCCAGTTCCAACTAGCACCTGCAGCAGCTATGGGCTCTGAGCTCGAGACCCCCCACCATCCTATCTGGCACAGCTTACATCGGTGCGCTCAAGGCATTGGACTCATTCATTCAACGATACGGTTGCGTGCAGCCGGTACCCTTCCCATCTTAGGTATTAGAGTCGGCACAAAAGGAGGGAGGCTCGCTGCTTATTCTTCAGGCTGCAGAGGGTCAGGTCAACCACCTTGGACATTTTCCCCGACCACAAACTATATCAAGGTTGGACTTTCCAATCCGCCATGTCCAGCGAGGCTGCAGGAGGAGTATGGGGCGACTGCGTCTGCCAAAAACGTGTCGCCCTGCGGGGCCTGGCCGATCCTTGCCAGAACGAATACGGGGCCCATGTGATTTGGGCACGAGCAGCCCTCCCTGCCTACAGGCAGTGATGCCCTCTCGCTAGTCCCCGCACCCCGCACCCCCCCCCCCCCCCCAAAAAAAAAACCCCAAGTCCCCCTCACCCTGGTCGATGTGGATGGAGGAGTCGTCGGCGCGGTGGGGCTCGTGGGCGCGCAGGCGCGACTGCCAGCCCGGCCAGGAGCAGGTGTCGCCCTCGCCGCCGGCGCCGGGCCCCAGCGCCTGGGCGTAGGCCGCGATGCGCGCCATGCGGTCCTCCCGCTGCGCCGCGCTGGCGTACATGTAGGGCGGGTCGATCTCCCGCAGCGTGGTGTGTCCCGCGCTGTTGCAGACCGACGGCGGGCGCCCCGGCCGGGCCGGCCCCGCGCCGCCCCCGCCGCCGCCGCCGGACTCGGGCCCCTCCGCCAGCAGCGCGATCTGACGCGGGGTCAGCGCCGGCAGGGCCAGCAGGTCGACGTGGGTCTTGTACCCGTTGGTCACCACGTCGATGGTGGAGGGTGCGACGAACTCCAGGTTGGGCGCGTCGTCGTCGAAGCTGGTGCCCCAGGAGTGGATCTGCACGCCGGTGACCACGGCGTAGTCGGCGCGCGCGGGGTCCACGGTCTGGGAGATCAGGTACTCCAGGTCGTCGGTGATGGTGCGCTCCGCCACCTGGGTCATGGCCACCAGGTCCAGCGCCTGCACGCCCTCCTCACCCACCCCCTCGTAGCGCAGGCGCCGCGCCAGGCGCTGCTTCAGGATGGTCATCTCCGGGTCCAACGGTTCGTGCACGCCTGGCACCTTGCAGGCCGCGGCCAGGCCGGTGCGCCGGATGTCGGCCAGCGCGCCGTCCAGCGCGCCGCAGGCGCAGGACTGCCCCGGGCGGCCGGGGCGGGAGATGGTGCCCTGCCGCCCGCGCGAGTCGATGGAGATGTGGGGGAAGGAGAAGAAGACGTACCGCTCCTTGCCGGAGCCCTTGGAGACCGGGGCATGGGACAAGCCCGCGCGCACCCCGCTCACGCCGCAGGTCAGCACCCCGCCCAGGCCGTTGGTGTTGAAGGAGGATCCAAACACCTGGTCGATCTTCTGCTTCAGGGTCAAGGTCACCTCGTCGCGGCACAGGTTCACCATGGCTGTTCGTTGGAGGGGGAGGGGGGGAGGGAGGGGCACATGGGAGGGAAGGGTCGCGATGCTGCCAATAGTACATGCCCTTGCGCGCACCATACCTACAGGACACCCAGCCCCACCCCCCCAAGAGCCCACCGATGCTGTTGTCGCCGCTGAAGCCAAAGGCGTACAGCGCAATCTCCATGCGCTGCATGAAGTCGTCCACGCCCAGGGCGCTGGGGAAGTGGTGGGTGATGATGCGCGTGCGCTGGCGCAGGTAGGCCAGCTCCGTCTGGATGCCCCTGGGCTTCTGGATGGGGGCCTGTTCCTCGTCAGGGGCGGGGGCCTGGGTGCCGGGGGAGGGGCTCAGGCCTGGAAGGGCACGGGTGCGACCCTGGGCTTTCGGGGGCAGGGCCTGGCGAGGGTCCCGGGCCCCGGCGTGGTGGCTGTGGCCCTGGCCCCGGGCTGTCACGGACAGCGCCACGGGGCTGAAGGCCGGGGTGGAGGGGTTGCAGGGACGCAGCGGCATGTTGGAACCAGTGAAGGGTGAGCGACACAGAAGGGCCGGCTGATGTGCTGGCGAGGGAGGGTGAGGAAGTACGGGAGAAGGTGGCACGCCGGAGGCTGCAACCCACCACGACCCTCGGCCCTCGCGGTCTGAGGAGCAGGAATGTGCGAGGTTTGAAAGAATGAGGATCTTTAGGGGAGGCTCGTTCTGCCCTCATCGCGCGCTGCCTTGTTTCTGGCACCCGAGTCCGATTCTGGCGCTCTCCTCAGGTGGGGGCAACAGCTCACGTGGGTGCGACGAGAGCGAGGTCCGAGTCAACAGGCTGGGGCCAAGGCAGGGCACCCCTGCCATGAATTCTCCGGGTGGGCATGAACAGGATGTGTCAACTGAGGTCGAAACCTGCACCGGCGGTGATGGCGTATCGCAGCTTGTCCAGCATGACTTCCAGGCTGGTGTAGGGCGGCAGCTTGAGCAGGTTCATGCAGGTGGAGGCGGTGGGGAGCCGGCCCAGCGCCTCCCCCGTCGCCGCGCCAGCCATCTGTGTAGGTTCGAGAGGAGGGGATGCATGAGGTGGGCGGGGCATGATGGGAAATAGTTGTGTCTCACGGCGTCGAGGCACGATCCCTACACTATGAAAGAGGTGCAGGCGGGTTCAGCAAGATCAGACCTCAAGCGATCTGGCGCGTGCACTTGATTCCCCAGCCCGGGGCCCGAGATCACTCCCCCCTCCCCCCTCCCTCCCCACCGCCTCGCCTGGATGCTGAGTGGGGGCTGGAGGTACTTGAACCCTAGTAACGGGGGCCGAGGGCAGGAGGTGACGAAGCGCAGGAACAGGGCCTGGTCGGCGGCGGTGAGCGCCGTCAGCGCCCGCCACAGGAGCAAGATGCTCGGGTGGTCGGCGGCGTACCCGCCGCCATACCGCGCGTGGGCGGCAAGGTCGGCCAGGTCCAGCCCCTGCTCGCCGCCGGAGATGAGGGCCTGCAGCTCAGCGGCGCTGAAGGGCGCTAGCCAGTGCGGGGGGATGATGGAGTGCAGGCCCCCCAGGAAGGCGCCGACGGGGCCGGCCAGCTGCCGATTGAGCTTGAAGTCGGCCATGCGGTGCACGTACTCGATCACGTTGTCCCGCGTTACACTGCGCCTCGCGCCGCCCTGCACCAGCTCCACCTGTGGGTTAGGGGCGGTTTGGAAAAGGGTGGTGACAGTTGGGCCAACAGTGTATGAAGGGAAGGAGGGGGTGAACAAGCGGAAGCAGCAGGGGCAGGGGTCGTGGAGGGATGCGGTACAGATTGTGCATGCAAGCAGCTGAGGCTGGACCTGACAGGCTGTGGACATGAACATCTGGGTGATGGGAAGGCAGCGATGGGAAGCACGCACGTGGGGCATGCCCCATGCGCGTGCATACCGCGAATCACAACCCCTCCTGCTTCCCCAGACGGCTGCTCCGCCGGTCCTGCGTGGCCTTGGGCACCCTCTGCCCCGCCCCCTCGACATTCTAAAAAGCCACACCCCCCTCCTCTTCAACCCCTGCTCCCTTCCTCCCCACCCCAAAGCACACCCACCTCTCGTGCCTCCCCCGCCAGCACGTCGGTGACGGTGAAGGTCAGCTCCAGCCCCGCCAGCGTGGCGGCGTCGTAGGCACGCAGCTTGCCCAGGTTGGCCGCCAGCTCCGGGTCCAGGGAGGCCAGGTCGCGCAGCTCACACCCCCTCCCCGCCATCTTCTGCAGGAAGAAGGTGGCCAGGGGGAGGTCCACCAGCGTGCCCTCCAGGAGCGCCTTGCCCAGCAGTTGACCCAGGAAGGCCAGCAGGCGGGGGGCGTCGGGGACAAGGGCCGCCGCGCCGGGGGCGGGGTACAGCCGCTGGTCGCTGGTCACCGCGAAGAGGCCGCGCCCAGGGTCGAAACCCTCCTTGCTGACCTCCTCCAGGAACTCCTTGAACAGGCCTGAGGGTGAAGGGGGAGAAGGGCCGGGGGATGGGGTGGGATAGGCAAACGATCGAATGGATACAAGCATGAGTGGAACGAGATGACTCGCAGCAAGGACGCCGCCAACGCATTGTAGCGGTTGCCAGCCAACCGTCACCAGGCCAGGGGCGTGAAGCACCACCCCGCACCCCCGCCGTCGACGCCGGCCTCGGGGAACCCGAGGTCCGAGATGAACTGGATGCGGACGCGGCCCTTGAGCGTGCCGCCAGCGCCCCCCAGGGCCTGGAAGGCGTCGTTCAGCACCTGCCCCCGCCGCACGGGCACAAAGTCCCGGCTGTAAGACCCGGTGCGCAGCTGCCAGCTCTCCTCCGCCTCATAGTACGACGCCCGGTCCTGGGTGGGCGGGTAGGGCAGGTATCACAGGTTTGAAAGGGAATTCTGGGTTGAAGGGCTTGGAGCATGACCTCTGGAATTCTCGGCACACGCAAGGAGAGGGGTTCCTTCAGCAAGAGACCCAAGCGAGAAGCAAGCCCACCAGCGTCTGACCCCTCCCATCCTGGCAAGGGGTTTAAGCCCCTCCCCCCACCCCCTCTCTGCACGGCTCGCCTGCGCCACCGCCTGCTGGAAGGCCTGGACGCGCTGGTGGAAGGGGATGAGGCAGGGCGCCCACACCCACAGCGCGGCGGCGCGGCCCCGCCCGTCCCCCAGCTGCGGGCGCCGTGCGGCATCCCCGCCCTCGGCCTCGGGGTCCGCGGCCATCAGGTCGCCCAGCACGTCGACGGGGAAGCTGGCGGGGACGTGGAAGGCTTCTGCCGCGACAAAGGCGCGGCGCCCGTTGCGGTCGCACAGCTGGCCCAGCAGCCTACCTGCCGTCTCCACGACCTGCGCCTGCAGCCCCGGGCCGGGACCGCCCTGGGCCTGGGCGCGTGCGGCCTCGCCGCCACCTAGCACCCACCACACCGCCCTCTTCAGGGCCTGCACCAGGTCGGGGAGGGGAAGGGGGAAGGTGCGGTCGTACAGATCCCCATCCTCGCCTGGAAATGGGAGGGGAGGGAGGATTTCAACAAGAGGGTGAGCTTTGTTTCAGGCCTGCGGCGTTGAGAAACATCTGGGTGATTAGCTGAACATCCCAGTCCCTTCTCTTCCTCTGAGCTCCTGTCCTCACGTGGAGTTATCGCACCTGTGGAGATGAGGATGGAGCAGGTGGAGGAGAGGATGGACAGCGGGAGCATCCAGCCCGGGTCTTCCCCCGGGTGCCGTGGTCCGAGTCCTCGCGCTCGCCACGGCTGGCCTGGGTGGATCGGAGGGGGGCTTGCACGTGAGTCCCAGGGACGGCATCGGCAACCCGACCAGCCACAAAGCTGCGGAAGACAGCAGTGCACGGATGCAAAGACAATGGCCGTACTGCAAGGACCCTCTGCCCCATGCAGCCCCAGGCGTGAGTCCACACCTGTGAGCCCGTGGGCCTGCATGCCCGGCTGGAGGTAGCCGCTCCAGAGCTGGGCGAGGAAGGGCGTGCCGACCGAGAGCTTGAGCATCAGGCGCTCGCGCATGCCTGGCACCGCCCCGGCCAGGGCGTCCAGGAGCCGGCAGAGGGCGAGCGCCCCGGGCATCCCCCCGCACTGAGCCTCCAGAGACAGCAGAGGCCCGACCAGGGCCTGGAGGAAGGCGTGGCTCGCCAGACCCGCAAGCTGCCGCTCCACCTCCGGCGCCAGGCGCGAGCCTGGCAGCGTCCCAGTGTCCCCCCGCCCGGGCAGCTGCCCGCCGGCCGCCGCGACGCGCGCCACCAGGCGGCAGATCACGTGCGCGAGAGCGCCGGCGTCGGCGGCGCCGAGCGGCGCGCCCGCCCGCCCCGCCGCACCCTCCGTCAGGTTGCCCAGCAGGCTCAGCGCAGCGTCGACGCCCTCCATCGCCGCATCCGCCCCCGCGCCCTCCAGGCCCGCCCCTAAGCCGGGCGCGGCAAAGGCCGCCAGTGCAGGAAGGAGGCTGCGCGTGCGGGGGAAGCCCAGCCACGGCTGCGGTGTGCTCAGCAGCCCAAAGAAGCTGGTGGGAGGAAAGGGAGGAAGGCCGGCCCCATCCGTCTGCGTGCTGGGGGATGGTCGGCGCAGCGCGCCCCGCACCTCGGCAGGGTCCAGGGCGCAGACGAGGCTCAGCACCCCATGCACTCCTGCATCCAGGGACTCGGTGCCTGGGGCGTCGGTCCCGGCATGCAGCGCGGTGCAGGCTGCCCATTCAAGGCAGCCGGGGAGCAGGGCTGTGCAGACGCGGGGGAGCCGGTCTGGGCTGTCCAGGAGCCGGGCCAGCAGGGGCCAGAGGCACGTCGACGAGTCGGGGCCGGCGGGCGCGCAGAGTCCGGCGCAGGTCAGCGCGACGAGCCTGCGGCGCTGCAGGGTGCGGAGCGGCGCCGGGGACCGGCTCGTTGCCTCCGCGGCGCGAGGCAGGAGGGGGATGTCTCCTGCGACCTTGGCGTCGGCAAAGAACATGAAGGCACGCAGGAAGGCTGCATCAGTTGCCATGAGAGAGCTGCAAAGAGGAGGTGCTGGGGTGAACTAATCGATGGCCATCGAGGTAAGGACCCTGCATCGATGTGCAGGCCCCCAGGGAGCGGGTGTCCTGTTCGGGAGCCTGTCACACACTTGCCCAAGCCCAGGCCCATCCCAGGTGCTTCCCCAGGCCCTCACCTGTCGCAGGATGCCGACAGCTCCGCTTCCAAGCACCCCTGCCATCGTCGGCGCAGCGTCTCTTTGGCTCGGATGAGGTCACGGCGGCATCGCCAGCCAGCCTGGGAAGGGGGAGTGAGTAATATGATGACAACAGGCATGGGTCCTTTGGCTGACCTGTAGAGCAGGCGTGCAATGCATGCCTCGCACCCAACCCACCTGGATGGTGGTGGCAGCATTGGCACGAAGTCTGTTGATCCTCCGCTCCTCCCTCTCCCTCCTCGTGCGCTCCAGGATCTCCGCTCGAGTTTCCTCCCGCCGAGACCTTCCTCCCAGAGACACAGCGCCGTGCCTGGCAGCACTACCACTGAATCCTGTCTGACGGAAATCCATGCGCACACCCTTTCGGATCTGAAGGGGGTCCTGCAGGTCCCCCGTCGATCACTTAGTCGGAACTCGTCATGGGTGGGGACTCCACAGCAGCGCCAGGTGCTGTGGCTACCCTCTAAACGGTGGAAACCGATGAGTTTGACATCGCTATCATGTGCATCGACAATTGATTCATCGCAAGCGATGCCTGGTATCTATGGACGAGGAAAGGCAAAGCACGCGCTGCACGCGACTGTGTCGCGTGCAGTTCATGAAAGTAACACAAAAGTCGGATCGTTCGAACCAATGCACAACAAGAGTGACAGCCCGAGCACTCTGTGCATGCTTCGTGACTGCACCTCGCGAGACCTGCCGCCGAGGACGTGGGTATGCTCGTGCACGCAAGTAAGGCCAGGCACCGAGCCCGAGCCTGACGATGTCCCGATCGGAGCCTCCCAGAGGCTCCAGCGAAGTGATATGGAAAGGCATCCTCACCAAATCAAGATTTGAAGAGCACACTGAGGAGGTGCGGGAAGCCCGATGACTGCTGCGGTGGTCGTTGAAGGCCAATCTGGGAGGGGTCATGCCATGGCTGCACCCATGCACATCGCCCACCCCACGTGCCCGCAGATCATCCTGCCTGGCCCCGCCTGCATCACTTCGGTCGCTGTCGGGGCGGTGCCCCAGGCCGGATCATGGGGCACTGCTGCTGGGCCCTCCTCAGTGACTCCTGCCTACGTCCAGATGTGGGGCAAGGATGCACGCAACCCCCACGCCGCCCGCTTCGAAGCGCTTTCCGGGCACGTGCAACAGCCCAAGAAGGGGACGGTGCAGGTCCAGCTCAAGGTGGGTAGGTGTGGACGGGAGCCCAACAGGCACATGCAAAATTGGGGCCCGGGGATGTCTTCCAAGAGCGGCAGGCTGTCTGGGGTCGCGCGCCATGAATGTTGCGGGCCTGTCAGTCATCACACCATCTTGCTCCCCTCAGGCCAGTGATGTTCTTGAGCATTATCAGAACCTCACCCAGGCTTGCACCCCCATGCAGGACATGATCTGTACCAGGCTAGTGCTGACGGGGCGCTTCCAGACGCTCCCTCTCACGCTGCATGGCTTTGGGCTGGACCAGGCGGCGCCCCGGCATGCCCCTGCCTCGCCTCAAATGCTGACCCTGGGCGAGGCGCTGCAGCACCGCCTGGAGCCGGGGCTTGAACCCACCCCCACTGCGGTGCTGGAGACTGCCCGGGGGCTGCAGGCCAGGGCCGCCGCCCTTGTTTCTCATTTGTCAGCGCTGCAGGACGGGATCGATGCGATGACGATCAAGCAGGCAGAGGTCCCCGTCGGCGTGGGCCCGTGCCTCGACGAGGCGCTGGCGCTCGCCGACGACATCACCGGCGTGCTGGCGGCGCCAGCAGACGGCCAAGCGGTGCGGGAGGCGCTGGCGCGGGGCGCGCTCGTCCCCTCGGCCCCGGGATGCCTCGACCGCGGCCTGTGCCTCGCGCTGCGCTGGTGCCGGCTGCTGCCCGGGGAGGAGGCGGGGGCGCCCCCCGCGACCCTGGACCTGGCGGCGGGCGGCCTGGCCGCGCTCTGCGCCCTGGCCTGCCTGGGGGTCGACGCCGCGCTGTGCATGCTGCGCCGCCCCGCCGTCTTCCTCATCCTGTCCGAGGTGCTGGGCTCCGGGCCTGGCGCCTGGCCCCAGCGCCACGCTGTGCACGCTCTGGCCGTGGCCCTGGTCCTCATGGAGGCCGGCGGCGTGTTGGCCTGCGAGGCCCTGCTGGGGCGCTGGGAGTGCCCCGTGCCCGCGCAGACGGGGGCTGGCGGCATCTGGCCGCCCGATGGCGCCGAAGAAGGGAATGGGAGCGCCTGTGAGGCGGGACCGGGGGCGGTGACTCCGTACACCGACCAGGCCGCTACTGCTGATGTCCACGATTCAGAGGGCTCTCCTTGGGACGAGCGATCGGCTGAGCTACGCAGTGTGAACGATGCTGCCAAGCCGCTCACAGCTCTGGCACCCCCTCCGCTCCCGGCGCGGGCCACCATCCCCCAAGTAGACGGGGCGAGTGGGTATCCCTCGCCACCCAAGCGCAGGCATGAGCCCATACGCTTCTGCCCAGGTGGGAGGGTGGGTACACTGGTGCAGCGTGCGAGGCCTCGTGGAAGGGAGGTGCCAGTGTGATGCCGAATGTGAGAGGCTGTTTAGCGAAAAAGTGCATGGCACATTTGTATCCTAGCCCAACCAACCTGCCTTGCCATTGTTGCCTCATGTCTACAGAGGAGGCAGCAGACTACAGGTCCGGTTCAGGATGGCCCCGCGCCATGCCGCAGCCAAGCTTGCAGGCGGCGCATGCAGACCCAAGCGAGGCCCGCTCCAGGCAAGAATTCTGGTTGCAGATGCCACCTTGGGAGCTGTCACGAATGAATGGTATGAAGACAGCGCCACTGACGATATAGTAGGCAGGCCCAAGCTCCTGGGTCGTTCAAGACACCAGCGTTGCCACTCACCAGACCCCTTTGTGACTCTGCTTCGGCTGCAGGAAGCAGCGGCGGGCCGGGGACGCCCACCATGGCCCCGGGCGGGTTGCACACCAGGCCACCCGGGTCGCGGTGCCGGCGCCCCGCGAGCGCGAGTGGCTGCCTGAGGAGGAAGCGGCGCTGCTGCCCCCCCCCCTGCTCCCCCGCCACTCCCCTCCCCCTGGCGTGAGGATGTGGCACCCGACGCGCCTGGCGGCCCCCCGCCCCGCCGCTGCCGCGCCGACGAGGTGGCGACCAGAGGAGGAGGACCCTGTGGTGATCATGGCGGCGAGGTCGGCCGGTGCCGCTGTAGGCAGGGTGACCCACCGTCCGACGCTGGGGTGGCCGGTGGAGGCCCGGCCTGGAAACAGAGGAACAGGAGACCAAGGTGACCATGCTGCCAGCAGGCTGCACGGACCAGGCAGCGGGGCCTCCCCAGACCGCGAGTTGCAAGCGGGAGCTCGGCGAGGGAAGCACCGGAGCAAGTCCAAGTCCAACCACGACCAGTCGGAGCGCCGGAGGCGCAGCGAGCGTGACGGGACGAGGTCCGGTAGCAAGACCTCGGCCTCGGTGGGCGATGGGGACAAGTCCTCCACTCGGCACAAACACCAGTCCAAGAAAGCAGCGCATCCCTCCGCAGAGGGGCCCCCGGGGTTCTCCATCCCTGCTCCGGCGGGGTCTGGCCCTGGGCCAGGGAAGTCAGACCAGGCGCAGGGGAGCGCAGTAGTCTCCGGCGACAGAGAAGGCGCGAGCCCCGTGGCTCTCGAGCCCACTCTTGCCTCAGAATCCTCGGGACCCACTGTTTCTGCCCGCTTGGCGCACGCCGCGGTCGTGGAGGCCCGCATCGACGCGCGGTGGGAGGCTGCGCAGCAGGACCGGGACGCGCTGTGGACTTCGGTGGCATCCCGGCTCCTCACCCCCCAGCCCCGCCTCCTCGCCAGCCTAGCCACACAGTGCCTCACCCTGCTCGGCGCCGCCGACGCGGCGGCGGCGCTGACGAGGACCGCCGCCAAGCTGGCGGGCCGCGTGGCGGCGGAGATGGGGCAAGCGCGCCCTGACGTGGACGAGGGCGCGCCCGTGACGACCGACTCGACTGCCTTCGTGGCGGAGCTGGGCCGGGCGACGGGCGAGGCCGCCGCCTCGCTGCGCTTTCTCACCGAAGCGCTGCGCGCCGGCGAGGGGCCGGCGGCCGGCGTGGTGACACTGCTGCAGGCCCGGCGCACGCCCCGCGCAGTCTGTGTCCTGCTGCGCGTGCCGGCGGCTGCGCAGGCCGTGCTGGCGAGCAGGGTGCGTCGGGGACGGGACCTGGTGGATGGGTGCTCGGGATGCTCGTGATGAGGACCGACCCGGGTGGAGGAGGGGCAGCTGGGCGGCGTGGGAGGTCCAAGGGGGCTGGCCTGGAACTTGCAGGGCTCAGCATGTGCTGCGTGTGTCCAGCCATGTCCCTTGCCGTGGCCGCAAGGGCTTGGGGTGCTTGGATGCTTAAGGTGTGGTCTTGCGGGAGGGTTGCCCACGTTGATGCGCGGTGCCACAGAGAGCCTGTCTCATCACCTTCAATCCCCACCCCTGTCAAAATCGCAGGGTGAGGCGTCGGCGGGGCTGGAGGCCAGGAACGAGCTGTCCCGGACGCTGGGGCTGGCCCTGCGCCCCTTCCTGAGCCAGCTCGCCAGCAGCCCTGCCACGCTCGGCCTGCTGGGCTCCGACCCGACCTCCCTCGCCATGCTGGCGGGGGCCGGGATCGACATCGCCGGCGGCGGCCACTCGCGCTCCGACCGGGAGCCTCCTGCCCTGCGCTCCTGTGTGGGCCAGGCGGTTCTGGCGCACGCTGCGGTCCGACGCTTGGTCGACTGGCACCAAGGTCCAGGAGAGCACGGGTCGGCGGGGACGGAAGGATCAGTCGTCGCGCTGCGCACGCTGTCCGCCGTCCAGCCGGCTGCCGCCGCGCTGGCGATGGCGCTGAGCGGCGAGGCGGCCGGCGCTGCTCTGGCGCAGGCGATCAGTGCCCGATCGCCCGGCGCCGTCGAGCTGGGACTCGCGCTTACCTGTGCGTCCATGCTGCCGCGCTGCGGTTGCTCCCTGGACGCCCTGCTGGCTGCCGGGGAAGGTGTGGATCACAAGGGTGCGGAACGTGCAAGTGGCCCCGAAACCAGCGCGCCTGGTGAGAGGCAGGCCCTGCCGGGGCCGGGCTCGGCCCTGCTGCCGGAGCTCTCGGTGCGGCTGGGGGTGCTGGTCGCGGTCCGGGACCGGGGCCTGCCCGAAGTCCTGCGTCACGCGGAGGCGCACTTGGCGGGGCATGGGGCCGATGGCACCGACTCCCAGCGAAATCTGGTGGAGTCAGCAGCCCTGTCCGTCGTCGCCTCATCCGATGTTGCCTCGCCTCGTACTAGCCTCGACCGTCTCATGACTGAGCCTCCAGGCTGGGCGAGCCTGGACCAGGCGCTGCGGTGCCTGGCGGTGCAGTGCGCGCCCGGGTCAGCGCCCGGCGGCCCCTCTACCACGCACATGAAACATTCCCGCCGCGCGCTGACGGAGGCCGGCGAGCGGGTGGACGTTGCCGGCCTGTTATCCGCGGCCCTGGGCGCTGCGACGCGCGCGCTGCAGGCCTGCCGCGACGCAGCGTGGGAGGGCGGCCTGGGGAGGGCGGCGCGCGACCCCGGCGGCTGGTGCGCCGCCCGGTGTGCTGCGCTGACCTTACAGGAGGGCGCGGCCACGGCCGCCGCCGCTGTGCTGCCCTGTCTGGCAGGGTGCGAGCTGGAGAGCCCGGGCCTGTTGTGCGCGCTCCTGGCGGCGCACGCAGCTCTTGCGACCGACGAGGAGGGCCTCGGGATGCTGTTGCCGGGGGCCACAGAGGAGAGGGTCGAAGAGGGTTTGCACAGCGCCACGGCGGCACCAGGCGGTCAGGCGAAGGGTCGCGTGCGGCGCGCCCGGGCCGGCATCGTCCTGGCGCTGCGCACCTGGCTCCTGAATGAGAACGCATGGACGCCGAGACTCATGGACACCCTGTTCTCGGAGCCTGGTAGCCAGAGAGGAGGCCTACCACTGCTGCAGCCCTGGCCGGAGGCCGGCGCGGCCGACAGTGGGCCCGAGCCTGCGCCTCAGGTGCCGTTCTGATGGGGTGGAGCTGAGTGGGGCATGTGGGGGAAATGGTCGGGGGCGAAGCCAGTTGCCGGGCGTCGTCGCCTGTTGCAATTTGGCATGCGGGCAGGAGCTGGGCAAGCCTTTCAGTACCCGCACCGAGCATCTCAGATCACACAGAGCTTGATCCGACCCCCACTGCTACCTGGAACTACCCTCCCCCCCTTTCCCCCTCTTGCCCAAATACCGAAGCTGCCGGCGTGGCTCTTCACGACCACCTGCCTCCTGGGCGACCTCTGCCCCGAGGAGTGGCTGCCGGTGGGGCACAGCGCACCCAGCGCCCCTCCCTGCCAGCGCACCCTCCGCTCCCGACTGGCTCAGGTGGGCTGGGAGGCTGTGTGTTTGCTGATTGGGATTGGGTTGGCGTCTTTGGGGGCAGCCAGCCTCTTGTTGCACTTCCGGCCCGGGCTACGGTCTGCAGTCAACGGTGGCTCCATGCCTGAGCTCGACGTCACCTTCCGAGCAAACTCCACCCTCCCTTGTCCCCATGCACAGGCCCTGCGAGCCCACGCACGGTCCCTGGCTCTGCTGGCGGAGCACGGCACCGCCAGTGAGTCGCGCCTGCTGCGCGCCGCGCTGGGCAAGCTGCTCGCCCGTCTTTCGTGCCTGCACCCGAACCTGGGCGAGGTCGCGCTGCGCCCACTGGCGAGGGGTCTGGGCGGGCTGGCCGCCCTTGCCCCTGGCACAGCCCCCGGCCCGCTGCTACACCGAGCCCGGGGCCTGCTGGAATTGGCGGTGCCCCTGCTCCACCGCCCTGCGCTCAGGGCAGCAGCGCTGGACGCGGGCCTGGTGGGCCGGTTGGCCACGATCCTGGGTGGGTAAGGGCCTCGAGTTGGGTGGTGTGTGCTCCAAGGGGAAGGGGTCCACCCTGCGCTGCAACATGCAGCCCTGGGTCTGGGTCCCTCGCCATATGCTCCTTCGGAAATGGTCGGAATGACGCCGTGCAGTGCTCTGGCCGACGGGGTACGCATCTGCGGCGGCCTCTGTCTTCCTGCCCAGTCTCGTCTCCTTCACCCTCCCTACTCCACAGGCCTGGCCTACTACCCGGGCATGCCCGCCACCCTGGCACCGGAGCGGGCGGCCCTGGTGCTCTCCACCCTGGAGGCCTGCCTGCCGCTGTGCAGCCCCGGCCTTGGCTTTGGCCACAGGCCACCCGAGCGCACTGACGACGGCCCCCGCGCCGGGGACGCGGCGGCGCTGGCGGCGGCGCTGATGACTCATGCCTCCGCGCTGCGTGAGGGGGCCGACGCGGGGGCGCTGGCGCGGCGCGTGATGCGCTGCCTGGCCGCCTCGGAGCACGGGCGGGCGGGCTTACGGAATGCGCTGGTGGCGCGGCATGCGGCGTCGGTCGCCGAGGCTGGCGCCGCTGGCGAGCACGCCCGTACGCGCCTGGGCCTGGCAGCCAAGTGGGCGGCTGATAGGGCGGAGGGCCTGCTGCTGGACCGGGGTGTTCTCCAGGAGCTGTGTGAGACATATGACCAGGACAGGGAGTGGCCGATGCAGCCCGCTCATGCCAAGTATGCAGCCCTGGAGGCGGCTCTGCAGGTGCGAATTTGTGGAGGGTGGAATGCCTGGTTGGGCAAATGCCTTTCATAAACCTTTGTGAGGTGGTCTTGCACTGCAACTCTGTAGGGCTTATTCTGCTGGATCTCCTTCATGTGTTTGCGTCAGCTCTGAGCCTATCCAAGGGCGACTGGTGGCATGCCGTTGGCTGAGATGCAGCTGCAAGTTGCCGATGAGGCTCTGTGTTGACATGTCCCGAACTGATCTGCATGCAGGCCCAGCCTCCCCACTCCGATGTGCTGGGATGGAGGCCAGAGGACGCCTCGGGGGGCTTCCTCGTGCAAGATCCCTTCCTCGTCCTGTTCTGGAATAATGTTGCGGCACGGGTGCGATGACTGCAAAGGGGCTCAAGGGTCGGGGATTGTACTCATGCCGTCTCTTGGCTCGCATCTTGTGAAGAGCTGCATGGAAGAAACGGATACCCTTGAATTTCCAAGGCAGGACGCTGCATACCTGCTTCACATGACCAATTCACATTACCCTTTGTCTCTCGCACTTCCCTGAATAAAGCAGGTCGTCCCCGCCTCGGCGTTGTCTGCCCAGGCGGCGGCGCAGCGCCTCGTCAAGGTCGACACGCGCCCCATGGCAGATACGTGTGCGCTTGGGGCTGGGGCCGAAGACGCCATGACCACCTTCCGGGCAGGCGCGCCCTGCCCCCTGGGCCGCCTGGCTTGCAGGGCGGCCCCACCCTCCCCGCCCCGTGAATACCTGTCCTGGCAGCTGGCGGGCAGTGGAGAGGGAAAGAAGGGCGGCGCACCCGCTGATGTGGCGAACACAGATGCCATCGCGAAAGGCTCTGCCAAGGAGGTGGTGCCTGTGGCAAGGACGGGCGGGCAGCCAGAGGAGACCAGACACTTCAGTTCGGAGAGGAGCAGGGCCGCCTCGCCCGGCTCAGCAGGAGACCCTGTGGCAGCACAGGGTGCAGAAGAGCCGCCGCAGCCGCCTGTAATCATGCCCGGGGCGTCTCCATTGCCGGAAGGGACGGCATCCGAGCCGCGTGACAGCGTTTTGCATGGAGTGGGACCCGCACCTGGACCTGAAGAGCTTCTTGGAGACCCCCAGGCGGCGATGGTGAGTGTGATTGGAGCCTCGAATTGGAAGGAGTCTTTTTCCTGTGTGTGGCATGTTGAGGGTACTTGTGTCCGCAGCATCCAGACTACTGAAATCCTTACCAAATGTTCTCGCCCTGCTGAGGCCACATCTTCATTGTCATTGCTCCAAACTCCCACTGCACTGTCATATCCGCATACTCCCTACAACCTCACTGTGCCCACCATTGCTACAGGCACTCCTCCGAGACCCAGTCCGCCTTCAGAGCCTCCTGCTGAAGCATCCAGATCTGCTGATAGCCATCAAGTCCCGACTGGGACTCTGAGCAGCATGGCATTGACCTGAGGTGTGAGCACCCAGTGGAGTTACATGACCCTGACTAGAGTGTCGGAAAGAATGGCCTAGTCATAATTCCTATGCAAGTTCGCGGAAGGACCTCGCGACGCTGCTTTCCATGTATATACAGAAATACTTCCGCCTTGAATGAGACTCGCTGTTTTCCACCAGTCTTCGAGTACTGTCTGCTGCATACCCCACAGCCCGCTTGTTGGTGCCAAACCCAGAATCCACGCCGGTAACCCCTTCGAACCAGCGATTGCCGGCTGCCGCCTTACGAGACTGAGGTGTAACGAGGAATCCTGGACAGCTTCTCCCACATTAATGGTGTTGGAGGCCGATGTGGGCATCGTCGCATACGCGAATGATGCTCAGGGCTTCGCCGCCACCCTCAAGCACAGGTAATTCGGGCTGTAGCGGATTTGGATCCTGTGACAGCACTCTGCCCAGGGGCCCCTCAGCTCCCGTCGCTTATTGCATCCATTCCTCAGGTACTCTGATTTTCGCGTGAATGAGATTCGCCAGGAGGGAGGCGTCGTAAGACTGGTCAACACCACCGTCCCCAAGGTCAGCATGTAGTTGGGTGTCCACGGCATCTCCTGTCAGCAGAACCAGAACCATTTAGCAAAGCCGTATTTGCATGCAGCTGTAAGCATGGGCAGAGCGCCCAGAAAAGCCCAATTCTCTGGCCTGGGAAGTAAACCGCATCGCAAGCCATCACCTAACGCTGTCTCCTTGCAACAGGCGGCTGAGGCTCGTGAGGTGCCCCTGTGTTCCGCTCAGGAGCTCATCCAGAAGTTGGAGTCTGCGACGGGCAACCCCGCTTCACCAGACATCCTTGACTTCTTAGAACGCGTCAAGAATGGCTCGGTCAGTGGTGGCATGGCATCTTGTGCTCATAATGGGGTGTTCATGGATGTGGGTTCTGCTCCACTTGGTGCATTCTGCCCCAAACCTCGTGCAGGACAGCGAGGTGGTCGCTGATCTCAGCAGAAGCCCAGTACAAAGCGCGAGGCCCCCCCCCCAACGCGCAGGTTCCTCCCTCGGAGCGCATTCACCTGGGCCCCTTTCAGGATAAGGCGCAACGAACTGCGGTGCACGGAATTTTCAAGGCCTGGCCGACCCTGGCGACCGAGACAGGAGCCGAGGGCAGCATTGAGCTCGGTCTGGGGGGTGGCAAGGGGATCAAGAGGAGGCGCAGTGAGTGGGCTGGCGGTGACGCTCGGTATGTGAAGTTTACCATGTACAAGGAGAACATGGAGTCTCAGGTGGGTGGGAAAGGTATGCGGGAAGGGATGTGCATGGGAATCCTGGCCTTGGGTTTATGTAGTGTGAAGGTACCCACACTGACAGGTGGAGGAGGTTCCGACGCTGTCAACAGCACCAGAGTGTGGCAAAGGCTTGACTTGAGGCAGCCCTACAGGTCTCACGCCCACAGCCCTCCACACCCAATTCACGTCCAACACTTCCCCCCAGGCCGCGCTTTCTCTGCTAGGCAGTAAGCTGCATGTTTCCGCCAAGGTGTTTGGGATTGCGGGGACCAAGGACAAGAGGGGCTGCACCTGCCAAGAAGTCACCGCCTTCAGGGTCGACCCTGGGCGCCTGGCCACAGCTGCCAAACAGCTGCGGGGCATCAGTGTGGGTGACTTTTCTTTCACTGACGAGGAGCTACACCTGGGTCAACTGGGGGGCAACAGGTGTGTGCATGCCTGGTAAAGGCTGGGGTTGAGAGGCTGTGAGATCACTTGTTTGGGTTGCATTGCAACACAAGACATCCCGAGTTCTGTACCCAGACCGATTGCGAGGGTGCCCCTGGATGCCACGTGCCCAGCCAGCCGAGCAAACCTGGCTCACCTAACCTTTCCTCCCATCCCATTCTAGATTTGAGCTCATTCTCAGGGGGCTCCCACCTGATGCAGAGGAAGACGTCAAGGCGGCGTGCACAGCCCTCGCTGCCTCTGGCTTCATAAACTACTTTGGCCTGCAGCGATTTGGCAGCGGCCCCATCCCGACACATGCCATTGGCAGGGCTCTGTTGGCAGGGCAGTGGGACAGGGCTGTCGCCAGCATCCTTGGTCGGGCCGGTCCGGATGTCCTGCCCACCAGCCTCCAAGAGGTCAAGAGCGCGCTGAGGGGCACCCCCGGATTTGCAGTTGCTGAGACAGCTGTGCTCCAGGTACCCTATTTCAGTGTGCTGATGGGCTTGGCACATGGGTGTGGTCTTACAGGGATAAGGCACTTGTGAGGCAATACCTAGTTTAAAAAGATCGTCCTCGATGCCAGCTTCCTGGTTCAATGATGCTTTTTGGTTGCTGGAAGCTACTGCCATGTCACCTTCCGCTGCTCTACAGACGCAGCGTCACCAGGCAATTGTGTGCACATACTCCTGCGCACTCTGACTGCTTCATCACACCCGGTCACTTCCCTCCCAAAATCCCACAGGCTCTGCTGAAGCATGGCGCCACCAACTACCTCACAGCAGTCCAAGCCATCCCGCGGAACCTGCGCACCATGTACATTCATGCCTACCAGTCTTACCTCTGGAACTCAGTGGCGAGCTTCCGGCTGCGCCAGTCCAGGAGTGCACTGCTGGTCGGAGACCTGGTGGCACAGAGCAAGACCGGTGCGGGTGGGCCTGATGGCAGCCAAGAGTTTGTGGGCAGCACAGACCAGGTGCCCCTCCATTCTGAGAATGAAGTGGAGTTCACGGAGCCCGGAGCAAACGCAAAGGAGGCGGCCGCCCCTGCCAACATGGTGAGGCATTGGGTTGGGCATGGTAGAAATTCTACTCTGGCCTGCACGTTTTCCCCACTTCCTTGTGTGCAGACATGCGCTGGGAAGGTCGTTGACACACACTCAAATACCCACCCATCCACCCTTTGCAGGCGGTGCACATAATTTCAGCAGAGGACCTGGACACGAGGTCATACTCCATGTCCGACCTGCTCCTCCCGCTGCCAGGCAGCAGCGTCCGTCTACCTGAGAATGCCACCGGCGAGGTAGTGGCTGCAGTAAGACAGAGCAGCAGGGTCAGCGGTGCTGGGTGCATGATTGTATGACCGTCCTTACCATGTGCCGGCTCTGGCCACCACCTCAACGCTGCACACATTCAAGGCGTGCTCCAAAGACTCCTTCGCCCCTGCGCCACTGTGTCTAGGAGTATGCCCGCCTGCTGGCCGAGGACGGCCTGAGCCTGGAGACCTCAGCGCATGGGACTGCGGGGTTCACCCTCGCGGGACAGACGGGGGCGTACCGCCTCGTGCTGGGTTCCCCGGGCGACGTCGAGTGGGAGCTGCTGCGCCACTCTGCACAGGACACGGACCTGGCGGAGGGGCAGGGAGTGGAGCCCGGGGGCGCCCTCCTGGCCCTGCGACTGGCCTTCAGCCTGGCTCCCTCCTCCTACGCCACCATGGTGGTGAGGGAGCTGACGAAGCAGTCCGGCGCGGCGCTGCATGCGGCCCTGCCCAGAGCTGGGCCGCCTGTCTGAACCCTGCTGCATGTTGTGCGGCTCTCCAAAAGGTCTGGAATGAATAGCAGGCTTGCGCCTTAACCACTCGGCCACGTTGTCACGGCGCACGACAACGGCAGGATTCGAACCTGCGCCCCTTTCGGGACAAACTACTTGCAGACGTCCAGCGACAGATGGAAATCAAACAGGGTAACTGGGAATTTATTCGAGGTTATGTGCACTGAGGCAGTCAGATCTGCCACGGAGCTGGCAGTTCGTGCCTCAGAGCTGGCGATCGACATTCCTAGAACATGAGCGCATGCACAGGACCGTGCTGCACTCTGCAAGAGTCACAAGTGTTAGGGTTCATTGTATGTGTGCTGATTTCGCGATGTGATGTGTCCATGTGCAACTGCCGTAGATCGCTGACGCTCCTCATCGACTCGCGCACTGCTCAAAAATTGCTAGGTTCAAGCTACCGATGGAAGATCTTGGTGGATGGGCAGGACACTTTGGTTCACCCAGGAAGCAGACGGTCAAACGAGGTCACTGCCGAGAGCACTCTGGAATACCAGCCGTCGATTTCGCAAGATGATCCTGTCCGACATGAGCTTCGAGATTAAACCCTGATGATATAGAAAATATGCGAAAGTCGATCTTCTGCATCTAGTAACGCACTCATACTCATTCGGGCTGCAACTCGCCCCTCCAAGGCGTGGTGGGGATCTGCACTCGAATTCGCACTTCATGTGGCATCGACTCTCTCGCGCAGCACACGCGAGGTGCGCCGAGCGAGATTTTGCAGCAGATATATATGCCAGTCCCCATTAAGCTATCGACTCCTCGATCGTGCTCGGCGCCGAGAAGTGCCGCGCTGTCCTACATCGCAGATGTCGCCATAGTCAACCACACGCGCATGTGTTTCGAGCATGTCTGACGTCCTCATCACGGACTGCCGTACCACTACACAAATTGCCGATCACCGCGGAGGAGCATGTGGCATGGAGGGAACAGACAGAAGTCTATCGCCGCGTACTGCGTGTGAGGGACCACGACGCCACCCGCGCTCACAATATCGTAAAGGTGCCCTTCTGGACTGCTTTGGTGGAGATCGCTGGCCCTATGCCCTGCTTTATGAGATACAGCATCTAGACCAGCCTCAAGATACCTGGCCATTGATTCACACTCACAACCACTCCATCTCCAGACGAATGCCAGCAGCCAGCTGACGGCGGCCTGGAGCGTGAGCACTTCCCTTTTCTTCTGCAGGGATGGCTCCCAGGGATCGACAGCCATCGACCCCGACAGGCTGGCCGGCTGCATAGAGACCAAGCTCCTACCAGAGCTTCCTTACCTTGCAGGAAGGTGATGAGGCCTCAAGGTTGCAACATGTTGGTAGACTCCCATGGCCTCGGGCGCTCAGCCATGCCAGGGGATCGCTTCGTAGGGCGTTGGCAGGCACCTCGCAGCGGCACATGCACAAGCCCCTGCATTACCTGGAGTGTCACCCCCTGCAGATTGACTGGCACAGGGTGGTTGCAGCCACACAGGGAGACGGCCATCCTCTGCAATAATGCTGGAATCGAGTTGGCGCACGCCAAGGTGCCTGCGGAGAGTGCAACGAGCTTGGGGGCATGCGTCATGACAATGGTGCCTGCTGGCAGCCTTCATATCTGCCGGTATGCAAGGCATTGGTGCCCCACCTCGGCTTCTTCTTTAGTAAGAGCATTCATCCTTTGCAGGTCCCAGCTCACCTCAAGATCCAGGATTTCGGCCCCCCCACCTGGCCAGGCCCGATGGCGCGATGTTCCCTCTTCTCCACCCCGGCACCCTTCTTCGCCGAGCCCCCCATCTCGGGGAAGGGCAGCGCCGCCAGTGGGCCCCTGCTCAAGCTGCGCCTGACCAGCTGCAGCAATGGGGACATCCTCTCCATCACCGTCTCCCACCTGGTGGCAGGCGCGTGTGTGATGGGGGGAGGGGGGGGCATCACATCTCTTCCTCTGCTTTGGTCCATGCAGGGGCAGGAAGGGAGGGATGCCAGTCAGAAGCACTGGACACCCCTCTCACCACCACAGACAGACCAGCGCACCCCCCCTCTCCACACCCCCTCCCATCCAGACGGCCGGCACGAGCTCCACCTCCTCCGCCGCCTGTCTGAGTTGTACCGCGGGACACTGGGCACGCCCCTGGCTGGCACCACCCAGGCCTGCAGCTACGACGCCCTGCGTCCCGCCCTCCCGCCGCCCCCCCCCGGCCTGGAAACCCACGGGCCTAGACCCGCGGCTCACGCCGGCGCAGTGGGCGTCCCTGCCCGGCGCCTTCTGGCGCTTTGTTGCCGCGGAGCAGGGCGTGCACACGATCCACCTGCCCCGCGAGGCGGTGGAGCGCATCAGGGAGGTGGCGGGCGGCGGCCCGATCCCCGGCCCGCCCGTCTCCAGCCTCGACGCGGTGCAGGCCTTCCTGGCGGTGCTGGTGAACTCGCTGGGGGGTAAGCCGCTGGTGGCCCGGGCCCCGGCCCTGCTCACCGTGAATGTGGAGCTCTTGCACGCCCGTCTGGGGCTGGCGCCTAGGGTGGCCCACCAGCTGGAACGAGCCATGGGAAATACGATCCAGATCCTGCAAGTGCCGGGGCTGACGCCCGGTGGGTGGAGAGGGGGTTGGATGCAGGGGGAAGGGAATGTCCGATGTATCCCGCCCAGGGGCTCAAGTTGGGACTCAGGCTGTGGCAGGCGCACCCACACCGCAACATACCATCGCCTCTCTGCCCTGTCCGCCTCGCCGCAGAGGACGCCAGGAGCGGCCTGGCTATGCCGACGGGGGCCAGCGAAGTCTCGACTCTGGAGGCGGCCGTCCAGATCAATGCCCGCCTCATCCGCCGTCGGCTCATCGCGGTTCGAGCAGACGTGGTGGGCGGGGTTGGATGCCTGCATGAATAACAGGCCGTAGCCGGAAGTATTTCATGCAGGCACCCCTGGAAGCTCCAGCACCCCCTTGCCTGCGGATCAGGCCACCACCCCACCCAACCCCGCAGACCGGGACGCTGCAGGCGCTGCACGAGCAGGAGGAGATGGCATCCCTGCCCAGACCCCTGCTGGCAGCCAACTTCATCGCCAAGGGAGACTCCCTGAAGACCTGCGCCACCTCCGCCGTCACTGCATACCCATTCCACGAGGTGGGTTGCGGCTGCCATTGCAAGCTCCTGGACGTTGCCCTCGGCGGGAAAACGGGCCTCGACTGGGGCATCGCTTCCTGGAAGGAGCAGGCATGTTGCAGGCTGCATCGGTCAGTGCCCATGTGTTCCCTCCGTCTCTGCCTGAGCTGCCAAGCTGCATTGGTTGGTCTCTGCCCATCTCATCTCTCACATGCATCCCCTGCCCACCCTCTCAGATCGACTTCGGGGCAGGGAAGCTCAAATACATGCATGGATTCACCAACCCTTGGTTCGAGCGCTTCGCCTACATCAAGCCAGCCCTGGGATTTGGAACAGGGCTGCTCATCCAACTGGCCATCCCAGCAGCCCATGCGTCCACAATCGCATTGCATCCCCTCTGGTCCCTGATGGCGCCCAATGCCAAGGTGTACTCTCCAGCCTGACCGAGCAGTTGGGTGTGATGGAGTGGCAAGGCACACATTCATGATAAGTTGCAGCGTCCAGCAACTACAACATACCATTCCCTTTTCTGAAGCCACCTCAGAACCTAGCTCAGTGTGCCCCTGTGCCTCGCCAGCATATCACTCAGCTTGCTACTGTGTATACCACATGCAACCTAGTGGGAGATAATTCTCTTGCTCCTTCGATTCCGCAGTGGGTGCAGAGTGCTGGTCTACAGAGTCAAATGGCATGGTCGGTGAAGTGCGCCAAGCAGGAATGCTTGAGGGGTTTCAAGGCAATACATTGCAAGTCGGCAGGCATGTGCGGCTGCTTTGCACTGCACAGCCACAGAGCGGATGAGGGAGCGATCACATGAGTCGGCAGCAGGAGTTTGCCTTCCGAGCTTGCTTGTAGAAGAGCTGACTCGCCATTCCAAGATCATTACTCTTCTCCACCAGCTGCTCAAATGGGGGGGGGGGGGAGGGGTTGAATGAGAGAAGCTGAGAATCTAGGAAACAACCCCTACATAGCTTGGCGATTCTATCCAGGTACCTTGCCCTCCTGACGAATCATATTGAGAGCGGTGCATGGACACTGAATCCCTCGCTTGTCTGCTCAGTTTCTGGCTTGTCCACCTTCACAATAAGTTAAAACCGCATGCTTGCATCTCTCCCCACCTGATCGAGCTTTTCGCCCCTGTCTAGTACACTCTCAATCGTCTTGTGCAAGATGATCTTGGTCTCGTCGAGGTCTTTTTGGATCTTGGCGAGCTTATCTGCCGCTGTGGGATCCTGAGAATCGCGAAGTGGAGGGAGGCATTGTCGCAGCGCCTTATGCAGCCGCGCGTTGGAGGAATCTCTCCAAAAATGAGACGCCAACCGCCCCTTCACAAGCGACTCACCCAGCTCCATGCCTACTCTCAGCCCACCCAACCATTCAAAATGCTCAGGGATATCTTGCAGAGCACAGGCTCGATCCTGGGCCACATGGCCTCACACCCCTAATTGCCAGCAGGCCTTGACACACCTGATATTTTTGGAGGGCTGCCTCCAGCAATGCGTTTCCCGTCTCCACATCGCTCGTGTTCCCTCGCCAGGAATCCCCATCCTGGGCAGTGAAGTCGTCTATGACCTGATTGGCCACGCAGAACCCTGCCCGCGCCGGGTAGGTGGCATCGGTGAAGACCACGGCCACCAGGCCGTCCCGGTTGTAGACGTGGGCAAGGTACTCCTCATGCTGCACGCTCTGTCGCGCTCCAATCGCGGTTTTCCTGGCCACGGTGCGGGACACGAAGATCAGCATCTCCCGCACGGTGCTGCGCTGAAAAAAACCGAAGGACGAGAGGTCGGTTGCGGAGCCCAGGAGCACCGGGTCCCGGTCTGCGCCCATGAACTTGAGCAGCATGGTGGCAGTGAGCTTGACCATGGCGACTAATCTGCAGTTCAGTTATTCAGGGGAGGATGTAGAGTTCCGCGTTGTTTGTTGGCAGCCTCGCGTGCCCTCCAGCCGGTGGAACAGCCCAGGAGCGAGTGACGGGAGGTTGGACAGGTGACCTAGTCCCTCCACCTGTCGATGCAGGGCGGTTGTGCCGAATTGGTCGTGCCAGCGGTATCAGAGGATATGCATGCGCGAGCGGGACGATCTGCCTGTAGCTGGTGCCTAGGAGGGAAGTCACTCGGCAGGGAGCCCGGCGCGCGTCTGATGTTCAGCTGCTACCCCATGGCCAAAACCTAGATTATTTCTACACAGATTGTGTTTCCTCCTCGGATGCCCAACGTGAATCTGGGGGCCATCAAGCTTTCTTATGTTTCATCCTATTAGGATAGGAAATACTCGCGGCAGCCTGCATGCGCACGCCGCCCACCAGGTCGCTCTCCAGCGTCAGGTGCGAATCCCTCCACAACTATTCCTCGTCCCCACTCTCAGAGCTGCTCTCCCCATCCTGAGCCAGGACCAGCGCGGCAGCGATGCTCAGTCCTTCCCCACCATCAATGGGACAAAGGCTGAGGCCCTGGTGGTGAAAGGTCACCGCATGCACGGCACCCGGCCCATGCAGTGCGACCCCATTCTCCGCAAGAAGATTGTCCGGCTGCGAGTGGGGGGAGGGGGGGTTGGGTTGACTAACGTGGAGCTGGCAGTTTAGGTGCCTGTCCTGGCATGCAGACACGTCAGGATTCACAGAAGGGCAGCCGCGGCAGACTCCTAAGGACTGGCCCGCGCCAGGCAACTCACCAGGAGCATGTCGTCCTCCCCTGCCAGCCTGGCGGCGTCCACGGCAATGCTGGGGATGGGAAGAGCGCGCTCCCCAAGACAAAGGTCGGCCAGCTTCCGTCTGGCATCGCTGCCAAGCCCGGCGTTACCGCCCTCGGCCGCTTCGGCCTGCGCAGGCATGAGCGGCGCTCGCCCCACCGCCTCCGGCCGGTGCTGCCACCAGTTGATTAAGAGAGTGGCCCGCATCTCCGCTTCGTCCCCGGCGTCCAGCACGCCGTGACCCAGCGCGCCATCAAAGAGGCAGTAGTTGCCCGCCAGGGGGAAGGAGAGCGTGCTCCAGGCGGGACTGGGCGGGGTCACCGCTCCCAGCTCGGCATCAAACCTCTGGTCCAGGATGACAGTTGGCCCTGCAGAGGCATGGGGTGGTGCAGGGGGACTGGGCATTTGGACCTGCGTCTCCATCCTCCCAGCGGGAGCATGCACACGCCTGCATTGGGCCACAGGAGGGAGGGGTGCACCCCTCAACCACACACCTTGGCGCTGGGGGTTCTGTGCTGTGCCAGTGAGGTAGAGCACTGACGAGATGAGGGGGGTCACCAGCCGCCCCTCGTTGGCCATCAAATGCTCGTCCTGTGGGTGCAGACCGCCAGAAGGAAGCTGGCTGAGGGCGCTGTGCTTAACAGTCATCAATGAGATTGAAGGAGGGTGCTCTTGGCCTGGGCTGTCGTCCACATGAGGTGTTTTCTCTTGGAACTCTCTGCCCACCATCATAGGTCGCCAATTCAAACCCACAATTGATACAAAATACCTTGTCCATGTGAAAGCCGAGACCTCGTCCCTTCTCAAATATCTGTTGTCAGGGATGTTGGGGTGCAGAGGGTGATGGAGTCTGCATCCCTCAGGGCTGTATGGTATACCCAAAGTCTTAAGCACAGCTGCTGTCTTCCCAGGGGCCAGTGAACCTGCCTGAACCCAGTATTCGGCGCCTACGACGCCTTCTACATCCTTTGCAGCTATATATGTATGGTACAGGTGAGCCGCTGCCTCCTCGGCCGCGGTTGCTGGCGAATCCAAGCACTCCAAGGGAAACCAATAGTTGGGGCTGGCGGCCAGGGCCTTCGCATCGCTCTGGAGGGAGTGGACATTCGTGAAGGAATTTCGGGGAGCATGGACATCGTGAATGCCACAGCAATCAGAGCGAGGGCCCATCGCAAATGCACCTGTATCCTCTGTAAGAGGGAAGAGGGCAAGGCGTTCGCCAGGACGCATGTCTCGACAGCGCTCGTCATCTCAATGGCGCTGGATCTCTACAAAACAGTCCGGGCATCTATTTCCTGTTGAATGCCATCAACTCGTCGCCGTTCGGGTTTCAATTAAACCTACGCACTCGCGCCCCGACCGCCAGCCGACACGTTGGCCTATATGCATGCATGATGAAGACCTTACAAACCCACTGATTGTGAGAATGGGACTGTCTTGTTTCTCAACAATGTGTAAACCAGCATTCTTATTCAATTCAGTTGTCTACATCCATGTGTTCAATGGTTTCCTTGTTCGTCGTGTGCTCTGATCCTGCGCCCTCCTCCTGCCCGTCGCCACCCGTCACCGGTTTGCTCCCCTGCGTAGCAGCAGCAAACTTCTCACGTGTCACGAGGCAGGGCCAGGAAGTGGCTGCTGACCTCATGGGGGGTGCTGCACTCGGGTCCTGTGCCACGACGCCTGGAGTGCCCAAGCCATCCTGTGAGGGTTTGAGGTGAAGCATGCGTACCTGTCGGCAACTGATCCAGATGCAGGCCGTGGGCAAGGAAGTGGGTGCGGTGGCAAACCTGGCAGACACAGTTGTTCCCACCTGCTCCCACCACCAGTCCTTACATTGCCTCCTCCGCCTTGCCACAAGGGCCTCACCTTCCACACCTGGTCCAAGATCTCTTTCAGCCGCTTGGAGATGACGGCAGCGGACACCCAGGGCAAGCCCAGATCCCCAGCCACTGTGCTGGCATAGATGTTGCTCTCATCGACGGCGGCGCGCATGTCCCAGACCACCCGGTCCACGAACACTTTGCTACCCAGGGGCACCGTGAGCTGAGGGAAGGGATTGTGCAGGGCGGCAATCCGGTTCAGGAATCATACATGACAGGGTTCCGCAGTGTCGGAGGACAAGCACGTCCCTTACAAGAAGCTCGATGCATGAAGTGCACAGCAGAGCCCCTCCCTCCCTCACGCACCGAAATCTCCAGATATCTGGGTACATCTGGGGGCAGACCCCAGGGTGCTGCCCCAGGGGACGTTGGAGAGGATGGATGTGTGTGTGGATGGTGCACGCCCTTCCTTGGAAGCACCCGCAGCGCATGATCAACCTGCTTCTTCAGCTGGCTGCCCCAGGGACGGTTTGCGTGGAGGTTTCCTTTTGGATGAGAAGATGAAGCGTTCACGGAATAGGTGCTCAGTAGCACTTCCCCAGGCGCCAAACATCCCACTCACCCCTGCAGGCCATCGTTGGTCTGCAGCCCTGGCATGATGATGGGGGCCAGCTGCTTGGAGATGGCCTCAGAGCCGTGTCTTCCATCCAACAGGAGCAGGAGGGGCTGGAGATGGGGAGGGTTGGAGGTCATTATCGGCCATCGTTGGTGCATGGGGTGGGGTGCGTGCAACATTCGCAACAGGGAAGGCTCAACACGTCTTCTACATCGACAGCTCCTCATCACGTTCACATGCAAATCACCTCGAAGATGTGTCGATCCTTCCCATCAAACCGAATATGGAATGGCAAGTAGGTGTGCTGCTCCACGGGGCCGCTGGGTGTCGCCTCGGGGTGCTCTCCTTCCCGAGTTTCGACAAGTGTGGTGCCCGTCATACCCTGTACCTCAGCAATGTTGAGACTTTGCCCGCTTGTTCACATCGGTAACACAAGCGATGCAGGGGTAGGTTTTCCGTCTCGGAGCTGGGGACGATTTTCGGCTTATGGCAATGTGATCTGCCATCGTGCACGGTACCCTAGTGGTCTGGGTACGCACCACGGCCGAGCACCGTCGGAATGAATGCCAATAGTACACGGACCAATCGGGAGCATCTCACCCGGCATGGAGCATTCCTGGAATTGCAGATCGCCCTCCAAATCAGCCTCGTTGATCCCTTTGGTGTAGGCCTGCGAGAACTGCATATATCCACAGGCAGCGAAATAAACCCTTTTGGATGAGAAGATGAAGCGTTCACGGAATAGGTGCTCAGTAGCACTTCCCCAGGCGCCAAACATCCCACTCACCCCTGCAGGCCATCGTTGGTCTGCAGCCCTGGCATGATGATGGGGGCCAGCTGCTTGGAGATGGCCTCAGAGCCGTGTCTTCCATCCAACAGGAGCAGGAGGGGCTGGAGATGGGGAGGGTTGGAGGTCATTATCGGCCATCGTTGGTGCATGGGGTGGGGTGCGTGCAACATTCGCAACAGGGAAGGCTCAACACGTCTTCTACATCGACAGCTCCTCATCACGTTCACATGCAAATCACCTCGAAGATGTGTCGATCCTTCCCATCAAACCGAATATGGAATGGCAAGTAGGTGTGCTGCTCCACGGGGCCGCTGGGTGTCGCCTCGGGGTGCTCTCCTTCCCGAGTTTCGACAAGTGTGGTGCCCGTCATACCCTGTACCTCAGCAATGTTGAGACTTTGCCCGCTTGTTCACATCGGTAACACAAGCGATGCAGGGGTAGGTTTTCCGTCTCGGAGCTGGGGACGATTTTCGGCTTATGGCAATGTGATCTGCCATCGTGCACGGTACCCTAGTGGTCTGGGTACGCACCACGGCCGAGCACCGTCGGAATGAATGCCAATAGTACACGGACCAATCGGGAGCATCTCACCCGGCATGGAGCATTCCTGGAATTGCAGATCGCCCTCCAAATCAGCCTCGTTGATCCCTTTGGTGTAGGCCTGCGAGAATTGCATACACATACAAGCGATGCAGGGGTAGGTTTTCCGTCTTGGAGCTGGGGACGATTTTCGGCTTATGGCAATGTGATCTGCCATCGTGCACGGTACCCTAGTGGTCTGGGTACGCACCACGGCCGAGCACCGTCGGAATGAATGCCAATAGTACACGGACCAATCGGGAGCATCTCACCTGGCATGGAGCATTCCTGGAATTGCAGATCGCCCTCCAAATCAGCCTCGTTGATCCCTTTGGTGTAGGCCTGCGAGAACTGCATATATCCACAGGCAGCGAAATAAACTGTAGATTTATCCTCGGCCATCGTCCCATCCCTGGAACCAGCCCCTTCGCTTATATCGTTTCTGGATCAGCAGAATGGGGGAGTCTCAGGTGGGACCCCGCATAGGCGCCTTGGACGTCACAGCGTGATCGGTTCCTTTCCGCACCCACTCCCTCCCGCGCTGCCTCCCCATGCAGTACTCCTTTAGTCTGACCACCTTTAGTCCTAGTGGGAAGCTGGTTCAAATCGAGTATGCGCTTGCAGCGGTGAACGGGGGCGCCACGAGTCTGGGGATCAAGGCCAGCAATGGGGTGGTCATCGCCACGGAAAAGAAACTGCCCTCCACACTGGTGGACGAGGAAACGGTGAAGAAGATATCCCTGCTCACTCCCAATCTCGGGGTGGCCTATGCGGGCATGGGGCCCGACTCCCGAGTCCTGGTCAGGAAGGCCAGGAAGGCAGGGCAGACCTACTACAGGCAGTACCACGAGCAGATGCCTGTGGCGCAGCTGGTACGAGAGGTAGCGGCCGTCATGCAGGAGTTCACACGTGAGTGCTGGGGGGATGGCCTTGGGGCGTGGTTTGCGGGCCGCCTGAGCTTGGCGTGTCAGCACAGCTGCGCCTTTGTTGGAACGCCATTCAGATCCCTCTTCCTCGCTGTCGCCCCCAACTGAGCAGAGTCTGGAGGCGTGCGTCCCTTTGGCGTTTCCTTGCTCCTGGCTGGGGTGGACGAGAACGGCCCGCAGCTGTACCAAGTGGACCCCTCCGGCTCCTACTTTGCTTGGAAGGCGTCTGCCATCGGCAAGAACGCCATCAATGCCCGCACATTCTTGGAGAAGAGGTACAGCGAGGACATCGAGCTGGAGGATGCCATCCACACCGCCCTGCTCACGCTCAAGGACGGCTTTGAGGGTGGGTTCAAGCTCAGGCCTTGGCCCAGGCTCGAAGCAGGCCGAGGGCTGGCAAGCTCCATTGGGTGGAGGTGCAGTGCCTGGTACAATCTGCGACCGCAGTATAAATTCATGGGTGCAGGCCGGCCATACACCACCCTCTCAGCCCCCAAACCGATGCCCACCCTGGCCCGCCTTCCCTCCGCAGGCGAGCTGACGGGAGAGACCGTGGAGGTGGGGATCGTGGGTGAGGATCGGGTCTTCCGCGTCCTCACCGCTGCCGAGGTGTCCGACTACCTCCAAGAAGTGGAGTAGCGGGGCTGGAGTGATGATGGGAGCAGGCATGCTGATGTTGAATCCATGGCTGCCAGCAGGTTTTCACCTCTGGCTGGCTGCAGCCTGTCCCCCCATCCCCTACATCAGCATCTCTGCCTGGACCCTTGTGCTTGTTGTGCACTTGAGAACAGGGCTCCTGGTCAGTGTACATACAACAATCTCAGCATGAGGCACGGTATAGATTGTGGCGCGGATGACGAGCGCCCTTTTTGCAAGGCATAAGGACATAAATTAGCACGGTGTGGGCGTCCAGACATCAGAGCGCCAGGGCAGCCATGCTCTGGAAGCTGGCCTGGACGGGATATGCTTGCGCGTGGAACTGAGAGGCCTTCCCATCACCGTTTCCACACACTGCCAAGGAGCTCAAGAAATCCCTTAGGAGAGTCAGAGCTCGTCCTGCACTGGTGGGGCGGTGGCCGCTGCCTCCCTTTCCAGCCACTTCCGCGCCAGGCTGGCGTGCAGCGCCGCTCCCACGGGCAGCACGCTCTCGTCCATCATGAACTGGTCGGTGTGCAGGCCATGCACGGAGCCCAGGGTCTCGTTGCGGATGCCCAGGAACATGAAGGTGGCGGGCACGGCGCGCGCGATGAAGGAAAAGTCCTCCGCGGCCATGGTGCCCTCGTACTCTCCCACAGCGCCGGCGCCCAGCAGCCTGTATGTTGTTTTTGGGGGGTGTAACAGGGTGTTGATTTGGGGGCTGTGGTCTTGTGGGCGGGCCGTCCTGGCTGGCAGAGCTTTACTTTCCCCCAAAAGATAGAAGTAACACCCCCCAACCCAACCCACCCCGTCGCCACGCCGTCGGCAAAGGCGTGGAGGGCCGGGTCGTTGATGGTGGGCGGGTAGTAAGGCGTGGCGTCCTCGGCCCAGTCCAGCTCGGCAACGCAGCCATGCGCTGCGGCAACGGCGGCGACCACCTCCGCCACGCGTGCCCGCAGGCGCTGCATGGCGGCGTCTGAGGTGGCGCGCACCACGCCGCCCAGGAAGACGGAGTTTGGCACCACGTTGTGGGCCTGTGCCCTGCCCCGCCCTGCCACCAGCTTGGGGATGGAGAGCACCGCGGAGTCAAAGGGCGAGGTCTCGCGCGACACCAGCGTCTGCAGCGCGGTGATGATCGCCGCGCTGGCCACGACGGGGTCGGCCAGGAGCTCGGGGATGGCGGCGTGGCCGCCGCGGCCGCGCACGACCAGCTCAAAGCGGATGGCGCCCGCCATGAAGAAGCCGGGGCGGGAGTACACGCCGCCGGAAGGCAGGGAGGGCCAGACGTGGAAGCCGAAGGCCGCGCCGACGTCTTGGAACACACCTTTTTGTTGTTGAGGGGGGAAAGGGGGGGGGATGTTATGGGGGTGTATATGTGTGCATGCTGGAAAGGGAGGGGGGCTCATTGAGAATGAAGCGCAGATAACAAGGAATGCGGGAAGGAGGGGGTGTTGGTCAGCGGCGCTGGGATTTAATAGAGCGCAATGAGATGATGGTCGGCAGGCTGGCACCCAGGCCGTAGCGCTTGTGCCGCACTGATTCCCAGCATACAAAATTCCTGCCCCAAGACCGCCCTCACCCTCCTGCACCATGCGCTCCCCGCCTGCGCCGCCCTCCTCGGCGGGCTGGAAGACCAGTCTCACGGTCCCTGGCAGTCGATGCTCGACGGCCTTGAGCAGGCGGGCGGCGCCCAGCAGCATCGTCATGTGGGCGTCGTGGCCGCAGGCGTGCATGGCGCCTGGGTGCTCCGAGGCAAAGTCCACCCCGCTGGCCTCGATGATGGGCAGGGCGTCCATGTCGGCGCGCAGGGCCACAAAGGGCGGGCCCCCGGTGCCGATCATGCCCACCACCCCGGACCCGGCCGCTGGCCTGTGGGGGTGTCGGCTCACTGGATCGCCTGGGACCTCCATGCCCATACCCATGATTTACCCCCCTGCACTCCCTTGCACCACCGCAGCCCATGCAGGCGGCACTCACGTGTGTGGGATGCCCAGCTCGTCCAGGTAGCCCCTGACCGCTGCGCTGGTCAGGGGGAGGTCATACAGGAGCTCGGGGATGCGGTGTAGGGCCCGCCGAGTGGACACCAGCCAATTGATGTCTTCCCGGGCCTGCTCCAGGAAGGAGAACTCCGAAGCCGCGGTGAGGTGCATCGGCAGGATGCACAGGAGCAAAACAAACACGCAGGCCGTCGAGGTCGACATGGCCCACAAAGCCCCTGGCTGCACAGATTAGATTTTCGGGATTGTTACAAAATATCGTTTAGAATATGTGCGCATGTTGCAGATCGAAACCCAAGGGGCATGGCATGGACTGATCGTGGGCCTTCGGAGATCGAGCGCGCGCGAACTTTACTATGTCCCTTTTGACCATCGTATGGCGCCAGCCCTCGCTGTGTACATCTTGGTGGCTGACAAGCTGGATCAAGCAACAAATTGGCGCAGCGGAGCGGAGCGTGGTCAATTTACGTCATTGTGTTTGATTTCGAGGAGCGTAATGCAGGCGTCAGATCCGACGTCAGCCCCAGCGTGCTCAAGGCATCCTGCCCCAGGGTGTTGAAGGTGTCCCGCAGCCAGTGCACCACCGCGAACCTGTCGAGCATGGCGTCATGCTCCACGTTGGCCGGCGCCTGGGGCGGGGGGCAGGAGGCAGGGATGTGTGGCGTAAAGGTGGAGAGCAAGCACAGCATCCATGCCACTGGACCTTGTGCACGGGGAGCCCGAGCTGTACAGACCCTCCCCCCTGCATGTCTCCTGCATCTCTCCCCTTCCCTGCAACATCCTCCGCAGGATCCTCACCGTTCCTGCGACTTCCTCGATCTTGGAGTCAGCCTTCTCGTTTGGTTTGGGACCCTCAGCATCCAGCCTCCTCTCGACGGTGCGCTGGCGTGTTGTGTGCATGCACTCCGCGATCTTCTCCAAGCTCTCCAGCTTGATGACCTCCGCCTGGGTCAGGGCAATACTGGCACGCAGGTGCACCTGGCAGCCAGGGCAGATGAGGGAGGGGATTCAGGTGCAGACATCTGGAGGCAGGCGACCCGGCTCACTGCCCGGCTGCATGGTTGGGGGTGGGAGGGGGGAGGGCCCGCAGGCGGGCAAGCCCTCCCCTGCCCCATCTCCTAGACCCTGGACTGGACAAGCACCCTCCACGGCCTTCAACACACATGCACCCATCATTCTCCACGCTTTCGCGCGAGCCATACTGCCGTCAACTCCCCAGCGATTGTGCCGCATACAACCTTCCATCTGTCAACCCATTGCCCCCCAAGGACACCCATCAAAATCCCCCTCCCTCCCCCCTTCTCATGCTCACTTGCACCAGCGGATTCTGCTCCAAGAACCGCTCCAGGCCCCAGGCCGTCAGGCGGACAAGGGTGACGGGGGTCAGCGCCACGGCCGAGGCCTTCCAGCGGTCGTGGTAGAAGGCGGGGTCCAGCATGCCCAGCGCGCCGATGAACTGGCGCGGGCCGCGCCGCGTGACGAGCAGGTCGTCCATGGCGCCCGGCACGGCGGCGGAGCGCAGCAGGAGCGCCGCGCGCTCCGCCGCCTCCCGCACCGTCCCCGTCAGCGTCATGCTCCTCGCGTCGGTCTGCAGCTGCTCTGCAAAGAGATGTGAGTGTGGGGCAGGGGGAGAGGGGTTGATGGGTGATGTGCATGTGTGTTTGGTGGGATCAGAGGTTCGACAGCGCGAGGGGCCCATGCATGCAGGAGGGCCAGCGATGGAGGCGAGGCTATGCCTGGAAAGAGGGCCAGAGGCAACCGTGGGGCACTACCACACAGTGACACGCGCTACAGCGCGCCCATGTTTGAGCACGCCGTCGCACTCTAGCCCCATGTGTGGGAGCCCTGCCCCACACACCTGGGACCCCTCCCTGCACACGCACTCTATGGCCCTGCACCACGCTTCAGACAAAGTTTCCTCCATGGACACACTCTCCGACCCCCCCCCGCCTCTACCACCCGACGCCACACACCAATGTCCATGTCGATGGTGGTGGAGTCCATGGGCCCCGACAGCCCATGGTCCAGGCTGAAGGACTCATTGGTGCGCAGCGCGTGGCCCAGCACGGCGGAGAGGGAGAAGGGCAGGCGCGCCTCCCAGCTGATCTCAAGCTCCCCAGACTCGATGTAGAGCACCGAGGTCATGTTGTCCGACGTGCCAAGGTTCTCCCCCGCCGCGACATGCAGGACCTCGATGTCCTGGACCCTGTGCAGAGGGGGAAGCACGGCACAGGGTGATGGGGCATCATGGCAAAGGGGCTGGTGGTGTACTTCCACTGGCAGGACAGGGTGCGCGGCAGTGATCCCAGTTCACAAGGTCGCCCATCCACACCCACCCTCGCACGGCGCTGGCCAGTCGGTGCGAGAGCCGCGCCAGGTTTGCCTGCAGGATTTTTGTTTGGGAGGGGTCCCTGGGCTCTGGGGACGGAGTGAGTCTCATGCTCTGGACGTCCAAGTGCGCGTGCGCTTGCGCGGGAACATGTGCCCAGGTTCTGCCATTGCCTGACCTAAATATGCAGGATGCAGGATGCCCCTGTGGACTGGATGGTCGTGGTCCCACCGTGTAGCTCCCCCACTAACCCACTCCTACTCCCATCACAATCGACTCCCCCCACGCCCCCCCCCCCGCCCCCCCACACACACCAGTCTGCTGGAGGGGCGGCTGCCGCGCGGGCTGCTGCCCTCCGCGGCGCTGCTGGAGGCACTCTCGGCCCCCGGGCTGGGACCGCGCAGGCTCTGCGTGCGCCGCTCCCTGCCGCTGGACCCCGCCGTCAGCGCTCGGGAGGAGCTGCGGCGCAGCGACCGCGCGGGGTGCGGCTCGGGTCCAGCCTCCCCGCCGTCCACCGACATGGAGCGGGTGTGTGCCAGCGGCCGCCGCCGGGACCGCGGGTCCGACGAGGGTGCGCCCTCCTCCTCCTCGTGCCGCGCCAGCCCGCCCCGGCTCCAGCCCGGCCCAGGGGAGGCCGGTGCCTGGCCCAGGAAGGGAGGGGAGGGGCTGAGCGTCGACAGGCGCGCGCTCTGGAAGGGGCTGGGGCAGGGGAGCTGGGCCTGGGCGGGCTGCAGCACCACTGAGCGCCGGAACATGCCGCTGCTGGCCATGCCCTCCCCCCGCGCCGTGCCCGGGGTGAAGGCAAAGGCGCCCAGCCCCGCGCCGTCCTCGCAGCTGGCGTCCCAAGCGACGGAGCGGCGCCGGGGCAGAAGGATGGCCACGGGCTGAGTGCGGCCCGGCCCCGCGGCGTGGAGCCCGGCCGAGGGCCTGGTGGCCATCGAAGTCGACGCCTCCACCGGCACAGCGGAGGCGTCGGGGCCCGGCCTCGGCCCGGCGGCGGGCGGAGGCGCCGAGCCCTGGAAGGGGGAGCAGAGCGGGGCGGCCTTCGCGGAGGCGTAGAATTGCAGGTCGCTGCCGTTTTCCGTCGAGCGGCCGCCGCCCGGGCCCGCCGGGTCCGGGGATGCCTCGCATGCCTTCGCGGCATGCTCCGCCGTTCCCGCTGCGTCCATCACACCCGCGCCATCCGGCACCGGGCGCCCAGACAGGGTGGAGTGCAGGCGGCCCGACGCCGCGGCTGCCGCCCAGGTCCCGGCCAGGGCCTGGGTGGGGCTCTGCCGCGCCAGGCCGCGGCCGCCGGGCGGCACCGCCGCGCCCGGGTCCTCGCCGCCGCCGCTGCACATCTGCGTGGCGTCCTCCAGCGACGCCGCTGACATGTCGGGCCCCTCGTCTTCCAGCGTGCGCAGGCCGTCCTCCCAGTGCGGCAGGCGCTGCAGGCCACTCACCTGCGCCGCGGCCTGGAGCAGTGGGGGCGAGTCCTGGCTCAGCGGGCCCGGCCGGCGCCGCGCGGCGCCTGCACGGCCCGTGGGCGTCGCCTCGGCGGGGATATCCCCAGCGACCCCGGACCGCGGCGACGTGCCGGCGACGGGGGAAGCGCCCTGCGGCGAGGGCGAGGGGAACACGATGGCCGCCACGTCCTCAGCGCGCATGCTGGCATGCACCTCCGGCGGCGCGGCCCAGGTGCCGTCTGCCAGCTGGAAGCTGGAGAGCAGGGATGCCCAGAAGTCACCCTTGACCCAGGCGTGCTCCATCATCTGCGCGCTCAGGTGGTGAATTGGAGGTCTTGGTGTGTGTGTGTAAGAATGAGGTCGGGGATGGGTTAGATGGAGTGGGATTGAGGGGGGTCCCTCATTCTTCGTGCCTTTAGGCTGTGATGGACATACAAGCAGCTTGAGAGCGGCCGCAGGTAGTAGGCATGCTCGCGCAGGCCACCAGGGACCTCATCGCTCCGCCTGAAGGGATCCCATGGCCTGTATTTTGCTCAGGGGCAGTGGGGAGCACCCTGGAGTCCGACCCAGATCCCGCCTCAATTCCCCCGTTTCTACCCCGCACCTCCTCCGCCGTCAGCCGGGCCGCGGGGTCGGGGTTCAGGATCCTCCTGAACAGGTCCTGCAGCTCCATGGACACCGGCACGTGCTCCGGGTAGGGCACGCTGCCCCCCGCGATCTGGTCGTACAGGTCCAGCACGGTCTCACTCTGCAGGGTGTGGGGAGTGTTGCGATGGGCTGTGGGAAGGGCACCCGGCCTGATCATGCTGGCTGGGGCATGCAGACCGTGGGTTTGGCGTGTCACAACCCCGGCAGGGGCAAGTCGCCACCGTGCCCCGTACTCGAGCGGGGCCACAGCGTTCCATACGTTACCATGCTGCCGCTGAGACCCCAGTCCAGGCACCCCCGTACGTCGACCATCCACCCACCCAGCCCCATAACCCTCCGCACTGACGTGGAAGGGTACCTCCCCGTAGATGAAGAGGTACAGGCTGATCCCCAGCGCCCACATGTCGGCCTGCCGGCCTCGGTATGTCTCCCCGGCACACACCTCTGGGGCTGCGGGGCGAAGCAACGAGAGAAGGGGGAAGACGTGGGTGAAGGGCGCAGGAGCGGCCAGCGGATGCAAGCTTCCATGTCTCGAATGTCTTCACCTCGCCAAAACCCATCGCCACATACCAGCCAAGCCTGAACATCACGAGGGCCTCGGAACCAATCTTGCGCCTCCCCTGCCGCTCAGCCTGCACACCTGTCCCCCCCCTCCCCCGCCCTCCTACCTACCAAGAAAGGCCGGCGTGCCCAGGGTGCGATTAAAGGTGTCCCGTTTCCTGAAAAAGTGGGCCTGCCCAAAGTCGGCGATCTTGACGGTGGAGTCGCCCGAAAGCAGCACGTTGTCGGGCTTCATGTCACCATGCACCACATGGTTGGCGTGCAGGAAGGCCATGCCCGCGGCCATCTGGCGGAAGTAGTACTGCGCGATGACCTCCGGCATGCGCCGCTCGGGCGACAGCTGGCCCTTCGCCAGCAGCTGCCCCGCCGCCGCGTACTCCATGACCATGAGCACCTTGCCGCTGGCCCCGTCCTCGATCACCTCGTGCAGACGCACCAGATTGGGGTGGCGCAGGCGCCGCATCACGTCGATCTCTCGCCGGAGCGGGCCCAGGGTGTCGCCGCCGAAGTCGTCGGCGTCGGCGTCGGCGTCGGCCTCGGGACTGGACCTGGAAAGGTCGGCGCCGGCGGGCGGCGGCGAGGCGGCCACGGCGGACACGCCGCTGCCGCGCCGGGCGAGGAGGCCCACCCCCCGGCCCGAGCCGGCGGCCCCCGTGCCCAGCCGGCTGGCCTTGCTGGCGGCCTTGACCAGGGCCCGGTTCACCACCTTGATGGCATACAGCTCGTCGTCCTGCGTGCTCAGGCACAGCTTCACTCGGCCGTAGGAGCCGCGGCCCAGGGTGTCCACCACGATATACTGGTTCAGAAAAGTAGCGCCCTGTGGGGAGTGCGCGAGAATGAGAGGTGGGGCTTGTCGTGGGATGAGGCGAAGAGCGAATGGCACGGCGGGGGCTGAGGACGGCAGGGGCCGCAGCGAAGCGCGAGGGAGGACACGGCCCAGTGGTCGCCAGCGAAGCACAGGCAGGGATCAACAAGGCCAAACCCCTCGCACTGATGCCGTACCTCCAGCACGCCCACGCGAAGCCTGAAGGTGTGCTTGATGCCCCGGGACTTGGCCAGCAGGGCCTCGGAGTCCCCCGTCAGGAGGACGGGGGAGTCTTCCTGGCGTGGGGGTGGGGGAGGGCTCTGTCCCTCGACGCCCTCCTGGCCCATGGGGGCCAGGGAGTCGTCGCTGGACGACGCCTCGAGCTTGCGCTGGCTGGGCATGGTGGCATCGCCCGCCTCGGCCAGCGACTTGAAGATGGATACCCTGGTGCATGCCGGGAGGGAGGAGGAGGGGCAGGTGAGAGGGGTTGGATGGCTGGATGCTTCATGATCAGGCGCCGCGAGCGTCGACAGTCGGGTGCGCGTGCCGCGAGGGCAGGAGAACCCCACCTGGCGAAGGTGGGCAGGTTTCGCGGCCCGGCATTCTCATTCTTTGAGCAAGCACAACCCATGCTGGGGGAGGGGGGGCATCTGGTGCCCAAGGTGGTGCCGGAGTTTGCACACGAACCGGTCGGTGTGGCTCAAACCCCAGGGAGCCTGGCGAGCACAGTGGTTGTGGCCTCAGCCCAATGGGGCGAGCAGAATGACAAACATACTCTCAGAACGCAGCGTCAAAGTGCGGGGGAGGCGACTGCGACTCCCGCTGCACCTTGAGCTCCCTCAGTTCCGCTGTCGAGGTCGCGCCCTCGTCAGGGCTCAGCAACTCACGGAGTGCTGAGGGGCCGTGTGCACCCTGAAGCTGCCAGGCACCGCAAGCACCCGCTTACACATGCCAGCTGCGCATGGGGAGCAGGTAGAACTCTGTGCAAATACTCCGCATCTCCTCGCACACCACCAGCAGCTGGGTGAACGTGTGCCACGCATCAGCTGGCGCTGGCGACGATGCCGGCCTTGGCGGCGGCAAATGCCCCCACCACCGCCCCCAGCTGCAACTTCTCGCTGGTCCCGAAGGCCAGCCTGTGCTCCACCGACGCCAGGCTCCGCACCAGCTCGATCCTCACCTCGGGCGGCATCCCAATCCTGAAAACGAACCTGTTCGGGGGTGAGAATGGGTGGGTTGAAGATGGGGGCGATGTGAGGAATCAAGCTGCCTGCACCTGACAACAGCATGCCTCGTCGGCCGGCTGTGCAAGAGAACGACCTGCTCCCCCTCAACGTGTGCTCACGGGTGGAGGGCCTGCAAGATGTCTACCAGTGCCACTCCCTTGGACCGCTGCAGATCCGTCAGCTCTGTGCGGTGGGGGCCCGGACCGGGCACTGTTTCAGGGCATGCCACCAATCCTGCCTGGCCCTTAATGGGCAATCTACCCACTCATCTCCGCAGCACAGTTCCAGGTGTGGTGCACCCATCGCGCCCCTTGCAACCTGACGCGCATCAACCCCTTTGCATGCCATGAGGTCCATCCCATGTGGCCATCCTGAGGGCCTTCCACCCCCCCCCCCCCCCTCCCCCACACACACAACAAGCCCGCCGTACTCACTCTCCATCGCTGCGGTCAGGGGTTCGTTGAGGAGCCAGTGCATCGCGCTCTCTATGTCTGCCGGGAGGGGCCGCCCAGCGCATGTATAGGCGCTGACCTCGCTGACCTCGCCTGCCGACATCACCACCGACTGCAGGCGTGGGTTGTGACAGGGTCGGGTCAGGTGCCGTTGATGCAGAGAAATGAACGCTGCATGATTCCTGCTTGACGCCGACCCCAAGGGTTGGAGGGATCCCCGGAGCGTGCGAGACGGGTGGGACCGCATGCACTGGAGCGTGTCCCCGCGCTGGGCCTAACCCTCATTCCCCACGCTTTCAACCTGCAAAAGATTGAGCACGCGTCGCATGTCGCCCTCTCCGAGCTGGACCAGGGCTTCCAGCCCCTCAGGCGTCGTGGGCACCCTGCAGCAGTGGCATGAAGGGTGCTTGCTCGTCAATGGGGCAGCTTAAGTGTCGGCACGGCGACGCTTCGTGGTAGCACCAACAGATCCCCCTTCCGACCTCCAGCATCCCCCTCCCAGGACTCACTTTTCGAGGGCGCAGATGGAGGTGAGGCGCTCCGTCACGAAGCTGGGCGGGAGGGGCTGGAAGCGGAAGCGTGTGCAGCGTGACTGCAGCGCTGGGATGATCTTGCTCACAAAGTTACAGATGAGGCAGAAGCGGGCATTTCTCACATACTTCTCCATCACTGCGGGAGGGAGGAGTGGGCGTGCAGATAAGAATTGGTCCTTCACCAGTATTGGGCTGTTCTAATGGATGGGCGCGCGCCGTGTGGTCCAAGAGCATTCGCGCCAAGTGGCAGGCACCCACCCTGCATCCAGAGGCATTCCCTCGTGGTCAGGCCTGGGGCTGCACCGCACCTCTCCTCAGAGCCATTTGGGCGTCCCGTGTCATTGCGTCACACTCATCCAGGATGATCAGCTTGAATTTATTGCTGTGGATGTGAGACACAGAGTGTGTGTGTGTGTGTGTGAGGGGAATTGACTAGAGCAGCACGGCGGCGGCTCGCATCAAGGGGTTGGGCCGCATCACCAGGAGGAACAGGGGGACGGTGTGGGCGAGAGCCAAGCTTGTCCAAATCCCACCCGCCCTACCCTGCCATGGCTCCATTCCCATCACTTCCCATGGATTCCCTCCCTCACAGCCCTCCCAGCTCACTTGAAGATACTCCGTGTCCCTGCAAAGTCCTGGATCTCGTTCCGCACGATGCCGATGCCACGGTCATCTGAGGCGTTCAGCTCCAGCACCATGTTAGCAGCCCCTGGGCCGTACATCTGCCGAGCCAGTGCCAGTATGGTGGAGGTCTTCCCCGTGCCTGGCGGCCCGTACAGCAGCAGGTGCGGCAGCTGGTTCTCATTCAGAAGCTTCTTGACTACATTATCGGGAGGAGGGTGGTGGCTCAGACATGGGCTTGATGCTTTGAAGGGCCACTCCAGCAAAGTGATCTCGTCGCCGACGCATAAACAACCAGGTCCCGCTGTTCGCCCCGGCGACCTACTCGTGTCAATTATATCCTTGTGGAAGGCCACTTCGTCCAGAGTCTGTGGCCTGTACTTCTCGCTCCATGGCGTCTCACTCGTGACCACCATGAGGAGGCCTCACCGGGTGGGTGATCGGGCGGCTTGATGAGGGGATCACAAGTCGACGCGGTTGCTAGTGATCTGATGTACAGCGTAGAATTACCGTGCTGATCTATCGAGCGGGCGATGTTGGAATGGGGGGGGATTCGCTTCGTATCCTTTCAAATGCTGGACTCGGAAGCCACATGAGCTGGCAAGCTTGCACATGCATGAGCACCAGGGCATGGGCCAGGAGACAACCTTTCAATCCCTCTCCAGAACAGAAGTCATCGCTTGGGCTCCAGCAGCGCCAGAGTGTCCCTGGCAAGGCCCTCCAGCTCCCCTGCGTAGGCCGAGGCGGCCAGCTCCCTGCGCAGCACCTCCACCGCCCCGCCCGCGGTCAGGCTCAGCGCCAGCTGGCGCTCCCCCGCTGCAGCGGCCAGGGCCATGAGCCCGCAGCGCTGCACCCCCCGCCGGACGCTGCCCTGCAGCCCCTCAACGCTGTCCTTCCCCCGCGCGGCCTCCGCCTGCGACAGCGAGGTGGCCGTGCCGCCACCGCCGCCGGACGGGGCCAGGCCCAACTTCCGGGCGGCCGCCGTCGCCGCGCCGGCGGCGGGGCCGCCGTCACCCGCCGCGCCACGCGACACGACGCAGGCGAGGAGCACGGGGACCAGCCGCGGCTCGGCCGCCAGGCGCCCGGCCAGCGGCCCCCCAAACTGCGCGACCTTGCGCACGGCGGCGGCCGCATAGCAGCGCGCCTGGGGGTCGCTGCAGGCCAGGGACGCCACCACGGCTGCAAACCCGCCCAGGTCGGCGACGGAGGTGGCCTGGGAGGGGCCTGCGCGGTGTGAGATCCAGGGGTCATTGGCCGGCGGGGCCATGCGCGGGAAGTCTGCAGGCTGACCGCGGAGGCCGCACCTCCTCATTCAGTCAGCCTAGCCTGGTGTGGCTGTGTGCGGGTGCAGTGACCCAGGCCATGCCCCGCGCTGGTCCTGGCATCTCAAAGCTTTCCCTGCATCACAAGAATACCTCCCCTTCTCCCCGTCCCTGCCCACTGCCCCCTCCCTCTTCCGCTCCACCCCCTCCCGCAACACACCTGAGCAGACAATGCGCGCGACCGCCCCAGCCCCAGCCCTTTGGAGCAGAGGATCCTGGGACAGCACCCACCGCATCAGGCCCCTCAGGGTCTCCTCGGACACCAGCACATCCTGAACCCCCAGCTCTGAGCCTGGAGAGAGGGGCAGGAAGGGCACTTTGATCTTGAGCTGTTTGACCAAGAGTGGCTCTGGCCAGGGCTGCACTCTTCTTGCTAATCAGACACGCCATGCATGCCAAAAAACATGCATGCATGCATGATCCCATGCCATATGTGAAGGCTCCTACTTCTTCTGGATGCATCCCGGGTTTCACTCCCACAATATCGGTGTGAGCCACAAGGCAGGAGCACAACCGCCGCACCGGTGAGCCCATACAGGGCTGCAGCCAGAGCCCGCTCCTCCTCCACAGAGTTCAGCGAATTCAGGTTGCCTGGCACAGCTGCCAGGGAGGGGTAGGTGCCACCCTCCTCTGCGCTCTCCTTGGCCTGAGAATGGAGAGGACGGGGAGGCGGCTGCGGATCACAGGCCGGGGCCCTGACTTGCCAGGCTCATAGCATGAATGAGCGCAGCATGGCAGCCCCACATGCCCTCCTCTCACCACACCACACACGACACCGCGCAGTGGACGTGCCCCGCGCATGTGCTCACAGCGGTACTCCCACCATGCCTGCACGCAACGCGCCACCCACCAGCTCAGCGCTGCGTGCGAGCAGGGCATCCAGTGCTCCCGCTTTCTTCACCGAAGCATGGCCCTCAGGCTGGCTGAGCAGGTGCTGCAGGACGCGGGCCGCATGCGCCCTGCCCACCGCGCCGTCGCCTGGGCCGCTACCCCAGTCGTTCCGTGCCTGCATGCGGTGTGCGAGGTCACCGCCGGGTAGGCCACATGGGCTGCAATGGGGTCCCTGCCGGGAATGCACAGCAGGCAGGGTCCATGCCAAAACCTTTCCCAACCTGCACGGCGTGAGCCCCACCTGCAGGACGGCCGCAATCTCATCCAGCAGTAGTGCTGTGTCGGGCGAGGGTTGTCGGGCAGGCAGGTAGGCCAGGAGGTCTGCCACACAGCCCAGCGCAATCACACGGACCTGCGGAGATATAGAATTGCGAGCTGGGGCGTTTGACCTCAGTCGCCTCTCTCGTGGCTCTGCGCTCACGACAGGCAGATCTGGCTATCGGGCACATCCAGGGAGTGGGTGGGCTGTGCACCACCCCCCTCGCCAATCAGGACTTCTATGAGGCCACCCACCTGGCTGTCGATCTCCCGGCTTGTAACCACGTGCACCAGTGCCGGAAGCGCACCGGTAGCTAGGAGTGCGGCATGGCCATCGGGATCGCGAGTGAGGCGGGACAGGAGACTAACAGCTGCCTCGCGATCGGCTGTGGTCCCAGACACCAGATCGCGGGTGGCAGCTGCACGCTCCTCAGACGCCGGGTCGGGGGAGAGGGCGGCTGCAGTCACGGGAGTCGCCAACAGCCCAGCGACTGCCAAGCCCACCCAGGGGATGGAGGATGATGCTTGCGCATGGGGTCCTACAAACTCCAAATTTGGGCCAGCTGGCGGCTGCAGAACCGGGCTCGGGAGGACTAGCCTAGACCTCCGAGCCAGACTGGCCAAGCTGCGAATGTGTCGCGTCATCGTGGGACCGGGTTTCGCTCAATGGACCATGCCAAACATTAGAAGAGGATTGATGCCACGTTGTAGATGCACACTAGCCCTTTTGTTTCCAGCTTGATGGTGAAGTCGCGTTTCGGACACGATCCGCGGTCTCGGCGCGCGCGATCTCCCCGAGTGTGTTACGGAGGAGGAGTTGTTGGCATGTGTCCCCATCGTGAAAGGGATGCGACAATACAAGCGAGATATGTTAATATCTGAATATACCAAGCGCCGGATGCCCCTGGAATTTCGTCCGCCCCCTGAACTTGACCGGAATGCCTGATCAAGTCGGCGGGATGGAGGACCAGCAAGCTGAATATCGCTGCATTGACGTGCAGGGCTCACCCACGGTGACCCTGACCCACAGGCACACCTTTGCTCTCAAGAACAACATGCTCAGTGGTAGGTCCCCGCCAGGCGATGCAGGGATCTGGCCAAGGTTGGGCAGCGCCCTATCACAGGGGCCCTCACCCACCCACACACTCACTCACACTCACTCACACTCACTCACACACACGCGCGCACGCGCGCCTGCAGGCGTCACGCTCCCCGCCTGGCTCTCCTTCCTCTGGCGCCACGGCGGCCGGCTCGACTGGTGGCCCTACGCCCCCCGCATCGGCTTCCTCACACTCTTGTCGGCGGTGAACAGCCTCCTGGCCGTGCCGGACTGGGTGCTGATGCGGCGCAGGGTGGCTGCCACCCACCTCCACCCGGACCCCGTCTTTATCCTGGGGCACCCCCGCACGGGCACCACCCACCTGCACAACCTCCTGTCCCGCGACGCCCGCTTCGCCTGTGTGGACACCCTAGCGGCCGGATTCCCGTCTGCCTTTTTGACCCTGGGGCCGGCGCTGGCTCGCCTGGCCGCCCCGCTGCTGGACCCCACCCGGCCCATGGACGCGATGGCCCTCAGCTTCCAGACTCCCGCCGAGGACGAGATTGCAGTCTGCGCCCTGACAGGCACGTGTGGATGAGGGTGGGTGGGTGGGGTTCGAAGAGGCTGAGCACCGCAGGCCTGCTGCGGGATGGTAGCAGGAGCCAGGCCTACATTTGGGCCCTACAGAGGCTGCATTTGGATGGGCTGCAGACTCTTGAACCCAACCCCGGTGTTTGCCTGCTGCCTAGGGATCCACGGGCCCCCCAACTCCGTTCGACCAGGCGGCACGTCCCCATACATGCCCCTGGTGATGATGCGGGACCAGGCCCTCTTCCAGCCCTATTACCAGCTGGAGTCCGCGAGCGCCGCCGACACCGCCCGCTGGCTGGACGCCTTCACCTGGTTCCTGAAAAAGGTCACGCTGCGGGCCGGCGGGCACAAGCCCCTGCTGCTCAAGTCGCCTGTGCACACCGCGCGCGTACCCCTCCTCCTCAAGCTCTTCCCCCGTGCCAAGTTCATCTACATCCACCGCGACCCCTACACGGTGCGAGGGCCGCGAGTGTGGGGCTGGCTGGCAGCGCCGGTGCATGGAGAAAGCGCAGTCCCTCGTCAAGGGCCAGCCGTCGCGCGCACTGGCACGCAGCGGCGTTTGGACCCACCCATTTCCCACGGTCCACCAGTGAGCGGAACATGTGCACACACACCTCACCCCAACCAAACGCCCCAGGTCTTCTCCTCTGCGGCGCACATGGCGGACTCCTACTACCCATACACCGCCCTGCAGCGGATGACGCCGCCAGACGTCACCAGGTTCATCCTGGATCAGTTCAGCCTGCTGCATGATGCGTACCAGGCAGCCAAGCCACTCATCCCCCCCGGTACGACTCGTGATGGACATGGCAACTCGGCTGGGGCACAACCATGAGGAGGGAGGGGGTGGTAAGCGGCCCGGCGCACACTACATTACCAACCAGCCCCATCCCTTCCTCGACCTCACAGGAAACCTGGTCGAGGTGAGCTTTGCCGAGCTGGAGGCTGATGCTGTGGGCACGCTGCGATCCATCTATGACAGGCTGGGCCTCGCTGGCTTTGACAGGGTGGAGCCCGACGTCCAGCACTACTGCTCCACACTTGCCGACTTTAAGAAGAATGACCTAGAGCGGTGGGAGTCATGGGTGGTGGGAGTGCCTGTGGCTGTCTGCATGGCCGGGCAGCTCGGACAAACAAGGTTTCCGTGAAGCCACATGCAGACACAGCGCAGTGATTGATTTGAGAAGTTGACTGCGTGTGAGTGCTGCGGTGATGCTGCAGCATCTACAAAACGAACCTCCATGCAGCGAGACTCTCCCACGAATCTCCTTTCCCCACAGGCTGGATCCTGCATTGAAACAACTTGTTGCGACACGGTGGCAACCCTTCTTTACTACGTTCAATTACAGCACCTGACGCCTGCCGACTCATGCCTAAATGTGTGGGAATTGGATGATATTCCCCGTTTTGAATTGCCAAACCCTATATCCTTCCTTGTGCTCGGCCAACATCTCAGATTTTTGTACAGTCTATTTGGTTGGAAATGAGCATGGTTAGCGCTCTTGCTTGGATCATCAGTGCCCGCCAGGGTTGCCTGATGGCTGGCAACGTACACCTCTCTCTTTCCTCTCATAAACAAAAAGGTGGCTTGGAAGACAAATCTCAATCATCATGTGCATGGGTGTGGTATGGATGGCCGTGCGAGGATCTGTCCACTCAGGGTGATCAGTGATGATGGTTGTGTGACAAGGGCCGCGTCCCGTGGAGTGGCTCTGATGCCATCGGGCTCGCGGTGATGCATTCTACATTGATGAAGGCTAGCGTACAGAGAGGAGGGAAAGGCCCACCACCAGTGGGGCGTCGTGGTCATGAGGCGTTTTGTAGTGCGAGGTCCACCAGACCGGCCAGAAAGTGGACTCTGACTCGGAAGACACCCGCGCGGATGGTTTCTGCGGCGTTGGATGGATTTTGGAGAGGCGGTTCAGCATTTCGAGGAATGGAAGGCTTCCCGGACGACTTGCAACCGCAACAATGCCCGATGCGTTCCCAGACACTCACTACCGAAACAGGCGCCGTGCAGGCACTGCTCTTCTCCGTCTCCGGCATGGGCCACCAAGAGTCTGTCCAGAAGCCACTCATCGGTATTCAGTGGGTTGAGGGGCACCCGAAACAACGGATCCGCAAGAGGGGATTGTACAGTTCACAGTAACAACGAGAGGACAGGCGAGCGTTTAAGAGAACAGATGGCCCTTCTTTGACACCTCATGATAACCAGAGGCTTGGCTTTATTGTGTTAGCCTCCCTCCGGAACCGGGCTCGCCTAGATGAGACATTCTGGCAGCATCGACAGGGGGAGCACCCCTACGGAAACATACTCGCGCGCGCGCGCCCGGTTCTGCGTACCCCTTTCAGAAGTTTTCTGACATCCTGCATGGTTCGTTGTGTCTCGGATCGTGAGGGACATCGATAACATCATCGCATTAGCATCTATCACTAGTCAGGTCCCAGTCGAGGAAGCTGCTGGGGCTGCTGCCATTCATCCAGAGTGAACTGGCAGGGTGAACGAATGACCCTAGCCTTGCTTGCACCTGCATTAAATGCTTCAGGTCATGAACTGGAGACTATCTTCCGCAAGCTTCCTGTGGAAGCTGGACCGGCAGTCCACAGATGTGAGAATATACATCGCTGGCTGCCTGGCCACGCAAATTTGAATGAGCCCAGGTTGTTCATCCCGACTGTGCCTTGCACACCCTCGAGAGAAAAATGGTTTGGGATGAGTCATTTGACTGGCTGAAAACTCTACTCTGATGGTCCAATAGAGGATGGACCCCTTTCAAAGCTGGGAAATGCCCGCTCAGTAAGCGTGCCGATGCCTCCCACCGGCATTGCCTAGATAGAACCAATCCATTGTGCCAGCGACTGGTGAACGCAAGCCCATGCAAGATCAGATGGTAAACTTCTGTACTGAAAGCAATTATACATTTCGATTTTGAACACTGTTGGATGGGAGGAGGGACTGAAGGAAGAAGTTTGTAATGCAATTGGGCTGGAATCTGATGGGAAGTCGTGCTTTAGTTGTGCTCGCATGGGCGACGTGGTCCTTGTATGTCCCTGCCAAACCTGTCTTCGTCCCGTATCAATCCGGATCAGAACACTGTCAAGTAAATCGTGCGTGATTTGGAGTGTTGAAGGCCTGATCATCTCCGAGCGCCTCATCATAATGGGGTATGTTGGCTCCGTCGAGAATGACCTCAACCTCGGGTCGGTGCCAGACGTGCTGGGCGGAGGCACCCAGGACTTCACCTGGTGGAGATTCCTTGCCTGGGTTCTGCTCCCCCTGCCCGTCGTCCTGGTGGTTCTCCTGTCCGCGCCAGCCCCCCGCCTGGTGAGGAGGGGTGTCCTCCGGTTCGTGGAGACCCTCCTTGTAGCGAGGGTGCGAGGTCCCATTGAGATCATCCACTTTGCCCTGCTCATCGCGGGTGAGTGTGGTGCTCTCTCAGTGGGTGAATCTCGGCTGTCTGTGTGCACGGAGCTGGCCTGGTATCGCCAGGATGCCTGACCCAGGGTGGAGGTGGTGCCTGCTGACATGGGTGCAGGCTTTGAGGCTATCCTCTTCCCCAGCCAGAGCTCCTCTGAAGTCATAGAGCCCCCCTGCTTTGGATTCTTTGCCTGCCAAGCGTCCAATGTCCACCGCATGCCATCGTCTACCGCCAGGTCTGTCGGTGACGTTCTGCATCGGGCCCATGCTGTCCTCTGAGGCGGAGGTGGCCAAGCTAGAGAATCGGCGGGACCCCAACATCCTGGTCATGCTCTTGGCGCGCCAGTACCGCAACGAGCGCAACTTCTGGCTGGCGCTCTTCACGCTGTCCTCCTGGGCGGTGCTGTGGGTCGTGTACCAGGTGCGCTTGGGACTCCTTTGGGGGGCCAGCAGGTTCCCACGTTATCAATATGTCTTTCCTCGGTTTCCCAATAGTTGTGGTGACGGCATGGCTGGGCGACTTGGTGGCATGCAGCCCTGAATGCCCTCCTGGGCCTCGCCGAGACCCACTTCTACATGTCAATTAACCCTCGCCTCTTTCTCCACTGATGAATATTCGCAGGTCAACCGCGACAAGCATGTGCTGAGGGGGAAGCTGCTGGCTTTGCAGGGCAAGGGCGCTGCTGCCGCAGACGAGGTGGCGTTCCTCGGCAACGACAGCGCAAGGAGGCTCGAACGGGCGGGGGACAACGTCGCTGCCACGCGGCCGGCAGGGACCTCCCATCCCACTGTCGACGGGATTGTGAAGAAGGACCTCTGATGGGCAGCAGGTGCTCCTCGCCCTGCAAACGCCCCCTGGTGTACTATGCAGCCGTTGGGTGGCTGTCCCGGGGGCAACCCCATGCCTGGCATGCAGCCTCAATGGGTCTCAGAGCTCCCTCTGTTAACCTGTTGCCTCTTGACCGCATTGCCCAGCGCCCCACCTCCTTCCCTCAACTCCCTCCTGGGTCAGCCCATGGCAACAGGCAGCCCATCTCCATGTGCTGCCTACATGTGGTCTGGTCATGGCAAATAGTAATGGGGAAGGGTGTATGTCAGTTGTGTGGGTCCCCGTCGGGAGTGCATTACGCCAGGCACATTGCTCGAGAAAGAAGAGTTGTGCATGAACAGGGAGGGGCACAGGGAGCACGTTGCAGGGTCAGGTCAGGGACGTGGATGGGTCCCACCCATCGCTCCTCAAAACATGTCGGGGAAGAGGTTTGCAAACTGGCTCACGGGCGGGGCCCGGGGCGCCGCCTGGGTCACGGGGTACGTGCCCGCAGGCCCGATGCCAAAGGCGTCGGGCCCGGGGTCGGGAGCCACCAAGCGCCCCGCCTGCAGCTGGGCCTCCGCCTGCCCGGCCAGCCCAGGCCCAGGGTAGGCGTATGCGGCGGCGGCGGCGGCGGCGCCCATCCCCTCCATCATCGGCGCCCCGAGGGGCGCGTGGGGCGCCTGGCGCGGGATCCCCGGGGGGCGATCCTGAGGACCCCGGGGCGGCGACGGGGCGGGCGCCGTCCCCGGCCAGCTCGGAGGAGACCAGCTCGGCGAGGCGGGCGCCACGACGCTTGCGCAGCTGGCGCCCGCTGAGCGCGGGGGACGCGCCCAGGGACGGGCCTTCCTGCCCCGGCGACGCCTGGCCCTGGCTCTGGCCAGGGCCCCGCCTCGAGCCGTCCGATGCCGTGGCCGAGGCGCCGGCCCCCCGGCTCGCCTCGCTCCGGGCCGAGATCAGCGCCGCCAGCTCCTCCCGCGTCAGCACCGTCACGCGCGGGCCCCACTCCCCCGGCTCCTCGTGCTCGACGTGGGGTGGGGTGGTGCCGCTCGCCGCCTCCCCGCCGCTCGCCGCTCCCCCGCCGCCCGCCGTCCGCACATTGCCCTCGCCTCCCACCGCGGCGGCCGCCCCCTGGCGCGCCAGCAGCGCCAATTGGTGGCGGACCGCGATGGCCACCTCGATGGGCCAGGGGCCATGCAGGCCCAGATCGCGGCACAGGCCCTGCGCGAAGATCTCGGGGCCCTGGGGATCGATGCGCGAGACGTCCCACTGGAACCGGTCCTGCAGCCGGACGTTGCCCACGATGCAGTCTAGCCTGGGGCGCAGTGGGAGGAAGGGGTGGAGGCGATGGATGTCGAAATGAAGAGACAGAGCACGATCGAGCCTGAACAGGGAGGAGGAGGACAGAGGGCGAGGGGCAACACGCTGCCCCTCCCACCATCACACGCAATCCCCCCCTCACCTGATGGTTTGCAGGTCGGGGGCCGGGGCCGGCTCATGCTCCGTGCTGGCGGGGGGGAGGGCTACCAGCCACGCCCTCACCTGCCGGGAAAGCTCTGCGGCCAGCGTGGGTGCGTGGCAGGCGAACAAGCCGTGGTCCTGGCAAAAAGTGCGGGCAAACTCCGCCACCACGGCCTGCTCCTCCCCGCTGTTCCACAGGAACTTGTCCGCGATGCGACGACCCTTGTACTCCAAGCGCAGGGTGACAGGGACCACATCCCGGATGGAGGGCTTGGGCGGTGGGTTGGGCAGCTGGCACGGAGCGGGACTGGTCACGGTGGTCATCTCCCCGCGACGTCACAGCGCTTCATCAAACAATCATGCTTAAGTAACGAGGTTTCGGGGTGATGTTGGAGGGACCTGCTGCACATCCGACGTCTACAGGACATTTCATCACGGAGATGAAGGCGCCTGATGATGTACGCCTCTCGGAGATTCTCCTCGTCGTTCGAAAGGACCTCACTTACGACACGGAGTGACTGGCACAGTGCCAAACCGTGAAAACATCCAGGATTGCAGCAATCCGGGCAATTGCTGGGTCACGCCACCCATCTTGTTCGATGCAGGGTTGTGCGAGGAGGATGCGTACCAGGGCGAGGTGCCGTGGCCGCACTCGGTCGTGGTCTGTAAACTTCCCATGGAGGGCATTGGTGATCACAACAGCGCTTCTGGCATTTGCTGCTCCCTCCCGAGGTTCCGAGATACTCATCAAGGTACATGGACAGCGGTGCGGATTATGGCTGGTGGGGTTTCGGCTCCCTTGCAAGGGTTTTCTTTGTGAACGAGCAGGCCTGTACCATCCTGTGCCCCATCCCACACGCATTGGCCGACCATCCAGCTCACCAATTCCCTCTTCTCATCATTCACCGCCAATGCCCCAATCAGGGAGGCACGGTTGTCAATGCAGAGTACAGCGTCGTCGCTGATGTCCTCATCAGGGACGAGATCATAGTGGCCGTCAAGCCCAACATACAGGTGCGCTGTTGGGGGCTGCACAGCCTGCACAGTGACGTGGGGAAAGTCATTACGTCTCTTCCACAGAGTTCGCGGACTGTGGTGCATTGGCATGGGCCAGCCCTGCTCCTCAGGAGGAGGGGCTTGAAATGCACAGTACCCAGCCCAACGCCTGGGCAGTGTCTGGGCTCTCCATCACACTGCTCACTAACCCAGCCCCAACCCCCTGTCCCTGGGACACAGCTGACGGGAGGAATGCAGGTGCTGGATGCCACTGGGAAGCTGGTCATGCCGGGGGGCATCGATCCTCACACACATCTGGACATGCCATTCATGGGCCAAGTCTCCTGCGACGACTTTGCTAGGTCAACGCCTCAAAGGGGGAAGAGGGTGCTGTTGGGTGCAGAGAGCACGGTCTCCGTTCCTTGCCCAGCACCCCTCCACATGAGCGAGGGGGTGTTGTCTGTTGCAGTGCGGCATGCCCACACCCCAGCACCCCACCACCCCCCACCCTCCTCGCCGCCGCAGTGGCCAGCGAGCTGCGTTGGCGGGGGGCACCACCATGCACATCGACTTTGTGCTGCCTGTGGAGCACGACCTGCTGGCGGGCCTGGAGGCCTGGCGTAAGAAAGCACGGCACGGGGTCATGGACTATGGCTTCCACATGGCCGTCACCTCCTGGTCCAACAAGTGAGTGTGCCCTTGGACGGGGGGATGGAGAGATTTTTAATACATGTCAGGGATGTGTGAGGTGGTCCGACTCTGTCCAGGAGGTGTTGCAGACAGGAAGCAGATTGATCGTGGAGCTTGTCACGTACCAGCTAGTGTGTGAGCCTCCTGCCTGGACGCCCCACTCCCGACACCCCACAGCACCTGTCGTCCCCCCTCACCCGCTCTCATCCCCACCACCTCCACGCAGGGTGTCCCGCGACATGGCGACCGTGGCCGCCCAGGGCATAAACTCCTTCAAGTTCTTCATGGCCTACAAGGGCTCCTTCATGGTGGAGGACGACGCGCTCCTGCGCGGCATGGAGCGCTGCGCCGCGCTGGGCGCGCTGGCCCAGGTGCACGCCGAGAACGGTGCGGCGGTGGCCTGGGGCCAGGAGCGCGTGGCGGCGCGCGGCGTCACTGCGCCGCACGGCCATGCGCTTTCCCGCCCCGCCGCGCTCGAGGACGAGGCCACGGGCAGAGCCATCCGGCTGGCCGGGCTGGCGGGGGCCCGCCTGTACGTCGTGCACGTCATGTCGGGGGGCGCCGCCGACGAGATTGCGGCCGCCAGGTGCGCAAATGAGCGGGGGGGGGGGTGGTGGCGGTGACCGGACGTGGGGGATGAAGGGTCGGAGCAGGCAGCCGCTACGCTCGGTGCACGGTGCAAATGTGCGGGGAACTGGGGAGTCATGAGCTGCGAGGGCGGCCCAGGCATGCTTTGCATGCTGACGCCATAGGACGATACTCAGTTTCCAGGAGCGTCTGCTTCATTCCCGACCCATGCTGCTCCCGGCAGCACCCCCCAACCGCACCCCCCCCTGCCTCTTTCCCACCATACCCAAACCTAGAATCCTCTCTGCCTCCGCGCCAGGCGCCACGGCCAGCGGGTGGTGGGCGAGACGGTTATCTCCGCCTTGGCGCTGACAGAGGACAGCATGTGGGACTCCAACTTCACGGTGGCCGCCGCCCATGTCATGAGCCCCCCCATCCGCTCCACGGCGCACAGGGCGTCGGTGCGCCAGGCGCTGGCAGGCGGCGTGCTCCAGGTGAGAGGTTTACTTAGGGGGTGGAGGTTTTACGGGGGTCAAAGGGAGAGGGGTGGGAAGGGCCTGACATGGGAGGGCCGGGCGAGGTGAGAGAGGGTCAGGGGGGTGGAAGCAACACTAGGTCTGTAGAGTCCCCGCCCAAGGGGTAAGCTAGAGTGCGTCCTGCCAGGTCACACCCTGGGATTCTCGAAACTTTTCCTTGAACTTTCAATGAATGCGTAAGCAGTGCTGAACTCCTCGCCTCCCCCTGCGCCCCCCGCCCCCCGCAAGATTGTGGGCACGGATCACGCGGTGTTCAACTCGACGCAAAAGGCGGCTGGGAAGGAAGACTTCCGCGCCATCCCCAATGGCGTCAACGGCATTGAGGAGAGGTGAGGGGCGGCCCTGTACTTTGTGAAGTTGTCGGTGGGTGGGTGGGGAGGGGGGGAACCCCACGTTAACTGCTCCCTTGCACTCCGGCGCATCTCCCCTTGCGACGACCCAGCTCCCCCACATACCTTCCTGCCTCCCCCTCGTCCCAATCTGCCCGCCCTTTCCGCCTCTCACTTCCCCCTTGTCCCGGGGTCCCCCCCTCATCGCCACCCCCGACCCCACCGCGAACACGAAGCCGTCGCCAGCTCAGCCACTCTCCCTTGAAGGTTGCATGTGGTGTGGGAGACGATGGTGAACAGCGGTGCCTCCACCCCCAGCGACTTTGTGCGGGCCACCTCCACCGCCGCGGCCCGGGCCTTCAACATCTACCCGCGCAAGGGGAGCGTGGCGCCGGGGTCTGACGCCGACGTCATCGTGCTCGACCCCAGCGTGCGCCACGTCATCAGCGCGGCCACCCATCACTCCGCGGTGGATGTCAACGTGTACGAGGGCATGGAAGTCACCGGGAAGGTGCGCAAGAGAAGGGGGGTGGGGGATTGGACCAAATGCTATGTATGGGGCCGGGTGACATGGTCCAGTGCCAATGCAAGAACGGAGCTGGCCACACTGCGGTGCCAGACGCCGTCCAGCCACCGCCCACCAGCAGCCACATGGCAGCCACTGCCACCACGCTTTTGCGGGGAGCAACTGCGAGTGGCATGGTTGTGATCTAGGAGATGCCCCCCTTACCCACCCCTGGGGCCAAGAAGGGGGAAGGCGATCAGGACTGCAGCGCTCAACGCCATGGGCCCCCCATTCTGCCTGCCTCCAGATACTGGCCCGCTTCATCCCCACCCTGGCTCCTGCTCCCCGTCTTTGCAGGTGGTGCTCACACTGAGCCGAGGCCGCCTCGTCTGGGACGGCACCAACCTTAATGTGACTGCCGGCTCTGGCCGCTTCATCCCTATGCCCCTCTTCCAGAGCTCCCGGCCTGACGACTTGGGCGCCGTCGTCCCGGGAACCGCACCCACCTGCCCCTCTGGGCACAGGGTCAAGCATGCTGACACCCAGAGGGTGGCGACTCTGACCTACGCATAGGGGTGAGCGCGACGGCACGCCAGCGGACCAATGCCGCTGGCCGGGATTGGCATGCAATGTCGCAGAAGGATCATTCATGGGAATCTGATTGGCCATGCTCCTCACATGCCAGCAGCCCTGTGTGCGGGCATTGCCCTATGCCACAGCACCCCCACGAAATCCATGCCGAGTTTGGAAAGGGAAGATGCTCCCTCTCTGAAGGACGCTTGCCTCCCACAGCAACCCTGCACAACCTGTCAGAAGCATTCCTACTTGACATTCAAGTCAGTGTGCAAGCACAATTACCCCAGATGGTGGGCGAAGTGGATTTGCACCTCGGCAACCAATCTGGGATACAGAGGTCTGGGACAGCGACATGCCACTCAGTATCAAGGAGGAGTGCTTCTGGCGCCTTCATCCACATGGCCAACCAGCTGTGTGCATCCTGTAAAGGTCACTCTGTGCTCTCAGACCAGATTTGCCCCTCGAAGCTTTTCCCGGGTCCTGCTGAACCCTCTCCAGCTCAAATCCCACCCGGTCCCAGCAGTGAGATCCATTCCCCGCCCAGCCTTTTCCCTTTCAGATAATTGTCCGTTCAGACCACACCAACCGGACGTTCCAAGAAGTAAGGATACGCTCTTGTATGAATGGATGTAAAGAACACTGCCGGAGATGTGCGGTAGGTTGTACCTGATGCCACAGGCGTTAGGGTTGACGAATTACCCCTGTGGTGCTCGTGTCCAAGTAATCCATCGCGGGGAGGGAAGACCCCCATCTTAGCAATGCGCTGAACCCGGAAGTTTTAAGTTGAACCTTTAATATGGGATTGTTCGTGGTAAGCAGCTTAAATCTTACAAACAGTGGAAATGGTGCGATGAAATTCGGGCTTACCTCTCCAAGCGCTCGTCAACGACCGGAAGGCCACAGCCGGTGTGCCACTTGCAAATCCATACACAGGTGTGGCTCTCCTCTCTGGTGAACGTCCTGCGTACAAGGTATTGGGTCCTTGCTTCAACCTGTAACTGGTGTATGCCTTGGTCATCGTCGGGCCCCTTGCATGCGCGCTAAGTCAGCCTAGGGCACTCCGCCGTTGCAGCGAACAAATTGAGCCACAGTAGCATCGAGGGCCCTATAATGTTGGCAAAAACACATCAGGTCACTCATGAAACCTGTAACTTCGCCTTCTCTTGGGCTTGATGTATTTCACTCAGTGGCTCCGGCGAGGTCGATGTCCGGGTGAATCCGGTATCTGTCCGCATCTCCACGGCGAAGCTCCGATGGTGCTACAAGCTAGACTTATTCTTAAAATTCTCACAAATAATGGATCACAAAGATTTGTGGAGGCTTTAAGTTGATTTACGGGCTCCGAAAGAATGTAAAGTGTCCGACCCGCTCACCGCTGGATACCATGTGGGACGTGCGGTCGTGACCGGAGCGACCGCGCCTGTGATACCCCCTTGTCGGGGGAGCAACTCCTCTGGGTTCAGCATGAGGGGCGCCATTCATAACCTAAGACACCCACTTGCAGTCTCACCTTCGTTGTGTCTGAGAATTAGGTGGTTTGACCTATTGTTAAGCGTTGTGAGCACACGGAGGTCCCACGGGCAGCATGCGCATCTGAATTCTGCACCCGACGGGAGGACCGCAATACTCCGATGAGGGGCAGCGGCCGCACCCGCTGGTGGCTGGTCCCAGCAGTGAGATCCATTCCCCGCCCAGCCTTTTCCCTTTCAGATAATTGTCCGTTCAGACCACACCAACCGGACGTTCCAAGAAGTAAGGATACGCTCTTGTATGAATGGATGTAAAGAACACTGCCGGAGATGTGCGGTAGGTTGTACCTGATGCCACAGGCGTTAGGGTTGACGAATTACCCCTGTGGTGCTCGTGTCCAAGTAATCCATCGCGGGGAGGGAAGACCCCCATCTTAGCAATGCGCTGAACCCGGAAGTTTTAAGTTGAACCTTTAATATGGGATTGTTCGTGGTAAGCAGCTTAAATCTTACAAACAGTGGAAATGGTGCGATGAAATTCGGGCTTACCTCTCCAAGCGCTCGTCAACGACCGGAAGGCCACAGCCGGTGTGCCACTTGCAAATCCATACACAGGTGTGGCTCTCCTCTCTGGTGAACGTCCTGCGTACAAGGTATTGGGTCCTTGCTTCAACCTGTAACTGGTGTATGCCTTGGTCATCGTCGGGCCCCTTGCATGCGCGCTAAGTCAGCCTAGGGCACTCCGCCGTTGCAGCGAACAAATTGAGCCACAGTAGCATCGAGGGCCCTATAATGTTGGCAAAAACACATCAGGTCACTCATGAAACCTGTAACTTCGCCTTCTCTTGGGCTTGATGTATTTCACTCAGTGGCTCCGGCGAGGTCGATGTCCGGGTGAATCCGGTATCTGTCCGCATCTCCACGGCGAAGCTCCGATGGTGCTACAAGCTAGACTTATTCTTAAAATTCTCACAAATAATGGATCACAAAGATTTGTGGAGGCTTTAAGTTGATTTACGGGCTCCGAAAGAATGTAAAGTGTCCGACCCGCTCACCGCTGGATACCATGTGGGACGTGCGGTCGTGACCGGAGCGACCGCGCCTGTGATACCCCCTTGTCGGGGGAGCAACTCCTCTGGGTTCAGCATGAGGGGCGCCATTCATAACCTAAGACACCCACTTGCAGTCTCACCTTCGTTGTGTCTGAGAATTAGGTGGTTTGACCTATTGTTAAGCGTTGTGAGCACACGGAGGTCCCACGGGCAGCATGCGCATCTGAATTCTGCACCCGACGGGAGGACCGCAATACTCCGATGAGGGGCAGCGGCCGCACCCGCTGGTGGCTGACGTGCTTCCTCCTTGTGCAATTGAAGTCATTCTACGTGAAGGTCTGTGGTGGCGAAGGTGGCGATTCGAGAGGCTGCGCCCCCCGCGTGGATATACGTCGGGAGATGCGCACACTCTACTCCCATTCCTTACCCCCCGCAGGCATCCTGCAAGACAGCCTTCTACGCACTACCGAGTGCAAAGTGAGAGCCCATTGGCTATGAAATGCGCATTCGGTGCAATCAAGGACTTACGTGTGCCATTGAGGAACGAACCTGGTCCGGCCGGGCGCCCTGCAGGGTCGGAACTATCCGAGGTGCCTCGGCGACAATCCCCCTCACCATGCCCTTCCCCTTGCGACCTGCAGATCTGGGAGCACCGTGCTCCTTCTCAGGGAAGACAGCAGTACGCTGTTCTGCAGGTATGTTCCCGGATGCATTCGCTTTGGCTCACATTATACCCTACCAAATCCCAACTCGCCAACTCCTCTCATGATTTCTCACCACTGTTTCTTGCCTGCCTTACCCCAGGAGTCAAGGGCATACTGAAGCTGGATCAGTCCGCAGTGGTCCCTTGGGGTCACTCGACCTTCCAATAGCCGCAATCAGCCTCAAATCCCTCCAAAAATGTTCTGGTGCTTCATGCCAGGCCCTCCTGGGCGTGGAATGCCTGTGGCGAGGCGAGGCCGCATGCAGCGCCGATGCAATGGGGAACATTGGGACAGGGAACATTGGCTGGCATAATTTCGGTTCCAGTAATGTAGGATCACGCAACATAGGCAAGTAAAAATAGTGTTAGACCCCGGGGAAACAATGTTGCATGGACTGATCAGTTATCTCTCCTGTGGAAAAGGGTGAGCATCCACTGCCTGACAATGGCGAGTTTCCTGGACCCCTCCTCCCCTCACCATGAGTTTGCATGTTTGCAAATAGACTCCTTGCGCCAACCGCATCGCGTAGATGTACCTCTCCTTGGAAAGCTCACCACTTCTTGATATCGCTCCTCCTCCTCCCCCAGGTAATAATAATCTCGGGAACAAGAACATCGGGAGCAGTAACAAGGGCGACCACAACATCTGCAACAACAGCAAGGGTTTCCAGGCGGTGTGCCTGACTTCCATGTTGGTAACGTCGGCGACTGTGGATGTGACACCAGCACCCATCCCGAGGCCCAAACCGTCTCCGCCTCCTCCCAAGAAAGCCTCTCCGCCTCCTCCCAAGAACGCCTCTCCGCCTCCTCCCAAGAAAGCCTCTCCGCCTCCTCCCAAGAAGGCGTCTCCGCCTCCTCCCAAGAAGGCGTCTCCGCCTCCTCCCCAGAGACGGTATCCGCCCCCACCCTCAAGAGGAAAGCCTCCTCCGACCGGAAAGAGGTCCCCACCACCCCCACCCAAAAAGGAGACACAGCCGCCCCCACCGCGGGCAGTTCTAAAACCCCCGAGCCCCCCTGGAAAGAGGACACCCCCTCCCACACGCAAGAAGCCTAGGCCTCCACCGCCCACCAAACCTGTCCATTCCCCACCGCCACCACACCGCGACAGCAGCCCCCCACCCTCCCTGGTCTTAAGGTCCCCACCCTCCCCCATCTCCAAGCGGCCTCCAACACCCAGTCCAAGGCGGGCCAGTCCTCCGCCAGCAACCACCAGTGTGGACGTGAAGAATCTACTTTGCGCACCCAACACCAGCGCTGCAGTTGCATGCTCGCTCCAGGTTACTATGACTTCTCTGGTGCCAGTTGTGACAATCGTCATCACATTCAAGTCTGGGGATGAAGCCACTGTCGTCCTCCACCCTACATCTCTGACCACATCAGCTACTGTATCTGTCAGCTCCACCTCTACCGAGGGCACCGCCCAGGCACTCTACACGGATCCGAGCACAAACACGCCTGTAGTCTCGCCCTTAGTTCCAATCAAACCCGTTCCTATTCTTCCCCCTGCTCCCCCCAGCGCCCCCATTTTTACACCTCCTCCCGTGGCCTCACCGTCGCCCTCCCCACCGCCAAACTCACCCCCACCATCTCCACAATCAATCTCCCCACCGCCACCCATGCTCCTAAGCCCATCCCCACCAGACACACCGCCTCCCAGCCCAACAGCCCTCAGCCCCCTTCCACCAAGCCCGTTGCCACCACCCACATCTCCCCCTCCCAGCCCAATGACTGCCAGCCCACCTCCCAACCCGCCACCCCCATCTCTGCCGCCGA